TTTAATTTTATAAGCTCGATCAATGGACCCACGAAAGAATTAGATTCGTTATGGCGTGTACAAATTGTCAATGGTGAATTGTAAACGAAAAGTCGCCGCGTCATGTTTTCCATTATTTAAGTAGCTTGCATTTCAGCGGCGGGTCTTTACAAATTGCAGCCTATCCTCCCGACGCATCGAAGAACAATACCTGGAATCGCTCGCACAAGACGTGCGCGCGCGAGGTGTAATTATGACGCCGCTAATTACTTCCCAAATATACTTATCAATTAGCAATCTAATTAAGGTATTAACGAGTTAATCACCGGTAGACTTTTAGTACATTGTGTTAATTAATTATCTCGGTATTAACGCGCGATTAGATTGAGAGCGGTGTGTATGCACGCGCGCGCGCGCTCTTCGCCAACAAATCATAAACTTTAACTGTCAACTTAATTAAGAGTGTTTCGACTAAAACGGTCCGGTTATGATTTATTATATTTATTAAATTTATTATTATTATTCGCCAGCGTGTACCCACTGGCTCACCGGCACATTCATAGAATGCGAAATGTGACTCCAAGTTGAGTTAATTTGCGATTGTAAATCATTTTCGGTGCCCGCGCGGCGCTTTCTTCTCGCGCCCGTTTCGGGCCGCTTCTTTCCGCCGGGCAGAATTTACGATTTGTCATTTCGCGCACGTACTCGCTGCAGATAGCTCCTTCGGTCGCAAATCTCGGCTAGATTCCGATATCTATGAGCGCTCGCCGGATCGAAATGGATGTTATTCATGTGTCGGTACGTCGGTACACACACAATCGCCCCGCTCGCGTATTCGCACAATTACAAAATCTTAGATTTGTGAAGATCATAAATCGGTTACGCTTCGCATTCAGATTTAACACATTATTTCACATTAGGCCGCGTTGTTGCGCCGCGTACGTACATGTGCAACGAGCGCGGCGAGCGGTAACTCTTCGACGGCGCGCAGATTATAAAGCATTATAAATAGTGGCACTCGAAACTCGCGAGTGGACGCGGGATTATTATTTAAATACTCCCTTTAGATGGTGCGTGCGCGGATCGGGATTCGCAGCGTGCGTGCGGTTACAAAGTGGCGCCGAGGATGTCTCCTGTTTTGGACGCAAATTACGAGATTTTCCGTCGAGCCAGCCAGCTTTTTCAAAAGCATAGATGTTTCGTGTAACATGAACTACCGCGGAGGCATCGAGTTTATCATTTTGTTTGCGCAGGTTCGCTAGAAAATATCGAATCGAAGCAACAAATAATGAGGCCCGAGTAAGTTACGAGGACATCACAAAAATGATGCTTTATTGTTGTGGGATTTATCTATTCTAGAATATGTAAACTTGATACTTGATCAAAATTTATACCAACCTACTCGTTCGATTCTAGCGTTTACGAGGCACTTCATAACGTATTGAATCTGCAACAAGGAAAAAAACAGAGATGAAATTGGTTCTTAAAACAATTGAAAATAATCGGGCGTTTTTTGGCACGATAAGAGTAAATAAATGGATATATTTATTTGTGAAGATTGCGATAAGCCTTTAAAGGCATTTCTGCATTACCGGCGCTGGAATATTGGTAGTTAAGTGGTAGTTGATTATAATAAATATCAAATGAGCGCATGCAAATGCGCACGCGGCTGTGAGCAACAAATGCGCGCGTCGCCGTTGTCATTGTCTTTGCGGTTCTAATCTAATTGCCGAGCGGCCGACGATAGCGAAGGGACGGCTACACGTGCATCTCGGCCATTTATTGCGGCTCCTGCGGTGGTAGCACGCCAGTGTCTAATAGAAAATTTGAATATGTATGATACCGCGCGTGCGAGTGTGTGCGCGCGCGGAAAATAATGAAGGCAGAAGACAATGCGGCGAACAATCGGTCGGCGTTGCGCATGAATCGCGCGCTGCTGCTCCACGGCGATTCATTCCTTCCTCCTGCTGGCCGGGGCCGGAGCGATCGGGCCGAGGAATATCTAATCCGGAGCAATAAACCAAATCATAACTTATAATTAGCGCGAGGGAATGCACCGCGGGGCACACGATGTTGACCCCACCCGTAGCCGTGAGGTTGCCGTGCGCGCCGGCCGCGCGGCAGAAGACTGCGAAGACCGGCGTGGAGAGACCAAGCCCTTGGTGGCTAAGTGCATGCACGCCCGACGCAGCGCAAACGCTATCCGCTCCGGCATTTAACTACCTTAGGAGCTCTTGCGCTCTTCGCCCGGCTGCCGAGCCAGTGCCTCGACTTCCTGTACCGTACACCGACCGCACGGATGCCTTCGCGAAGCGCGTGCTCTTCGGTCTCTTCTTCCTTCTCGTAGATCAGGAGGGCTACGTTTCTACAATCTACACACAATGATATCACCATATTCGGACCCAATACATCAATCAATACAAAACATTAAAATTTTCAGCGGTATCGCCGGGCGAAAGACAAAGAAAAGGTGTGAAACTTTCTTTTAAGTCAACTCATGCTCTTTTTGTATTTGCATGCAATATTAGCAACATCATAACGAACGATAGAATGATTTGGAAATATCAGACTGCATGCCATAACCGATTTTTACCTAACTATAATAATTCCACAATACTGTATGTGCGTTAAAAAGCGTTCGTTCGACATAATCATTCTCAATATACGCGTTATAGCGCTTATTATTTTTCCAGCGTTCCGCTGCCTTGTGCAACTGACAGTAAAAGGTATATATGGTCAGAGGCAAATTAATTCGTTACAGCGAATAGATTAACAATTGATGATTTAGCAAAATTTCGTCGCGCCGTTGTTCACTTGTTACTCTCTCTAATCGACATGAAAAAAATTAATTACTTTTGCTAGCTGCGGGCTGCAGGCACAAATGTGTCGAAGAAAGAAGAGTACCTTCGTCTCGCTGGTGTTGCGCATGAACAACATCAACAACCAAGAGTATAAGTATTGTGGAAGCATGTGTGATTACAATTAGAATTGGATTTGGTTTAATATTAGAACTAGAATTTCAAATGCGTAGAAGTAGATCGAAATCAATAAGATTGTGTAAACATAAATTTCACGTGTGTCGAAAATGTAATTGAAAAGTGTCAATTAATTTGATTTTACGCGCCGACATTTAATTATACTGTGTACCCAAAGGGAAAGCGCTTGCGCGATGATGATTTTTAAAATCAATAAATGATTTTCGAATAACTTTATTATTCGATTTTATCGGAAATCTCGGTAGGTATCTGTGCGGTTGAAGAATCCATCAAGAAGCGCAGGTTTGCTTGCGTATGTGCATAAGTCGAGCTGATTTGACTTCGCTGCGAAGTCGTTTGATTGTCAGTTGCGTTAAAATGATAAGATCAGCAGCAATCGATATTATTGCCAACTGCGGATGCTCTCGGCGCAGCGGCCGCCAACCGCGAGCATCTCGCTTAAGTAGGCTGCGTCGAGCATTCAGCCGTGGACGCGGAAAAACGTTACATTGATATGAATAAAGCGTACCTACGTGTTCGCGGCGCGGCCTATCATTTATATTTCACAACTTTTGCATGCGCCCATTTGCATTTACATCTGAATGCGTATTGCTATTTACAATTCGCGATTTTACATTTGTACTTGTAATGAAGTCGTCGCGATTCTTATTGCTTGTTCGTCGCTCGTCGTCGTTCCGTGATGCCGATCACAACTCACCGCGAAGCACGGGGAAATCGCGAGTGCGCGGGCGATAGGCGATTTTTCCATGTTGACGCGACGCGCGTAGGCTCAGGTTTATTGCAGGTGCATCGCAAATATGCGAATGGAAATTGTCGAGGAAATGTGAAAAATGTATCTGCTGCGCTAGCCGCCCGACGCAGCTCAATAAGATAAATGTTCAACGGCGAGCTGCGAGATTATCTCTTTGGTAAACTCGCTGCCTTCCTGCATTGAGATGTTTCGTGATATCATCATGAGCAGAGATTCTGATTGATAGGACAATGACTTTCTTTTTGTAATGTCGATTATTTTTTAGATTGCTTTTAAATCATTTGAGCGCTTTAATCCTATATCACGTCGGCCGTGCCTCAAAACTTTCCGACGCAAACGCGCGCTTCTGGCGAAACTATTTTTTGGGATTTCACTGAACGCGTGGGACTTGCTTTGTGTGCACGCCGCTAACAAGGTATTAACTAATGCCGAACATTAATTACATGTCGTTGAAGTCTAATAATTCTGTCGGCGGCTGAACATCAACACATAAGCAGTTAATTACATTTAAACATTTAGTTGAGGCAGTTATGGCTGTAACCGTCAATATAACAAATTAGCAAAGAAAAAACAGGAATATTATTTGCAGAGCAAGCAAACGTACAATTCTGTTACTGAGATTCAAGAGATGTTCTGTAAGATAGTAAAAATTGATTGTCAACAATTCACGACGTAGATAATTTAGAATCAAGAAATAAATCACAAAACTCTACCACTAGCGCCGACTGTTGACGCGAAGAATAACTGAGCATTGGCGAACTGTAAAGAGAATTTAGTAACAAATATTTAACGTATTGTTTTGTTTAAAGAATTTAAATATGCAGTCAATGAGACGGGCAAACGTTAAGTGCATAAGTATTATCATAACAGATTAAATAAAAAACGCAAAATTAAAAATAAATTTCATATAAAACGCGTACAAAAGAAAATAAGAGCGATTTTTACATAATTGATGCACTGTTTATTAATCTATCTACATTAACACTTGTTCCTGTTGAAATAATAAACCCACTGGGGAATGACCCTATGCATTAGCCACAAACATAACGCATATCATGTTCGTATGATTGTAACAGCTGGTGTTATCATTTGTTATTGCAAAAACTAGGACATAATGTTGCGCAATCGATCGCCATCGAAAAGTTTGCACAAATATAAAACTCGCATGATAAAACAGAAAAAATTAAGCATTTAATAATTATCGTACCTATTGTGCAGTGCGCGTCCCCTCTCAAATAAAACACTAAACCAGTATGTGTCATTGAACAATAAGTGGCTTCGTAACGGTTGTAAATAAAATTGCTAACAGATGAAATTTAGTTCATGCTCAAAACCGCGTTGCGCGCCTCATATCATCAACGCACGCAGTATTCCATCCAACTTTGTGAGTCGATTTATTCGCGCTTCGTTGTTTCAAACGCATAAAATAAAACGAAATGAACGAGACCGACGATGTCGTCCTGTTGGAGCGCGAGGAAGTCGAAGCGACAATGAATAGCATCTTTCAAGACCTGAACATCACCGCCAAGGACATGGAGATTTCTTTGGGCGCCGAAAAGGGCGACGGTTACCTGAGTTTCCTCACCAGGGTAGACGTAACTACTGAAGACGGTAAAGAGTTGCATGTTGTGATTAAATGCGCACCGCGAAGCGAAGCGGTTCGCAAATTCGTGCCGATCCATGACGCCTACATGCGCGAGATTCACATCTACGAAGTGATAATGCCCGAATTTGAAAGATTCCAAAGAGAGCATGGTGTTCCACACCCGTTTAATAATATTCCGAAATGTTTGAAGACCCAATCTACAGAGGGTAAAGAATTGCTTGTATTGGAAAACATTCGTACGAAGGGTTTCCAGTTGTGGAACCGAATGAAACCGATGGATCTGCAGCATATCGAGTTGGTCTTCAAAACGTATGGCAAACTACACGCGATTTCATACGCGATGCAACAGCAAGAACCCGAGGTCTACGATAAATTCACCGATAACTTGTTTGAAATCTTCAGTCCGGACAAATTTGACCCCGGTATGGCTGCGATGATACAGTTATTGTCAACTAAACTCCAGGAAACATTCGAAAATGACGCCGAACACACAGAGATATACGAAAAACTCACCCGATTCAAGGATGGCGGTCTCATGGAGTTCTGGAAGTCAATTGGCACCAATCTTGGAAATCATCCAGTACTTCGCCATGGCGATTGCTGGGTTAATAACATGATGTTTAAATACGAAGACGCTGACGATGCAACCAAACCAACCGATATTTGTTTACTGGACTTTCAATTGGCACGCACTGGTTCACCGGTGCTGGATTTATCTTACTTTTTGTATGTCAGCGCACCGAAACACCTTCTTGATAAACTGGACGACCTCTTGATTATCTACTACGACAGTTTGATAGACGCTATGAGAAGTATGAACTGTGATATGGATAAAGCAATGAGTTTTGAAGAGTTGAAAATCGAATGGAAAGAATTCGCGCGTTTTGGTTTTCTGATGTCGATGATGATCAGCAAGGCGATGATGATGGAGAAGGATGAAGTGATCGACTTCCGGGATGTTACCGAGGACAACCTTGACGAGCTCATGCATCGGCAAGGCAAACACGAAAATGTTGTCAAACAAAAACTGAAGGATCTATCGATCCACATGCATGAATATGATTTCCTTCAGTAAATTTTTAATTTTTAATATTTTAGAATCGTCATTCTGTGTTGTGCTTCTATTAATATGTTGTATCATCTGATTTTAAAATACTGTAGAGAAATAAATAAATAAAAAAGTTCAAATTAATGTTTAACTCAGTTTTTGTCGCTTATTACGCGCAAATTTGAAAACTTGCTCGTGCGTTGTTGACCTTGTCCAGTCATGCATGATTATATTATTCAAACACGAAATTTGTACTATTGAGTAATAGAATAGCACTCTCTCTGTGTACAGATGATAAAAATTCCAGCCGCAGTGGAAGCACTGTGACAACAATTAGAATAACAATTTATATTTAAATTATCATTGTTGTTTTTACAATGGGTCTGTTTGTATTCGCATTAAGTTGCGCGTGAAGCGTATTCTAATCGTAATCCGCGCTGCAATTGACAGGCAAGCGCCAAAAATGGTTAATGCATAGATATCATGTTAAATACAATTTAATTGCTAGTTGTGTTTGGTTTGGAATGCTAGCTCAATAATAATAGAGGCCATCGGGTGCTTGCAATTATACATTATTATCAAGTGCGCATGTTGCGAACTAATGACTTCGCCGGCGGTTATTTACCACTCGTCAATGTTTGACTGACCTTGTGGCGTTGTTAATAATTATAGCAATGCTTGCGTTACACAGCGAATTCGAACGGATTTAACGAGATGAATGCATTACATAACTGGTTGATTGAATTGTTCAAATTTATATCGTCGCGGATTCGGCTGCGCGCGGTCTGAGTTCGCGTGTGGCGAGTCGGGAAGCCAACACGCGCGCGTTTCTCTTACGCGTCGACCAAAAAATTCGTCGGACTTTTAATATCATCTAGTATTTAATATCGAATAACTCAGTAAAGTCGCACATTCGGTCATGAACGGTAACAACGGCAATTTGTTGGAGCGCGCCGAAGTGGACGAGCTGTTGAAGGCGGTCTACGACGAACTTAAAATTCGGCCAAAAAATGTGAACATTGAAACCGGATCGAATCCTGGTGATGGATACATGAGTTTCCTGACGCGCGTTGATATCACCACCGATGATGACAAGGAGGTGCACGTTGTGATGAAGGGTGCGCCCCGGATTGAAGAATTTCGTAAACTAACGCCTGTCCATGATGCATTTCTGCGCGAAACTTTATTCTACGAGGAAGTGGTGCCAACATTTCGTAAATTCCAAACCGAGACTTGTCCGGTTCGTGAACCTTTTGACGCGACCGCAAAGTTTTACCACGCGTGCAAAGACAACATGAAGGAGGTGCTCGTAATGGAAAACATCAAAACCAAAGGTTTCAAGCTATGGGACAGGATGAAGTACATGGATAATCAACACATCGAGCTGGTACTGAAGACATACGGGAAGTACCATGCAGTTTCCTATGCCATGCAACAACAAGACCCCGAAGGTTACGCGCGTCTTAAGGAGAAGATGATATTGGATGTTTTCAGATTGGATAATGTAGACCCAGCGATGTTCGAAATTTTTGACGCTGCATTACAAAGGGTAAAGCCATTATTCGCAGATGACGCCAAGGCATCAAAAAAACTCAATGATTACCGCCCCATTGAAATTTGGGAGGCTATGATTCAAGATCTCGGTGATTATCCAGTGATCTGTCATGGCGATTGTTGGGTCAACAATATGATGTTCAAATACGACGATGTCAACGACCCCACTAAACCAACCAAAATATGTCTGCTTGATTTTCAAATCATGCGCCTCGGCTCGCCAGTGAGCGATTTGAGTTATTTCTTCTACGTCAGCGCACCGAAACAATATTTAGATCAATTGGATAAGTATCTACGTGTTTATCACGACAGTTTGACCAGCTCGTTGTTGGAAATGAAATGCAAAGTTACGATGTCGTTCGAGGACCTGAAGAAGGAATGGAAACGGGGTGCCGTTGCAGGGTACAACATGTCGCTGGTCGTCTCTAAAATTATGGCAAGCGAAGGCGACGAAATAATAGACTTCGTGAATATGACCGTGGAAACCGATTTTACAAAGGAATTCGGCAAGGAATCGAAACACGACGCGTTTATCAATAACAAGCTGAAATTGTTGACGCAACATATGTTTGATAACGGCTTTATGTAGAAAAATTTATATATTTTACCGTTTATGTAACTGCATGAATCATCAATAAGTATTTAGTTTTTATCGCTTTTTAAACACAAGCTAGCAAATCTTTGTATCACGATAACTATAATAAACAAATGTCACGGCAAATTACGACAAATGACCTTGATGTTTTTGAAGTTTACCATATATGGCGAAACAATGAAGTTTCGATAATATTGTGAAATAGTAATGCATCAAAATTGGAATCAAAACACAAAATGTCGACGCCTCCACGTAAACATCCGCAATTAGTTCTACAAAAAGAAGAGGATATTAGTCCGGATCGATACCACAGCGCACATCCTGACGCGGATAATGAATTGATCGATCAGTATTTTGTTGCCATTGAGCGTTGCGATCTGGAAAGAGTGCAGGAATGCCTTCAATCCGGCGTACCGATCAATACATACGATATGTCCGGCAGGACAATCTTCCACATTGCCGCAGCCAATGGCTCTCTGGCTCTTGTCAAAATTGTGATTGACTATCCAGGCATTGACTTGAACATTCGCTCACTCGATTTTATGCTGACGCCATTGCATGAAGCTGTTTTAGCTGAACGGGATGAGATTGCTGAAATATATATTAATGCTGGTGCTAAAATTAATATCCCCAATGGGTACAACTCCTTAAAACTCCCATCAAAAAGAAAACTATGATTTTGTATGTCAATTTCAGGCATGGCTCAACTGCAATTCACATGTCGGTGAAGACCAAATCAATAAGCATCATTCTATTATTGATAAAGCACAGAATAAACCTAAATGCAGTGGACATTTTCTGTAACACCGCCCTTTCGATTGCAGTCTTGGATCTAAGGGACTTTGAAATCAGCCAAACACTGATAAAGCATGGCGCGAGAGTAAACAAAAGTAGATTCCATGCATTATATCTGTTCCATGGTAGGTTATCATAAAATTGCAAGGCTTTTGTATCTCATGCAGTCACTAGTAATTTCTAGAGGCAATTTTAAATTGCACTGAGAGTGATGATATTGTGTTGTTGAAACTGCTGGTGAGGCATGGAGCATTCGTAAACTATGTTGATGAATCTGGCAGGAATGCCCTGCACTATGCAGCAATTGGCGGATTGCCATCGCTTATCCACTACCTGCTACATGTTGGAGTAAATATCACGGTGCGGGACAAAACAAATCGCACCCCACTTGATGTGGCCAAACAATTCCAACACCGCGACGCAATTAGTGTGATGAACTCATTCATTAGATCTACGGAAGCTCAAACGAATTCCCCTTGAAATTTCTTTGCGCTTAATTTATTATGTTCTAAATAACTGTAAGGTGTCGATTAGATTAATAATTATAATTACCTTGTAGATTACAGTATTCAACATTAAATAACATCCATATTTTTATATCTTTATGTTTATAACATTATTATACTGACTGATTGATAGAGATATATAAGTTGCGTTGATGTTAGTACACGTCATTAAATCGATTCAAAAATATACTTACTATGTCAAAGGATTATCTAACTTTGCAAGTGGATGTTTGATATTTCCTCTGGATATTGGTGATATTCTACATCAAAATATTTCTATGATAACCTGGAGAATATTTCTTCCGAAAATATAAGGCCAATGGGGATCGTACGTATGAAGTAACATCTATACCACGACCCAGTTGCAAAGGTAGAGAAATCTGACTTTACATCGATATATTGTACACATCTATTAGTTAGGGGTATGCCTGATGCGTTCAGCTTGAAGCTTTATTTCAGATAGTGCATCAAGTTACCAGCCCCAGTTCAGAATTAATAGCGCTGATAGAGAGGACCGTCCGCAGCGTCGCGTTGATTCGCAAGAAACTCGCTGAGCGCGTAGTAGTCATTTCGGGATGGCCCGTTCAAATAGCGCAATTCGCGAGTGGGATCAGCGCGTTTCTTGGCGACCATGAACCGCTTCCTTCGATTCTCAGTGAATCCTCCCCAGCGGCCACGCTTCTCGGCGTACTGTGGAGCGACGTCATAGTAATAATTCGGCGATGGAGGAGTCATGTGTTCATCAGAAGCATGCGGGTAAACGGGGGCGTCCAGCCAATCCTCATCAGAGTCCTGCGAGAAGTCGGAGTAGTCACTTTCGTAGTTTGGTTGCCAGGGACGACGGTTCTGGGTGTTGAGACCGCTCAGACGTTCATTCTCCCAAAGTGTAAGAATTGCAAGGATGTCCTCAGGCGAAAGATCAGTTTCACGCTTCAATCGATTCGTTATTCTAAAAAAGAGTAGAAATTGGACAAACGTGCCCGATGATATTTACTTAGGTGCCACTAAAAGAGAGTTGGTAATTGGATACATAAACATCATTAAGTTTTTCTCGAATGTCGATTAAACTGTGTTTGTGCTAGAATCTAGGAAGGAAGTTGAACCCACGAGTTGCCCTTTAGGAATTAAGGCCAGCAGGAAAATGGAAAACAATCATGTTGTTCAGAAAATAACCAGGCAAAAGGATATGTCGAGGGTGACGAAAGTGCGCTACTGGGATAGAATTAAATTAGAAGCAAGCATCGAACGCGCCGGGACGTAAACAAGCAATCAGGAACTGAGTGGTACTACCTTCGGGCTTGTTGCGTGCGCGCTGCCGCCTTCTTCGCCGTCGTACTGGCGTTTCGCCGCTTCCGTTTACGATCGTCGTCCTCGTAGTATCGATATTGATTGAGCGCTGTTGGTTCTCCGTACAGTTCAGACTTGAGGATGGCGTTCTCGAGCGCCTCGTCCAACTTATCTCGGTTGGTCGCATAACGATATCCCTTCTCGTAGTCGGAGACCGATTTGTCGTCCAGCTCATCCAACGGGGAGTACAGCGATACTGGCAGGTCCTCAGCGGCCGCCTGCTCCCTATAACGCTGTTGATCCCATTCGGTAAGCAGCGGGAGCTGGTTCGTCTTCAAGCCGCCGCCTATTAAGTTTTAATCAAGTTTTAGTTAAAATCTCGATGGGTTTCCTCCCAGCAAGCAGTCGCTTTGTAAAATTGAAAATAAACCAATGCCTTGATATAAGAGCGCGCTTCCGAAGCGGATTAAACTCGTATCTCAAGGTATCAATAAAGACTGAAACCTAATTAATTCAGTGCAAGGCCTTCAGAAGAATCCAGCGCTGCATTTCAAAACTCTCAACTTGACTTTTTACTTAATATTAGATTACCGGAGACGGATGTGTGCTAAGTAATTCAGTCCCGCAGAAAACGCTTTCATTCAAACTTCACTCCAATTTGAAAACTGATCAAATTACAACTTTCATGGAAGCAAGCATCGGAGTCGATTTGATTTACTTTCAAGAATCGTATGACGTCTACCCTTTAACTTGACCTTATCAGACAACCCCGAGGATAAATAATTAAGTATTATACTAACCGCCACGTTTGATCGCTGTGGGATAAAAATACTCCTTCTGAGATTCCAAAGGTTTCTCGACAGCGGGCATGGTTTGAGCGCGCTTCACTGCAAAGTGGAAAGAAAAATTGTCTCAGAGCTGTCAGCTGCAGCGATTTATCATAAGAATCACTCCAGCACTCCACTTAAAAGGAAAGAATATAAATGACGTGACGACGAGAAATCGTCGCGCCTCGCAGAACAAATCGTCCATTTGCATGCATTACAAAGCTTGCGAGCTTGAATGAAATCGAGCAACAGGTAAACGCTGTGCTCTGCCCCACATATCGATTTTGTTGAGGTAGAAAACTCATACGTAGAACGGCAACAGTTCGCCCACGTAAATATCAATGTCGCGGTATATTTACTCTTCTTATTCCAATAAATATTCGATAAAGTACCCTAAACCTTTTATTTCAATGTCACCAATCCGATAAAACGTTAAAATGTAAATATATTTATCTAATTTAGGTAAAATTTGGAAAATTCGTAAATATAATTTAAAGTTGTTACCTTTTTTATTGGTGACATCATTCGCCATGAGATCTTGAAGAACTGACGTTGGGAGTGCAAGGGTCGCCAGGATGAGCGACAGGAAAATCGTGAACGATTTCCCGACGTGAATGTGCCGCGACATGTTGCTCGTGCGTTGCCTTCCAGTGGACTGACGGAGCGACGCGCGACCGCCCCCGAGTAATGTGTCCCGCCGCTCCCGCTCGGGTGTAACCATACAATCGTGCCGTGCTACGTCCCCAGAAACATCCCAATGCGCAACCTACGACCTTCGCCCAAGCCCGCCTCCTCATCCTATCACATAATTTCATTATTATAAGATTTCGATTGATATCAAACCTGGAACGACGGAAGGTAATCATCTGAAACGAAATTAAATTCAAGCATATTGATTGCGCACATCCGGTATATGTGCAGGTCTCATGTTGCGAGACTAAATGGACGCCTAGGAGACGAAAATTAGGGTGACATGCACTTACGGCGCCTCTCTCACGTTTTCGAGTACGTGGCGCGCAGTAAATCTCCCTCAGTGCAAACGAAATTTACATTTCTTGGAAGGATGCCGATCGCTTTCCACGTTTCAATGTCTAGCAGGCTCGAATGTACGCTGTGTTTTTTTTTATTATTTTGTCGTTTCTACCTTCATGTTAGAGAGCCCGTATCGATCTTTCCGTATGGCTCGCCCTCGACTAAACGGGACGCGCATTTTATGGTAATTACATTTTGTCCTGTTGAATATTCAACGGGTAATTGTAAGTGTTTTTCACGGCGCATTAATCAATTTCGCGTCATTCTTCAGTCCTCCATGCGTAAACAAACTTAATTATGTTGCATTAATAAACGGACGGTCCGGTTGGTCGGCTTGACAAGAAAAGAACTCGTAGAATTCACACGCTGATTTTTCTAAAAAATTTAATAAATTTGTACTCATACAGACATTCGAACGTAGTTTGCGTTTGAACATGCAGTTAGAAACTTAACAACATCATTCAATTTTACAATAAGATATGCTGCAGAATGAAATTTAAAAACATAAATTAAGTAAAGCCTTGCGGAACATTTATTTCCTTTTATAATTCCGTGCGCTATGAACACGGCCAGGACTACGTGACCTTTCACGTTCTCTCTGCCTAGGAACATCTCGCCGAACTTTTTCTGGTGAGATTCGCTTTGGTCTCGTAACAGCATATCTTTCAGCGCTGATTTCACGTCTATTTCGAGTGCTGTTACTAATACTCCTGCTCCGATGACGATGCTTCTCTTCACGGTCATACTTAGCATCAATCGACCTCTCTGAAGACTTACGCCGCCTTTCTGGAATCAGAGGGCGTCTATTTCTGCTCGGAGAAACTGATCGATCATGGGTGTAGTCTTGCTGATAATCACGCCGTGGGCTATTTACGGCCTTTCTAGGAGAACGACTCTGATGACGTCCTCTTTTGATAACATCCGCTCGTTCGCGACTATCCTCACGTTTATTTCTTTTAGATGAACGGCTTCTGTCATCTGCGGGGGCACGATTCGCATCACTTGAAGTGCGCGAGGATTTATGCCGGTATTGCAAAGTGGAACTATCTCGCTGCGGACTTCTATATCGTGGTGGCGAAGCATGGCGGTTCTGTTTGGGAAAATCTTGATAATTACGGCGCAAAGGACTTACTCGATCACGATCTTCAATCTGGCGTAACGGGTCCACGCGACGACCACGTTCGGGGCTTTCTCGTTCGCGTGGCACACCGCGCCCACTGCGGGAAGATCGTTTTTCGGATTCAACACGAGAACCACGATTTTCAGAGATTTCAGAATTATCTATCAGAGCATGCTTACGATATTGTAAAGGACTCTTTTTACTTCTCTGCATATCTGGATGGTCGCGTTGATGCGAATCTCTTTGGCGACGAACATTCTCAGAACTTTTCCTCTGTGGTGACGACCTGTTGCCATTGCTGGAAGATTGATGTTGATGGTGTACCCGAGATCCCCGGTGTTCCAAGCGTTCAGAACTTGAGTCACGGTGTTGTTGATCCATTTTCTTCGCATGTGAATGCTTGCGACGTTCCGGCGATAACCTCTCACGTTTTGAAGGTTCCCTCTTCTTGAAGGTATGTTCTCTATCACGCTTGTCGTTCCTCTGGTAGATCCCTTTGCCCAAATCGGCGTCAGCTTTCCTCGACATCTTCTTACCGTGGTCGTCCAATGATCTAACAAGCCTTCCTTTACCCATCCACCGATATTTGGCCACCGATTGACTGAAATCAACGTGAATGCGTCTGTCATCGATCAACACGTTGTCCATTTTTAAATACGCTTCTGCACATGCTTTCGGACTGTCAAATTCAATAAACGCATATTGCATAGATTCCTTTGTTTTCCTGTCGCGAATGACCTCGCTTGACACAATCTTACCGAACCTACCAAATATAATGTCCAAGTCTTCGTCAGTGGTGGCTGGATTCAACTTGCAAACAAACAGAACATTCTCAGGCGGAGCAACGTCAGCTTTTGGTATATCGCCGACCATCTCAAGAATTGTTGCACGCGCCCTAGCCTCTCTTTCAGCCGTCATCTCAGTAATCTCATCCATGTCTTTGCCTGCAGTGTCATCAATGTTTTCGTCAGGGGCAATTCTGCCTCCCTGTAATCTCTCAGCTGTGGGCGACGGTGAACGTGATGGAGCAACCAATCCTTTTATATCTTCAAAAGGATCAGCCAAGACTACAGTGTGAGTTATTCTAATGTCAACATATGGTCTGAATTTTGTATCACAAATTGCCTCATTGAGTAAATCAAGCACATCCAATCCTTCAACAACTTTCCCAAACACACAGTGTTTGCCATCAAGGAAAGCTAGATTATCAGATAGTGTGATAAAGAACTGTGAGGCAATCATAGCTTTCTCATTGCCTACAAATGAGAGCAGGCCAAGTCGATTGTGTTTTATCTTGGGTGTTTTCTCGATGGGGAAGAATTTATGGTCTGGACCCTCAACAACACCAAACACAGAGGATCCACCGTCTCCGCTGCCGGTGGGATCGCCAGTTTGCGCAACGAACTTAGAATTAACCGTGTGGAAGAGATGATAGTTGTAATATTTAAGCTTACATAGTTTGAGAAAATTGAGAGTAGCCAAAGGCCTCTGTTTAGTAAAGAGATCAACTGTTATGTCCCCTAACGTGGTCTCGATTATAACAGACATCTAGGAACAACCGCCAATGTTAGTAAAAATACATCAAGATATTCGTGAAATTATTACCTTGCTTAATGTTTCTTCAGTCAGCCTTTTAAACTCATTCTCAAGTAAACAACTGTGGAGGTTATGTTACTGCTTGGGTGTCGCAACCGATCGAAACAAATCTAGCATCAACGACGCAGTATCTCACGCAAATGTTTGGAATTGTCGTCACTATTCTAACATACACAATATTTATCAAAGTTATGAATTTAATTCGTGAAAAAATATCATGCAGCTACAACACAGACTTAAGACTTAATACATAAAAGATTCGAAAGACATATTTACAAACTGGCAATCATGTTGCTTCTAGACTTCAGTGAATTGCTTTAAAGATATGATTAGATTATTAAACTACAGGCCTTTCCAGACTTATTACTGATACATCATTTTAAACTTTTCGTTCGTAATATACGACTTTCTTGTTCTATTCTAAGACATAAATAAACACCTAAATTCTTTTTAAGATGCGAAAAAATGTAAAAATAAACTCTTATGATACAATATTAATATCTACACGTTTGTTAATGAGATTTGTACGTTACGGGCTTTTCATTATTATTCAACTCACTTTCCTCCATTAAGGCGACGTTAATCACAGTGACTTTTTAACGTTTTCTAACATTACCACACTATAATGGCTCCGAGAAAATCGTTCAAATTACGAATGCCCCACGGCTTTCAACAATACAGTACACGATTCAGACAATACCGTTAGTTGGTTAGGATTTAAGTACTTTTTTGGCAGACAATTGTTAGACTTTTATGACTTTTGACTAAATTGCGAATCAGGTACATCTAGTACACGGATCACCGCCGATTCAGACCGACTAAGTGGCAACTTTGCCATGCACCCGAAACCGATACAGGCACGTATAATTCGGATTACCGTGATTCGAGTTCACCTTCAGCTCGACGACCTGAAAGCTGCGCATGAGAACAGCCGCATCGTCTACTGGAAAGAATTGCAACGCGTCTCCGTACGCATCGTACTGATATTCACCTAAGAGGACCGGCTCTTTATCGTATTCATGATGCAGCCCGTAAACTTGAAAGTTTTTCGGCGCTGAATCAACCCTACCGCTTGGTATCAGATATCTGCTGACATGTTCGTAGGAAAACGCGTTGATCGTTACATTATGCGATAGTTTCACGATGACGAAACCGGGAAAGCTTTGGAACGCCCAACATTCGCCCGGAATTACACCTGGAGTGATAACAGTCCTTGGAGTCGCAGTTGGGTACCACAATGGTACACCAAAGATGGAGACCACTGATGTTTTTGCGCTATAGTGTTCTGTACAACGCGTAGAAAGAATTTGACCGCCTGCTGATTCCAGCGCGTAGTCAACCAGTCCGGTTTTATCAGCGTCGTAGGTCGCAAGTGCACTTTTTACAATTGCACGAATCTGCATCTCATCCGGCGGAATACCCGATGATGATGCGTCTGTGCTAGCAATACGTCCTGCTAGTTTCAAACTCACATCTTCCATGATTACCTGCGCACTCTCTTTAATCAAATCATCAAAGTGTTTGTTTAACTTCTCCGTGGCATTATGCAATTTAAGTTCGAGCTCATTTTGTGCTACAAATAAAGTTCCTAACCACTGAGATAAATTATCCTTGTGGTCTTTGGAGTTCAAAATGGCGGTAATCAGTCCGTGCAAATACTTCTCCATTTGCAGCGCGTTCAGCCTACAACAACGTTTAATTGAATGCGATAACTGTACGTAATTAGCTGAATTGCCCATCATAGCTGCGTTTAAATCAAGTCGAAGTTTTTCTATTTGTAAGCGCAATTCATTGATTAAACCCTCTTGCGCTGTTATTTGATCGGATTGGTCTTTGGTGTTGTATGAGGCGATGAAATTTTGAATACTGGGACTTTCGAGGACTTTTTCGACAACATTATCGACACTTTCGCGTTGTACGTGCTTGAGATTGAGGGCGATTCCGGCGATTTGTTCTTTGGTAAGTGCGGCAGCAACGTCCGCTGGTGTAGACTCGTCTAAGCGCTGCACATTCGGGTCGACAAGTAACACTTTCATAATCGTGTCGACGTCTAAATCTAAGTTCAGATTATGTTTAAGTGAGTGTGCTATTTGTTTAAGCTGTACGCCACTTAAGCCGGCGCGGAATGGCGAATCTAGTTGGATTTTGATCACTGTTTCGGAAGCATGATCCGCTGCCAATGGTGCTGAGACTGTGGCAGTGATTGGAGGAGTTATTTTATCAGAAGAAGTTGCCATTAATAGGGCTAACGCCTGCCCCAGAGCAGATAACAACCAAATACCTAAAATAGAAAATGATTTGCAATTACAAACGTTGACCAGATAGAGAACTTTAAAAAGAAGGAATATATTTTGTTCAATTCCACGCTGCACCAAAGCTAAAGTGTCAAGGAACTGGCAAAAGACCAAGAAAATAAATGAATGCATCAGTTCATCGTCAAAATTCATTATATTAAATGAAAACTCACATGAAACAATAAACTTTGTTACGGTAAACACAATAAATCGAAATAAAACAGTACCAACATAAAACTAGTCGTAATAAATAGTAAAAGTAAAATACTTAAAGCATGCATTATTCAACTGCAGCGTGCGTGACGTGCGTAAAAGTATCTTCCGATGATGCAACTTGATCTTTTGCCGTTCCCGAGCTAAAACTCGTCGCATACCCAAACAAACACAGAATAAACGATATAAAAGTAAAAAAAAACCTAATATTGGTGGCATTAAACATACCAAAATGCCCAAACAAATAAAAGAAAAGCGAAAATATTGCACGCGAATTTTTGGAATTTAACTATAGCTCGTGCAGCGTGGACGGTATGGAAGTGGTGTCGAGCAGGAAGTGCAATCCTGCAACACAAGTCGTGTTAAACACCCAGAAGAACCAAGCCGTAGCCATAGCGCGCATAATACCCACCTCCGAAGAAGATAAGCGGCAACAGACACAACGCCAACACGTTGACGAGTTTACGCCGCTGCCTGGAAGACTCCTCGCTGCGGACGTCCGATGATACTCCCCGTAATAACCAGGTATCAAACATCATCACATGCGACGCAAATTGATGCGCCCTACTGACGATGCGTACAGTCAAACTATGCGCCATCGCCAGCGGTCGGCTCGCCATGTACAAGACGTAGAAAACCGAATAAAACACACGGCGGAAAATCGAGATTTCCGTACGTGAACGCGTTGAAGTATACTTGCTCTCTTTGTATAAGTACTCCTCATTATTGTTACTCGACGAGCTGAAGAGCGCGCGTGGAACAATCCCGCGTCTGTTTTCCGTGATAAAATCAGTGCTGGTCTCTTTGTGGTCGAATTCGACGCCGTCGCCGGAATGGATAGGCCGACGGGACATGTTGGGCATGTTCACCACGCCGGGCGCGAGCTCCACGCGGTCCTTCGAGTGCGGCGAGTAAGTGTAATCCGTCTTCGGGTAGAAACTGGAAACAGGCGCGCGGTTACACAACAATTACACAACACGCAGAACAAACTTAGACGCCACCGTGCGCACAGACATTACAGTGACAATAGGACGAACACAAATTGTGTGCCGCTCTTGCGGCAATGTCGAAAGCGTAAAATGAACTGAGGCGTGTGTGCGCTGCGCCAGCGGACGAGAATAGCACGTGCGATCAAAACTGCATGCAGCGCTTTGATTTAAAGGTCATCGATGTGTATCTGATTCTATTCACAGCAGTTTGTTTTGTTGTCTTTGATACCAAGAACAAAACAAACAGATTTTAGCGCCTAGGTCCATAATTATTTATTTATTAGCAAATAAAAAAGCAATAAACATGCAAAAATAAATTAAAGTATAGTTAATAGTTATTATTTTTTTAATTAAAACTCATTCATTATTCTGTAAATTAAAAAGCGTGCATGAAACGTGTGAAAACATGCATGCGACAATACCAATGATCGTCGAAGGTCTTCGCCATTATTTGAGATATTTATAGCCCGCAACAGGAAGATGTTAAAGAAACCACCAAAAGCAGCACATACTTGACTAAAATTAGGGCTAAACACATTAGAAGCCTACTCACTTCCAGTACTCCTTGGCATCCCTGTACATTTTCAATGCAATGAACTCATGATCATTGCTCTGTTTGTGCATCTCCTGCTTGAATTCCAACGCGTGATTGGTGTTATTCTCAGTGCGGGAGAGGTCATGTTCACCGTCTTCAGACGAATAGTCTGATGTGAACGTGGTATGCTGCTCTTTAATCAACTTGCTTGATTTGTGGCTGGAATTTGTAGTGACTTTCATTGTCACTGAGTCCTCATTCACCTCAGTTACTGTCCTGTGAATGAAAGTAAAGAGTTCAGTTTTTAGTAAGAATATATCAATGTTATGAGATGTTTTACCTGAGTTTGGTACTTCGTAGTACTCTGTCAGTGCTATTGGGAGTCAGCGAGTGCGAATGATCGCTTTCGGCGGCACGCAGCGGCGTCGTCGAGCGTGATCTCGACCTCAGCTCCATGTTATCTGGATCGCGTCCCTTTCACGACGAACTCCTACTGAGCAATGACTATTAATATAAAGGCACAAACGTCTGCCGGCACATTCCCCACGGAAAGGCGCAGGCTATTAATAGCTACATCGACGGATGCGCAAACCATCACGATGGTTCTGATTGTAAATAGTGAAAATTTCAGCGCAATGTTACTCACGGTCGCAATAGAAAAGTAGAAGTGGGCCGTCGTCGGCGTCGAGATGTGGGCCCTGCCCGAATTTTAGATCTCGTCAACAGCGCTGAGCAAACACTCGATGCACATTGATGCGATTTTCACGTACGACTCACCCGGAATCCGGAACGCTTCTCGTTAAAATTTAACGGATTTGTGTGTGGTTGCTACGTTGAGACAAGCGATTAAAAATTACGGTGACGTCATAACGCCGTCGTTGAGCCGTTTCGGGCATTTAGGATTGTCAACGGCAACGCGCCTACAACAACTAATGTTTGAAAAGCGTAAACATGCCTTCGCAATCATGAAATTCTGTATGATTGCGTGGAATAAGAACGAGAATCGCTTGAGTTGCATTACTAACGTCGCTGCAATACATGACATTCCTGTTAGTGTGTTCAACAAAGTGGACGGTAGATGTCGCTACCAATACCAAAACATAAAATTGTGATTATCTCACGAATTATCCATCAAAATTGCATTATTGTGTTGCGGAGGACTAATTTTTGATTGTGTTAGGGATTTTTCACGAGTCCGATATCGTAGAAGAACCATTCTTTCAGCATGTGGTAAGTATTAAATTTATCTATCGTTTTCATCAATAAATTTCGTGATTATCTCACAAATTAACCTTTAAAATTGCATTTTTGTGTTACGAAGGACTAATTTTTGATTGTTTTAGGGATTTTCCACTTGAGTCCGACATTGCAGAAGAACCGTTCTTGCACCAGATGGTAAGTATTAAATTTCTCCATCGTTTTCATCAATAAATATCATTATTATCTCACGAATTAACCCTTAAAATTGCATTTTTGTGTTGCGGAGGACTAATTTTTGATTGTTTTAGGGATTTTCCTTCTGAGTCCGATATCGTAGAAGAACCATTCTTTTAGCATATGGTAAGTATTAAATTTCTCTATCATTTTCATCAATAAATTTCGTGATTACCTCACGAATTACCCCTTAAAATTGCATTTTTGTGTTGCGGAGGACTAATTTTTGATTGTTTTAGGGATTTTCCTTCTGAGTCCGATATTGTAGAAGAACCATTCTTTCAGCAGATTGTAAGTATTAAATTTCTCTATCGTTTTCATCAATAAATTTCGTGATTATCTCTCGAATTAACCTTTAAAATTGCATTTTTGTGTTGCGAAGGACTAATTTTTGATTGTTTTAGGGATTTACCTCCTGAGTCCGACATCGTAGATGAACCAGTCTTTCCGCAGATAGTAAGTATTAAAATTCTCTATCATTTTCATCAATAAATTTCGTGATTATCTCACAAATTAACCCTTAAAATTGCATTTTTGTGTTGGGAAGGACTAATTTTTAATGCTTTTAGGGATTTTCCGTCTGAGTCCGATATCATTGCAGAACCATTCTAACAACAAATTGTGAGTATTAAATTTCTCTATCATTCCTCGAAATAAATTTTTTGATTATCTCACGAATTAACCCTTAAAATTGCATTTTTGTGTTGCGAAAGAGTAATTTTTAATGCTTTTAGGGATTTTCCAACTGAGTCCGATATCGTAGAAGAACTATTCTTACACCAAATTGTAAGTACTAAATTTCTCTATCATTCTCTTAAATACATTTTTTGATTATTTCACGAATTAACCCTTAAAATTGCATTTTTGTGTTGCGAAGGACTATTTTTTGATGGTTTTAGGGATTTGCCGCCTGAGCCCGATATCATAGAAGAACCATTCTTACAACAAATTGTGAGTAATAAATTTCTCTATCATTCCCCAAAATATTTTTTTTGATTATCACACGAATTAACCCTTAAAGTTCAATTTTTGGGTTGCGAAGGACTAATTTTTGATGGTTTTAGGGATTTTCCGCCTGAGTCCGATATCATAAGAGAACCATTTTTATAACAAATTGTGAGTAATAAATTTCTCTGTCATTCCCCATAGTAATTTTTTCGATTATCTCACGGATTAACCCTTAAAATTGCATTTTTGTGTTGCGAAGGACGAATTTTTGATGCTTTTAGGGATTTTACGCCTGATTCCGATATCCTAGAAGAACCATTCTTACAAAAAATTGTGAGTAATAAATTTCTCTATCATTCCCCAAAATAAATTTTGTGATTATCTCACAAATTAATCCCCAAAATTGTATTTTTATGTTCGAAGGACTAATTTTTGATTGTTTTAGGGATTTTGCACCTGAGTCTGATATCGTAGAAGGACCATTCTTGCATCAGATTGTAAGTATTAAATTTCTTTATTATTTTCCAAAATAACTTTTGCGATTATCTTACAAATTAACCACCAAAATTGCATTTTTATGTTCGAAGGACTAATTTTTGCTGGTTCTAGGGATTTCACTTAATTATTTAGGATTTTACTCAAACCAATTTGAATAAATCAAAAGTAATAAATACTACCCTGATCTTTTTAATTTTGTTTTGTGTCTGATATGTTGCTTGTGCCGGCGCAGCGCGTCAGTTTTCTTTCTTATTTAGATAGTACTGGTAGGGGCTATCTGCTTTGTGTTCGCCTGATATCAATTCTCTTTACACTTTAGTCGATCGCGCGCTGGGTTACGGTTAGCACGTGTTTTGTTCGTCAGTCGATCTTCGTGGCGTTTCTTGGCGATCTTTTCGCGTTTCTTACTTTAATTCTGTAATTGCCTTCATCAGCCTTTCGTAACAGGCTAATGTGGCGGAAACCCAATTAATCATCGGTTCGCCTGTGCGCTTGGGATGTCCGTTCGGCCGGCCGTCGCTAGATATTATTCGGTTGTGTAATTATCTACAACCGTGTTGGTCTTTATGTGCGCCGCCTGCGTGTTCATCGGCAGTCGTTTATCTTTTCGAATATTGGCAAAACTTAGATTTATTATTAATTCCTGCTGATAGACACCGTTGGTGCCCAGTTTTTGAGTATGGGAGTCATGGAATCTCCGATATCCATGAAAGAAGTATTGGAGATGCGCACATTTTAAGGTAAGTCTTTACTGCTACGAGATTTGAGATTCGTCAATGTTTTTTTATTTGAATGATATATGTATTTTTTAATGTTGTCAATAAAACACATTGTAATGTTATAAACTAAATCTTATTTCTTTGTTAGATCCCTTTTGTTATTTTCAGTATCGGTGTCTTAAATCATATAGTATATAAATCTTATGTGCGTGAAGCGTGTACAATGTATTGTGTTGTTGTTTTTAAAAACATGATAAAAACAAAAACATATATAGAAGAATCAAATAGCAATGATTAAAACACTCGGTGGTCGAGTGGAGACGTGCACCTGCTGGCATGCTAGTAGGCGCGGATCGAGTCTCAGGTACAGAAGGCATTTTTCTCAAATATAAAAATATCAGGTGTAATTTGGGTTGCATATATGAATTGCAACGAAATATACTCTTATAAGAAATACAAGTGAAGGCGGGGAAAAGGAGAACAGAGAAGTAGAGAAGAGGAGTAGGAAGAGAACACAGAGTAGGAAAAAGGAGTAGAATAGAAGAAAGTGCACAGGAGAGGATTATATTTTTAAATTTTTTGGCACGTGTCGTTATAAGACAGTCTACAGGTCGACCGCCCACTGCTTCGATGTATCAATTGCTCCCGGCCCATCCTACAGCTACGATGTCTCTGCGCTTCATCCCCGAAATACTCAGGCATATCAACAATTTTTATGGTGGGGGATCATCCCCAGAGAGAGGGAACTCCTTATAAGGACAATCCTTACAAGGACTTGTTCAAATATTTCTAAGTTTTAACTCGTCTCAAGAGAGGAGACACTTAAAAATATTCTTACAAGTTTTGACCTGTACCTGAAATGAGAGAGGGAGTACACAAATCATACAGGATACCTTAACAATTTTTATAGTGGGGATCATCCCCTGAGAGAAGGAACTGTTCCTAAAATGATAGAAGGGGTACACACAAATCAAAGAGGTCAATATATCTTACTATTTCTTTATTAACAATAGAATACCAGTTTAGATTTTACAAGTCAACAATATCATGCCGCCGTATTGGCACAGAACTTACGACCTGCATCGTCGCGCACATATAAGCAAGTTACACGTCAAAATGTTCTGCCGGGATAGAGAAATTAGCAAATTGTCTATTTTCTAGGTGATGGAAAATGGAAACAAATATACAGGGTGTTACAAAAGAAAAATTTTAGGTGCAGACAAGAAAACATCTAAACACTCAAATATCGCTCGTTTTCACCGTTACTCTGGAAAACAAATATACAGGGCGTTACAAAAAGAAATTTCAAAGTGCAAGAAGTTAAATTCTAATAACATTCAAAGCAAAATTTTCAGGGAAGTGAAGGAAAACAATTATACCAGGTGTCACAAATAGGAAATTCAACCATCAAAGAGGAAAACATCTAAACACTACAAATATTGCTCGTTTTTACCCGATGCTCCGGGAAACTAATAAACAGTGTGTTACAAAGAAATTAGAGTGCAAAAAGAAAGCCGTAAAACCACAGCTGAAGGAAAATTGTCACGGACACAAAAAATATACAGAGTGTTCCAGAAGGAATGCTCAAAACTCACAAATAAAGTTTATTACGTACTGGTAGGAAAACTAATATACAGGGTGAATGAAACTTTTAAAAACTTCATATACGGTCAATATTCACATCATGACCAGAGGAATTTATACCGAAGCAATTATATTTTGTAAAAAATTCAAAGATTTCACCCGAAAATCTTCGGAAAAGTTGAGTAAAAAAGGTGCTACAAGAATAAAACACTTACATTTAAATATATTGTGTATATATTTATCATTTGATGATAGCATCAACTGCATAAGGTAACCCACGGGTGAAGCATCATCATAAATTGATAGAAAACATCCAAATCAGCAGACGGCAAGCGAAGGCGCGTGGTAATAAAGTAGGTAAATAATATACGTTAAAATTACCAATTTCTTGTAAATATTACGATATATGGAGAATATGATAGCGAAAAACTATTCAACATACAAGATTTTACTAGATCAACAAAAAACTTTTTAATTTAATGATGCTAAGGAGGGTAATTCGATTAAAACTGTTCAGCGAAAAAAGGAAGGAGCCGACAGTCGACGGCAAAGTTATTTTCGGAAACAGGGCTATGAATTTAGATAAAAAATGCTACCACGTGTTTGTAATTTGCAAAATTAATATCAAATGGAATAATCAATTTAATATAAACCGTATTAACTTTCCGCGAAAAAAAAATAATTAGCCACCTACCATTGCAATGATGATGAGATTTTAGATTCAGGAATATATCTTATCAACTAAAAACTTGTGCAGAAATTAGCAGACACTTATTTCTTACTTAAGAACACTTTAACCGCCACAACTCATCAAACAAAACAGCCACACATTGTCGTTACAAATATTTTGCTGATGACGAAAAGAATAGACGACGATTAATTGAATAATTGAAGACTGAAAACGCGTGGCTAGTAGTGAGACGCGCTCGCGGACCACGTGGTGAAACTACTGCCGTGTGCGCTGCGAGGTGTCAGGTACAAGGCAAGTGCGTCGCGATAATACCCGTCAGTCAAACAAAAAAGTTTATAAACAAACGTAGTGGTAAACACGTACTTGAGAAGACGAAAGTAAAAATGCACAATATTGAAATAACACACATCCACGAAATCTACTTTTACTTTCAATATTTCTCGGCATCAGAAAAGATGATCAAAAACAGGAATTTGTAATTTACCAATGCAAATAAATGATTTATTATCTTCGTATAAGTTTACTGTATACCTTAGTTAATTAAATAATTGATGTTTAGAACACCGCGACTAATTTAAATAACCTATATAAAATAAAGTATTAAAATCGGAAAAATAAGAAGTGAAAAAAATTCATAACAAAAAAATACATGAGGCGGTACGGCCCCTTTTTCCCAGTTTTTTTGTCAATTCCGAATAGCACAAATTATATTTTATATTTTATGAATACGAGTCACTTCTACCGCTACCCTCATACTGTGCCCTGAACACGAGTAACTTCAACCGCTGCCCTCGTATTGTGTCCTGAATACGAGTCACGTCTACCGCTGCCCTCGTATGGTGCCCTGAATACGAGTCACGTCTACCGCTGCCCTCGTACGGTGCCCTGAATACGAGTCACTTATACCGCAATCTTCGTAGGGTGCCTTGAATACGACTAACTTTGACCGCTAGCCTCGTACGGTGCCCAACGGCACTTGTCGGTGCAACGACAAGAACGGATTTGACATTCTTAATATACGCAAAATACCCTATAAGATAAGCTGGCTAAAATGAAAATTTGATTGTAGATTATGAAAGATTGGATAAATCTCTATTAGATAAAAATTTTAAATTTTTTAATTTCATAGAGTCGAAAAATACGACTAAAAGTGCTCAAAAGTGAAATTTTCCAAACCCGAAACAATGCATTTCGCTATAAACGGTGAATAAATCACCTTTTAATGCAAATTTTCGCAAGTTGCAGGTCGAATTCCTGCTGCAGCAAACAAATACCACCCGACGGAGAATTTAATTACGCATCTCTTGGTGCCCCCGATAGACAGTATTAATTTTAAAAAAATCATCAAATTAACGCGAGAGCGCAAAAACCGGATAAAATATCATTTTTTCTGCAATAACTCACGTTGCAGACAATTCCTTTTCAACAAATTAATATAGCCTTATAGAGAATTAAATTTTGCAGGTCTAGACATCGCGCTCAAATTTGTGTGAGGCCCCGTTCGCCCACTATAATGAAAAAACGCACCTAATTAATCCAAGGACGCAAAAACCGGATAACATATCATTTTCTTTAATAAGTCACGTTGCAGGCAAATCTCCTTCAACAAATTAATATAGCGCTATATAGAATTAAATTCTGCATCTACAGTAATCGCGGTCAAATTTGTGTGAGGCATCGTTCTCCCACAAAAATGAAAAAAGGCACCTAATTAACTCAAGAACGCAAACACCGGATGAAATATCATTTTTCTGCAATAACTCATGTTGGAGGCAAATCTCCTTCAACAAATTAATATAGCTTTATAGAGAATAAAATTCTGCATCTCTAGACATCGCGCTCATATTTGTGTGAGGCCCCGTTCGCCCACAAACACTAAAAACGCACCTAATTCACTCAAGGATGCTAAAACCGGATAAAATATAATTTTTTTGCAATAACTCACGTTGCAGACAAATGTCCTTCAAAAAATTAATATACCCTTATAAAGAATTAAATTCTGCATCTCTAGACATCGCGCTCAAATTTGTGTGAAGCCCCTTTCTCTCACAAAAATGAAAAAAACGCACCTAATTAACTCAAGAACGCAAACACCGGATGAAATATCATTTTCTTGCAATAACTCATGTTGCAGACAGATCCCCTTTAATAAATTAATATAGCCTTATAGAGAATTAAATTTTGCAGGTCTAGACATCGCGCTCAAATTTGTGTGAGGCCCCGTTCGCCCACTATAATGAAAAAACGCACCTAATTAACTCAAGAACGCAAACACCGGATGAAATATCTTTTTTTTTTTGCAATAACTCACATTGCAGACAAATCTCCTTCAACAAATAAATATAGCTTTATAGAGAATAAAATTCTGCATCTCTAGACATCGCGCTCAAATTGTGTGAGGCCCCGTTCGTACACAAAAATGAAAAAAACGCACCTAATTAATTGAAGGACGCACGAACCGGATAAAATATCTTTTTTTTTCAATAACTCACGTTGCAGACAAATCTCCTTCAACGAATTAATATAGCGCTATATAGAATTAAATTCTGCATCTACAGTAATCGCGGTCAAATTTGTGTGAGGCATCGTTCTCCCACAAAAATGAAAAAATGCACCTAATTAACTCAAGAACGCAAACACCGGATGAAATATCATTTTTCTGCAATAACTCACGTTGCAGGCAAATCTCCTTCAACAAATTAACATAGCTTTATAGAGAATAAAATTCTGCATCTCTAGACATCGCGCTCATATTTGTGTGAGGTCCCGTTCGCCCACAAACACTAAAAAACGCACCTAATTAACTCAAGGATGCTAAAACCGGATAAAATATAATTTTCTTGCAATAACTCACGTTGCAGACAAATCTTCTTCTACAAATTAATATAGACTTATAGAGAATTAAATTCTGCATCTCTCGTCATCGCGGTCAAATTTGTGTGAGGCCCCGTTCGCCCACAAACACTAAAAACGCACCTAATTCACTCAAGGATGCTAAAACCGGATAAAATATAATTTTTTTGCAATAACTCACGTTGCAGACAAATGTCCATTAATAAATTAATATACTCTTTTAGAGAATTAAATTCTGCATCTCTGGACATCGCGCTCAAATTTGTGTGAAGCCCCGTTCTCCCACAAAAATGTAAAAACGCACCTAATTAACTCAAGAACGCAAACACCGGATGAAATATCTTTTTTTTTTGCAATAACTCACGTTGCAGACAAATCTCCTTCAACAAATAAATATAGCTTTATAGAGAATAAAATTCTGCATCTCTAGACATCGCGCTCAAATTGTGTGAGGCCCCGTTCGTACACAAAAATGAAAAAAACGCACCTAATTAACTGAAGGACGCACGAACCGGATAAAATATCTTTTTTTTTTCAATAACTCACGTTGCAGACAAATCTCCTTCAACGAATTAATATAGCGCTATGTAGAATTAAATTCTGCATCTCTAGTCATCGAGGTCAAATTTGTGTGAGGCATCGTTCTCCCACAAAAATGAAAAAATGCACCTAATTAACTCAAGGACGGAAAAACCGGATAAAATATCATTTTCTTGCAATAACTCACGTTGCAGACAGATCTCCTTTAATAAATTAATATAGCTTTATAGAGAATTAAATTATGCATCTCTAGACATCGCGCTCAAATTTGTGTGAAACCCCGTTTGCCCACAAAAATGGAAAAACGCACCTAATTAACTCAAGGACGCAAAAACCGGGTAAAATATCATTTTTTTGCAATAACTCACGTTGCAGACAAATCTCCTTTAATAAATTAATATAGCCTTATAGAGAATTAAATTCTGCATCACTAGACATTGCGCTCAAATTTGTGTTGTGCTTGATAATTAATTTCCACAATTTTTGATAGTGAATATCTTCTAAACTAAAAGAAATAGCAACCAGAAAATTGTAGATTGTAGAAGATTGGAATATTCTCTATCAGATGGAAAATAGTTTAATTTAATACGGTAAAAGGTCTAAAAACGCCACTGAAAGTGCTAAAAAATGCAAATTTTCAATTCTTGACGATTTATTTCAACTGCGAATATTTCGTAAACTAAAAGAGATAGATAGAAACGAATCGCAGGGTCTTAATCTACGGACAATTCTCTATAAAATATACTTAAATTGGAAATTTAAGAGATGACATTTTTAATTCATAAGAAAAAATGGGCAAATGGGAATCAGCTATACAATCATCCACGTACGGTGCCCTGAACACGAGTCACTTCTACCGCTGCCCTCTTTTAAACTAAAATCACAAGGATCAAAGAATATGAAAGATTGGAAAATTCTCTATCAGGTAAAAATTAAAAATAATTTTGTTCCGTTGGGGTATATGCGATCAAACCTAAACTAAAATATACTGCATGCGATATGAGCAGATGGCAATGCGACACAAAAATTGTTGTTTATACACAAACGTTGATAAATCAGCAATTTTAGGTGGAAGAAAGTTCCATCTATGATTTTACTGTAAATATAAACAAACAAATTTTCCAAGTTCTTCTAAAAATGAAAATGAAAAACCTCTCAGTGAGATGAAACAAGAATTGTGCTTAGCAAATTTTTATTTATGAATTACCTATTCTCGATCTCTCTTATTTTCCCAATTTGAATACCATATCTTATAGAGATATAGGGATATGGTTAAGGTGGAATTCCGCTGAATTGCATCTTAAAGTAAAACTCTTACGCGTTTGTAAGCGAAGGAAAAACTAAACAGTTAATTTTGAGATGTATCTGCCGAGTACGCGACTATCTTATATATTTGCAACACGCGGTGGAACGCGATAATTCAAGAAAACGCAAATACAAACTAATAGAGGACGCAGAACTTAAAACCAAAAAATATAATTGAATTTATACTTACCATTGCACAACTCATGGACTCCATGGCAAGGCAAATACTGAAAATAAACAAAGAAGACATAAGTTAAAACAAAAACATTTAATACAATTTAGTAATATTATAATCACAGAACGGAGAAAAACCAACAATCTGTGCTGTTTAGTTAAAAGTATCGAGTACTTGCACCAGCACAATTAGTCCTCCTAATGATAATATCAAATCAACATGGGAGCGATACACTTAACCGGCATTTATGGACAATAAACGCGCAAACAGTAAATTATATTACTATAGTCGATTGATGATCGAATATAATGCGAATTTGGAAAGTAGATATCCGGACAAACAATACGAGTCGCGTAAAATATTGGATCAACCAGATACCGGCACGAAACTGGCTGTAACCTGTGCAAGCAACGACGCGACAGTTTATGATAAGAAAGCAATAGATGCGCAGAGCCAGTGCGTCGATGGCACGCGACCCTGTGCGAGAATCGCTTTGGCACGTTACCTGCGATCAAAACTAAACTAAGATGCGCCAACATGCGGCGTGAGGGGTTCTCATGCGTTGCATTCTCGCGGCGAATGCGATAAGAAAGTGTAAGTTGTGTTCAAAACAAAAACAATTCTTGTGTCGAATGCTCGCGCTTGCTGATAGCTATAGAATTAAACAATACATGTCTATTTTATAATTTTTGTTAATCTACGGACAATTCTCTATAAAATATGCTAGATAAATTGGAAATCTAAGAGAAGAAAAAAAAACTGAATGAGACTCTACCATACAATTGCGATTAATTGCAATATAACTAAATAAACAAAGAAAAACCAACGTTCTTGACATATTTAAGTCAATAAGCTTGAATAGTGCATATCTTTTAAACTAAAAGCGATTGCGACCAACAGATTTAAGAACATGAAAGATTGGAAAATTCTCTATAAGATAAAAATGGAAAATGTCTATTCTTTGGGGTAATGGTCCAAAAATATGACTAAAGCGATAAAAAGTGCAATTTTCTGATTTTTGTCATAAGATAAGAAGTAAGAATACAACTGCTTCACTTGAAGTTACAACACATGCCATGCAATGTTAAGCACATTTATGAATATAACAATCTACAAAACACTACGAAAATATGATAATAAAGAAAGACAAACGGCGGAAACATAATCAATCAATGTGGTTGAGAATATTATTTAATTTTCTTACTGGTTAGTACTGTAAAACTTCCATCGTAAACGGCATCCGTCGGCACCCCGCTCACGAACAAATACACAATATTTGCATTTCGCAAACATTTTATAAGCGATAAATCATTAGCGAGACACAATAAAAACAATAAATACTAAGAACACCGAAAGTAATACGAGTTACCGAATTAAATCCGAAGAAAGGAGAATTGCGTCGACTGAGTGCGAACCATCCATCGGATACGGCGAAACTAATTTTATTCCTGCAGCGTGAGCAATCACACGGTCGCGTATATAGTACAAAACTATACACGAATATCGTACGCGAATCACCTGACAATATGAGATAAGAATACACCGGTCGAATTCCAGTGCGACGTGAGATCGCAAGGCTGTTGAGACACTGCCACATACAAACATTAGTTGTGTATTTACGCCAACAACAATATATAAATTCGTGTTTCCCTTTTCTTTCATTGTAGTTACTTCGAAACTCGCCAAATAAATCTTAATTCTTGATTGATTAATATGAATTTCCTTAGTCGTTTAAACCTGTTGCAATTCTATATCATTAAATTTATGTGATTTATATATTCATATAAGCACTTAGTCGCAAAGGCCTTATTTGTCGAAAAAATTTAAAACAAAATACGCATCATTCCCACGCGTAAATCCACGCTACGATTCATAAATTTCTTTAGGTGAATAGTGGCATTTTCAAATATGAGACAACTTTTAGACAGTCAAAAATAATTGAACATTCAAATAACTTAATAACTGAAGAGATACGGAAATTTCTTCTCGCAAGAGAACGCAAATTGTTATGAATACGCACGCAAAGTACGGCATAAACGAGGCACTATAGATGAATTGAAAATGAATGCAATAAGGGTTTCACTATCTTGCGCAAATTCAAACTGTGATATGAAAAGAAACATTAGAGCCAACAAAGCTCATAGCAGCGCCATCTAGGCGTTGTAGATCTAAACATTTGTCAACATATATTTAAAATTTGCACGTAACTAGCGCCATCTAGTTGTAACGGTAACAACTAGATAAGATAGAAAACTGCAACATCACTAGTAACACTTGGATACTCAATCTGTTATAAATAATTTTAGAAAACATCCCACTTACACTTACAAAATAATGCAAAATTAGTACCTCCAGTTTTTTAAGTCATTAATCATATTCAACATGCACTAAATAGTGAAGTTAATCATTAAGCATTAAAAACTAAAATGTGATTTCAAAGTTCAATATTGACTCAATGATGACAATCATTGTTTTATGTGCATATATGTAGAAACTTCTGCTTTAAATTTAGAAATGGACTTAAAATTAGTACCATAATTTACAATTGATGCTTCTAGAATATGCTAGTTAATTTAATGTAGAAGTTGTACATAGTAGAACTTAATTAACTGATTAGATAATTAATTTCACTTACTTTTATTGTACGATTGTGTAGTATCAACGACAAGACGTGTTCATCCTTTCTGCATCATCGTAGAACTCGCCAATATGTCCGCCGCAGCGTACGCCCTCAGCCTCAGCTGGATTGCTGTAATGTTAGTTGCATACGTTAAAATGACTATAACCCAAAAGGCAAGATCAGTATTATTAGAAAAGTTTAATATTTGTTCAAAATATTGATACGACGTGAATTAAATATTGAATAAATTGTAAATAAAAATCAAATATCGCGTATTAATTATATAAAAAATAATCTGCATCGTGTAGTAAGACTCATTCTCAGTAATATAACAAGTTGTTTATCATAACATGTTACAAACTTGATAAAATACAGTGAAAAGGCATAAAAGAGTTGAAAACTTTTCCGGGAATCATAAACGATATAAATTATTTGCTTCAATTGGTTTTATTGCTGTTGAAGTTCATTAATAACGAATAACATTAATGCTCGCTTTGATTCATACGTGAAATAAAAGTGAATTTCATAGAATTGCGCCGGGAGAAAATGAAAAGCGTTAAGACCTCAATCACAAAGGCACTGAGACGATTCACAGGTTTAGTTCAGATTTCAATGGAATTGCGATTTATGTCGCACTAAATATCTTCATTAACTCAGACGTATCTTCAACAAATTGCGAATTACGAACACTGTCAGGTCGCAAATTTTCATTCCAGGCATTTCATACCAAAGGCGTTATAACACCTCTGACATTTCACGTTTTCGAACACAAATGGTATCACTTCCGCGAAACGCATAATAAAAGCGACGCGTTTCCTCGCCAGTTGCAAAACGTTTACATCCGCTTCCATTATTTTCCAGCACTGCGACATGAAAAGCGAGCCCGGTTGAAGCTCTACAAGGATCAACACGTGCGCAGGATGTAGAGAAAAGGCGTTGAATCAACGCGCAAAATGCAGTTAGTGAGAATTTTATTATTATCTAGAGCAAGGCTGGCCAATGGATTTTCCTGGAGGGCCAATTTTTTTAGAATGCGGCAGCACCGGGCCACAGACTATGGCCATTCGTACATAAAATATTATACATATACAAAAGTTCCAACTTTGGTTTGTGCGGCGGGCAAATTCAAATGTCCTGGCGGGCCACCTCGTGGCCCGCGGGCCTGGGATTGGCCAGCCATGATCTACAGCAGAACTTCCTCCATATCAATCATTCTCGAAAAGAAGTCGTAATCCACTTGCAGAATATTTATACGCATCCTGGAATCTTGTCTAAAATTGGAATATTATAATTTCTAGTAAAAGCAAAAGCTAATTCAATTACAACTTGAGTTCTCAAATTAGAATTTCGCCACTTATTCCCGGAACGAACAAAATCCCCATTTTCAGAGAATTAGAATATGTGCACCGGCTCATCGAGTGGGTGCCAACGAGTTAATTGATTTTCAAATGTTTATTATTGGCCTCTTAATTGAAAAAATAGATAACGTATGAATTGTTTGCTCACTTGGGAGCGCAATCGGATTCCGAGAAAGTCGACGGGCATATTTCCACGTTCGCATCACTTACAACTCTAATTGAATCGTTGGATCACCGGAAATCCGCCTTCCAAAACAAACACGTCCCTAAATCAATTTCCCGATAGCAGCGTCTTCCTTGTCAATATTTTACTATCATTCTGGAAATTACCAGGCGCTGCAATCAAATATTTATTTAATTTATTAGATGTGGGCGCATGCAGTTCTCGGTATTGTGCGATAAGTGAATGAATTTTGAGAAATCGATTATCCGGTTTCGTTTTTGATTACCCGCGCGATAAAACATACACGTGTTTGATGTTCATACGTATTGTAAAGTGTAACACAATGAAATTGCCGTTTTTATAAAAACCAACGCATGATTTCGTGTCGAAACCGTTTTTCCTTGTGTGCATCTGTTAATATTATTAGTTATGTGTGATTTGAATTTGTACGGTTGAATGCCCGCACGCGTGTTCACCATGAAATAGTTGATGTCGATGATCATACCTACCATACACACAGCTTTCTTCGTCTTCGTCGTCTTTTTCTCGGTTCATTCACGCGCCCACCCTTCGGCGCTTGATACTAGACAGCTGAATCAGGCTGTAAAACGCGCGAAGAGGTAGTTGTGCTCTCGCCAGCTTGCCGCACGATGGCCATTCTCGGAAGTAGAAAATAAAAATTGAAATGCACAAAAAAGGCCACACGTCCGCGCGCTCACACGCCGGACACTCGAGAGTTGGATGGTGTGGCGGGATGGCTCCTTTCACATGCATAATACACAAATACTCGGAAAACAGGGGCCCTTCTGGAGGGCCCGACGCGCGCGCGCGCGCCTGGGTCCGAAATTCCACGAAGAAAAAACCCTCGTCATCTCCGAGAATTTTATACACTCGGGCAACGGGCTTATATTTGTTGTGCTTTTTTTTTTGTTCTGCGTGCGACGCTCTCCGTTTCGAGTTGCAGCGGTTCCAGCTATTTATTCCTTCACTTTCTAACCGGCGTGTGTTCCGAGAAGCAGGCGGCAAACAATGCTCGAAATTCGTTAAGTCCACTCACGTGAAGACTTATCAATAAGTTGCACAATTCGGCAAATTTGGGAATCTAGGCCGCTTATGTGTAAAGTGTTATCCAGCTCTATTTATAGCTCATTGCGGATGAATTTATTAATGCGCTTATGACTCCAGAGAGCATCGTCGATAAACAATGGCGCAAGCATTTTATGTTTTATATTTGCAGGTTTTCCAGGGAGCTTTTACTTTCGGTGGTCGCACGTGCGCATTTGTTTTATTCATTTCATGTGCCACTTTTCGGGATGCTACGAAACGCGCAACGCAGCGCGTAATTTATTCGACGCGTTCTTTCCTGCTGCTACGAGAGCGCTTTCCACGTGGCCATGAATGAATTGAAATGGGACTGAATGGACGCGCAGTGGCGGACATTTTCAATGAACACGAAATAACCGCGGCGTGCCGTCAACGTTACTCTACATCTAAATGCGACGCATTTTATTTACGCGTCGCAAGCACTCAAACATAATTAACAGAAAAACACGGGACGCATCGATTTTTTGCGCGTCAAGTGTCACAAGTGTGTGACAAATACTTAAGTGCCTAATGTCCACTTTAAAAAAATGTTTACATAGAAAACTATTGGCTAAGAATTTATGTCTTTATGCGCAAAATTTTTCTTTTTATGACATACGAAATGTGTTGGCGAAAAAATTTAGTAATAAAATTGAGTTAGGCGAATTCATTACGCAACGCCGTTAATTGCGCATGGTTGATTGTCGATTTAACGACCGAATAAGGCGCGCGACACCAACGCCCAGAATACGGGTACCGAAAGAAAAGAAACAAAACGCTGCCGATGATGGCATCCTCTCGGATGTCACAACCCGTCTCGATTCTCAGAGCGGCGACCGCGCGACTTGCGTGTGCGTTGCTGTTTGTTGTGTGTGTGTTTTTTTTTTCGTTCATCTGCCCGCTAATCGTTTACCGCGAACAACGTACCAACACATCCACACAGAATGATTGTCTTCCGAAACGAAAACGTAATTAACAACAATTATTCAAACAGCGGGCATTATCAATAAGGCATAATTTATGTTCGGAGAATCGCGGCGCGACGACACAAAACTGTAAAGTAATTGCGTTCGCGGTAAAAAGCCAAGCACACCGCCGACCGGCAGCGCATCTGATCAAACAGACCAGCGTGCAAACAATGCGCGCGTCGTTTCCGCGTATTAATTATGTCTCATTGCGACAGATAGCGCACGGATTATGTCTCTTTCATTGGAAGTACGACTGATCCGCAGATTACACCAATCCTACGAAGGGAATTCTCTCCAGTCGGCGCCGTTGAAAGAATTGCGGTGCGCTAGGATTACAACAAGGTGGTTGTTGTGTGACTTTCCGGGAAGCAGTGCTTATCGTCCGGCTTTTATTAATGATTTGATTGTTGATGGCAGGAGGCACCCCACAGCCATCTGGCCCGGTCTCGCCCTGGGGCAGAGAAATCACTCCGCTCGCTTCCACGAAACGCACACACCGAACATATGCCCCGCACGCAATGCATCCGAATTTCAGAAAAACGGGCGAGTTTTTTTTTGTGACGTTGCATGCATTGATGTGCCCTGCCCTAGACCGGGGGCACATGTGTGATGTCAGATGTGCGAGGAGGTGCACGTGGCGTGCGTTTGTTGCACACTAACGAGGCGAGGCTGGGATCGCGTGACGTGTGACATTCTACGCAGAATTCGGTCCGGCGTTTTTTTTTTTTTACTTCTCGATTTATTTTTAGATTTGGGGTCCCCACAGTCGTGGACACTTTGTTTTGCTGGCTGACGTCGTCGGCGATGACGTCCCCAATTGAAGCAAACACTTTGCGGTGCCAAATATATTAATAATTCACGTACATACGTCAGAAAAGAAACTTCTTTCTTTTCTGGCATTTATTTATTTCAAAGTCAACCGAAAACTTAAGCCGACTCATCCCGGCTTTCAGCTTTTCTACGGTTCCACAAATGGTATCAAAATGAATGTATAAATATTGGGAAATACGCAAGATTCAACAACGTGTCGCAACTTCGCAGGTTCCGAGTAAATTTCAATTGCGGTTGCACACAATGAGGTCATCAGTCGTGGTGTGCATTGTGTGGGTATATGTGTGTTCTGTGCTGAACCGTTAAGTTCGTAGTAAACGCGAGGCAGAATGTGTGTCTCCGGCGATTCGTCACGTCAGTGTGCGTACCGGCGCGCGAATCGTATTCATTTTCATTTCCATGTAATGCGAAAATTGTTTGCGACACGCCGCAAACGTGCGAGCGTGAAATTTTAATGGTAATAACTTAACATACAGCTTGATAGTACTTGAGGGCGGGGTCGATCGGCAACGCGTCTGCGGTGTGCATCGTAATTATTCTTCTTCCTCGAACGGGTATGCAAAGTCGGTCTTGTGCCGATTTAGGAAGGCGCCGAACTTGGTGATCACCGACGATTCGGTTTCCACGAACACGTCGTCGAAGTCGTCGAGCATGCTACTGGGAACTGTAAAAGACGATTTAATAGCGATATTTTTATGAGCGCTCCAGCGGTTTTTGTTTATACGACTTTTTCGTGGGATCGCAGCGGCGCGATTGATTTATTACCTTGCGGCAGGATGCCGAAATCGCCGAAGATGTCTTGGTCCTCGCCGTCGCGCACATAACTCCAAATTTGCAAGCATTTCAGCGTTTGAAGAATCTAGACACCAGACACAACACACACTCATATTTGCAGAGAAACCAAAATAATGATAAAGTGCTCACCTCCACAAGATAATAAATGTCGACGGGTTTTATGATGTTGAAGCGAGTGCAGAGGCGATTGAAAGTGATACACGGATAGCTCAGGCAGTGGGACAGAATGATCGACATCCATTTCTCTAGAATTTTATCGTCCACGGTGCCGTCAATACGAATCCACGGACTGATCCTTAGACGATACCCTCCGTAAATACTGTAACAAACAGGCACGCCATGTGTCTTCTGAAGAACTATAAAACATAATCTCCTACTTGTCACTTTGTGGATTCTCGCTATGCAAATAAATACTCCAACTATGGCGAAAGTTATGATGCACGAAGAAGTGATTACAGACACCCACACGTAACACTAAACCAGTTTCAATCACATGCTGTAGATGCCTAACGTCAATTCCGGGAAATTTCCTCTGCAACAATCAGAATTAATTAGTATCATCCACTGATGTAGCAAAGCTATTATTTTTACTTTTATGTCAGTGGAAGATGCCCCCAAGACGTTTTTCGTGTAAATGTAATTGGCGAGTTCCTCGGCTTCAGGTTCTAAGTGCAATTCACTTTGATCCATTTGAATGTTGCGAATTAACGCATCGTTGAGTACTTTTCGGAGAATTCCGTCACTGGCATTCGAGATGTCCTCGTGCCAATTTTTGAAGACCGCATCGTCTCTGGTCTGCAGTTCGTTGAAACGAATGCGGCAGGTCGGATAACGCACGATGAAGTGCTCGTTTAGCTTCTCGAGGCGCTCGTCGTCGTCGAGTTCGGGGAACAGACCCTTCGTGAGCATGAACGCCATGTCGGAAATGCGCCAGCTTTTGTGGCGCCGATCAGCTTTGCCGTAGTTTCCGAAATCGGCAATTTTTGTTGTTTTGATTGCTCGTTCTTCCGAGTCTTCCTGTGACTCCACAACGTTATCCTCAGATGCAGAAACTGGGACATCTGCAGGAATAGCATCAGTGGTATCTACAACACCAACAGCAGAAGAACTTTCTTCCTTATTTGCTACTATAGGTACTATTTCAGTTGGAATTTCATCAGGTGTGGTTTCCTCAGTTTCCATTGCTTCTTCAGTTTCCTTCTTACCACTTTCATCTTGCATATAGCTACGTAAAGTGGTCTCCAGTTGCTTGATAGTATCTGGATCATAGGTTCCATCTTCAGTCTCCTGGGACTTCTTCATCAGCTCGGTGTAACGCTGTGTCAACTCTTTGATAAGCTCACTGAAGTCACTCATATTCGGATTCAATGTGATAATATCATCCGGCAAATCAAATACCCAATTGATTCTTCGAGCTGCTTGGAACTCGCCAATACACAAACCATGACCATGTTCAAATCTCTCAAAAGACAGACCCTTGGTCTTGAAATGCTCAAAGCGTCTCATCATAGTCATGAAGAGTTCATGCGCCTCAGTAAAAATACAATGCGGAAACTGTGTGATCTGTTTGAAGGTGTAATTGAAAGACAGATTGTAAGTGATACCACTCATTAGAATAGTACCTTCACAACCATTCTTCATTTTCTTCCCGGAAATAATTTGATAATCCCGCATGTTTACCAATGCAGTACGTAACAAGTCCTCTGTAAATGTTTGGTAAACTTTGAGCAGTTGAAACGGCCACTGTTGATCATTGGTGGCGTTACCACCAAGGGAACAATGGATAACAGACTGGATCGTATCCAAGTTGACACTTTCTTCATCTGTAGGATCCTTACAGAAGTTATCTTCGTTTGTCATATGTGAATCAAATCTATCAATCATTCCAGGTTGAAGATAATCCTTAAAAACCACTTCATTCACTTCCGGTTGTTCTCGATTCTGATTTAATTTATAACGCTTCCAGGCATACAGCGCCAAATAGGTAAAAGCAATATTCAACTGCGAATCAGTTATAATATTAGTTGAGGTTCGTTTGAGATCATTACGAAGTTTCCCAAAATGTTTCTCCATGTAGAAATCAGCTTGTATTTGAACATTCGACCCATCCTTCTGATCGTTAAAAGTGTTCCGTTTCCGCAGCTGTATTAACCTCCGTCTATACGCCAGTGAAGTTTTCTTATTCTCCAAAGGCAAAACCCGATGGATAAAATCCCGTATCGCTGTAGTTCCCACAGAACGTTTTTTGTTAAATGCGGTCAGATATTCCGTGCAGGCCAAGCACACAAGGACAAGTTTATCCTCCTCAGCGTTGAAAATCGCTCGACATTTTCCCATTTTCTCTAAAATATTCTTATCGATCATATCCACGCGAATACGCTTCTTCTTGACAACCTTGCGCGGATGAACTTTTCGTAGAACTACGCTCTTTTTATAACAACGTGCTTGCCTCTTGGCCTTGCTTTTCCGGACACGTGTGACTATGCTTTCCGCCTCTCGTGAGTTGCAAACCTTGAGTTTCCGGATCCTTCGAATGTGTTGCACATCATGAGACCTGATGGGTCTGAGTTCCTCCAAATGTTTTCGTCGCAAACCAGTGGTGTGATGTAGACTACTAGAGTTGTTTTGGGGAGTTCGCGAATACCAGTACCAGTTCTTTTGTACATAGAGCCAAATAGCACTATCGGAACAACATGCCCCAAGACCATCACCAGGAAGGTACCCAATATCATTCCTTGCGGCACTTTCGATTGTCTGTGGCTTTAAGGTAGCTACCAAGAGCGGTTTCGCATGCACGTACTCCAACTTGATACTCTGACCGATGACTGACCCACGACTTCCCAGTTTGGTATTGATAGCAAAATAATACATATCAGACCAATACTTTTCAACAGCTGTTGCATCCGACAGCGTATACTCCATCCGAGGGTATTCTTTTTGGGTAATATGGTGATACCCATGCTCACTAGAAGTGGTATCATATATCACCGCCTTTGTATTGAGATAAATGAAAACCTGGTCCTTTTCGCGCATTTTCTGTGGTCCAAATTGTACCAGACCCATATAAGCCAAGTAGCAGATAATTTCGTGCAGAGAAAAAATATACTTCCGATATCCAAGCAACGCGTCCTGCATGCTTACCGGCAGGTTTTTCACGATGAAGTGTTTCCGCACTGGATGATTCAGATAGCTGGGCAGCTCGGGAATTACGTATGTCACATTGTACATCCGCACAAAGAGTGAAACAGGCAGACGCAGAAAAATATCCGAGATCAATGCCCAACCATCAGGCCAATTCTTATGTTTAGGCAGAGGCGGCACAAACATACGCCAAGTTGCTTCGCGTTGATACAACGTAGTAGCTTCCTTCATCACACTGTCAATGCTTTCCATCTCACAGTGGTTGAGGAGTACATTGCGGGCTTCTTCGCGTGAGAGTGCTGATCCCGTATAACCACGCATGACATAAAACAAAAACTCGTGCATGATACGCATTTTCGTCACCTTTGGACTCGATCCATAGGTCCTGCCAATGAATCGGTTGTATTTAAAACGTCGCGGAACAACTGGTCCATGATCTTCTTCTTCAAACAGTTTCCGTTTAGCATACATCAGAAAACTGTTTTTAAATTGATCTACAATACTTTGTATTAAAGTTTCTGCATCGGCTTTCGGATCAGTGATGACGTTCTTTGTGCGTATACAATTGTGTAATTTAAGAATAATTTTAATAATGACAAAGTCACCTCCGCGAACAAGAATGGTGAAAATTCGCTGCAAGCTCTTTCGATCCACTCTGGCATTATACCCTTCGGCCTGCTCGCTTTGATTCACAATCGAATACATTTTAATTAGATCAATAACCGTCTTCTGGTTGTAAATTGTTTCTTTGATTAATTTAACGCGGCTTTGTAGACGCACTGAATTACTAATCAACGTCCTCCATGATGTGAAATGCTCCGGGGATGTCGACAATACAAGCATTGTTTCAATGTCTTGATTATCTTTCGTATGGCTCAGAATACGCGGCTTGGGACCCATGAACATTTCCATATCCACATTGAAGAAATTCTCCGGGGTCATGCTTTCCTCAACTGAGGACGCGGGGGTGGAATCAATTGCATCAGCGAGCGGAATACTTTGTGCGTTGAACCTGTCACGAAGCTGCGCATTCTCCAGCTCAAAGTGCTCTATGATCGCAGTCTTCACCGATTCCGGAACTTGCTCCCTTGTAGACGTATGCGTGGCATGCATTCCACTAGCCACAGACTCCAATGTATCTAATTCCTCAAAGCGTTCATCATCCGAGGATGATAAAGGCTCGGAAATGTCGATCTCGTCAGCAATATAGGCATCAATCGGCTTTGGAGTGAATTCCGAGTCGAGCAGGAGTTTAAAAGGTTCAAAAGTTTTAAGCTTTCGCTTTGAATGCCGCACAATTATATTACACCGATCCTTTACATATCTATCACTATTTGTAGATGCAATGTTAAACAGACAATTGGGCACAAAGGACGAGCCAGTATTTAATACTCCCACATTCTTCGTGCATTCCAGGAAGCTAAAGATGTTATCTTTCTTTACAATCGAGCGATCCTTAGACGCTCTCAAAGGCCGTAAATTCTCGACTTCAAAGGAATGTTGATTCGCGAAGTACGTATTTAAGTTGTCGTTATCTTTGGCACGTCGCAGAGTCTCTATAATTGTGTAGTTATTAGAGCTGGGCTCTATTGTCTCCTGTTCCGAAGTGTAATCAGAGGTTTCCTTTAGAATGCTTGGTTCTATCTTGAGAACATCCGAAATAAAATCGTAAGTTTCATCATCGACTTTCATTTCTTCATCATTGATTTCTTCAGATGTAACATCATTATCTTTCTTATCATATTCCGTCGAATAGTAGACTAAATAATGTTGGCGTTTGGAATCCCTCATGCTATGGTTTATTAGACGTGCGGTCATCAAATTTTTACACATATTTCTAGCTGTGTAGTGATCAACATTCGCAAGAACGCTGAGCGCCCGCAGGGTGATACCCTCGGGGCCAGCTTGCCGAATCACCTGATATACCCTCTGCCTGCTCATAATTCCCAAAGGGGCAACACTGGCCTGCTCTGTATCACAAGCATCCTTTATTTCTTCATCCTGTTTATCACCTTTGAACATTGATTGAATGTTTAGGTTCGGATTGCGCAGTTCAAACACACGTAGAAGTTTTTCTCGTTCCTTCTCCTTCTTCTTCCGCCACTCGGCGTTGTTTGCGTTGGGATACATTATCCGATAAGGCACTGTCACATCAGTTTTTACGTACTGCCGAAATTCGGGAGTTTTGATGATCTTCGATATTTGATATTTGTCCCAGGTAGTTGCTCCGAGTAGATGCCGTAGTTCCATGTACTCCATTCGACATTCCGGCTTGTCTTGAATCATCTTGACTATGAATTCTGTAATCCGTTGACGCTGGGACTTCACTTCAGTATAAAACCGTCGGAGATGAATCAAACCACTCGTTTGTGTATTATTTTTCTCAGTCCGCTGATTATAATTCTGCTTATCGACTAACCGCATTATTTGGAGAAGATTTCTGTAGTAAAACAGTGTTTTCGGGTCACTCACCACCTCGGAGAGAGATTCGGGTCCGGTGGTGGTTACTCCTTGACGCCTACCTCTAGCTATCCTTTCCAGAATATAATACTGGTGAGGAGTCAACATGCCTTCAATGTCTAATAATCGCGGGTCCACAAAAGGACTTATCAGAGTGATGATACGAAGTGTTTGGGAAGCTACCAACACTAAACAGTTGCCCAAAACTTCCGCATCCTTTAAACTAAACTCTTGAACCTCAATTGATTGCCGCTCATCGTAGGTGGAACATGAACCGATCTCATTAGTGAGAACATTATTTATTGGCTTGTACGGATAAGGATCATCACCTTCATCTCCAGGGGAAAATTTCAGCTTGGCACGAGGATTGTTTAATTTATAAGCTTGTATTTGATTCATCGCTTTCACATTGTTCCACACAAACTCCATCAGATGACGACCGAGGGGTTTCACGATAGATAAACTTATTGCTAGGCGTAACCAGAGAGCTTCTAATGTGATCCCGTCCAAACCCTCAAGCGCAATTTCATCGAAAGCCGTCGCGATTATATTTTGACCCCCAAATCCGCTAAAACGCGCATTGTCCCCCGGTATTGCGATAGAACTTTCTTTAAAAATCAGGTTCTCAGAGATCTCCGCTTGCGTATCGCCAGTTTCGCCCTCATTCTCTACCTGAGAACTTACGTCACCTTCTTGATCGCTGGATTGCAGAATGGAAGCGTCATTTTCAGGAACCGGAGCAACGGAAGGATCTAGTTTAGCACGTTTTGCTTTACTTTTAGGCTTGGGCTCTTTCGAAAGGGTTCTTTTAGGACGCGAGACTTTGATTGCGCCCATGTCAGTCACAGAATAGACCGGATCAAGTTTGGAAGTTTTCGTAGGTTTTTTTGATGCTTTTGCAGAGGATTGTGCACTTTTGTTACTCGTTGATGAATCCTGAGAAGTCCCCGAATCGATGAGGGACTTACGTTTTGCCGGCGTAGACATGATTACAAGAAATTTAAAACCTGTAACAAAAAAAACAAGAAAGCAATTTATACGAGATAGAAAAACGTCAAGTAAATATTGACGCAAGCCTACACCAAATACTCTAGGCGCCGCCGAAGTTACCATGAAGCGATTCGTTACGAAAGGTGAGCAGCGCGCGACAAGAAAAAATATGAAGTCTTGGAATTCACTTAGTTCGTCTTATTCGCGCCGTGGAGCACACAACCGCAAACTTCGGCGTATTTAGTTTAAATCGCCCCATCGATTCGTCAATTTATAAATAGATTTCCAGGTATTTGTGTATTCGGAACAACGTAACCGCGGCGTCAGGGGGTCAGGGGGATACGTATAGAAAAACAAGTGCACAGTGGGGCGGCAGACCGTGACACAACGTACCGCCGCTCGGAAAATCGATGCCAATTTTCTTTTTCACATATATATATATATATTACCTTGGATTCGGCGCGCCGCCCGTCAACCACTAACAATACACATTAGAAAAACGATTCAAAACACGAGTTTTCATAAAAGTCGGTCATTAACTAAATGCGGCTTCACACGCGCAAAAAATACTTTTACAAACTACAATAAACAGCATTCTACCACGAATTGTATCGGAACCTATAATAACTGAGTTACAAACTCGCCAAAGTGATAATAGAACATTTTATTGCATTTTTTTTCGGAATACAATCGCGACAAATGAATGAAAAACAAAAATAAAAATAAAAACCAAATCAAATCAATATAATAACATCAGTTTACATGTTTTAATTGGAATCGAATGCAAAATGAATGAATGTGTGTATGTATGCACCTACCGAAATGATTGGTACTACCGTCGAAGTAAATTTTGCTGCGCAAACAAATTCGCGGAACCGAAGCCATGCAGTAATAATGAATATCATATCCTGGCTTGCGGCACATTTTCTTATTATTTGCCAGCATAGAAAAAACTTTGACAATATAAGTACGCGACGCATTAAACCATTTCATAAAAGCGTAGATTATGTATAGTTTCAGCAGGTTTTAATACGTGTAAGTAGGTATATTTAGTTTACTGGGTCATCGCCGTAAATGATTCTTATAGGTCAAGTACTTTTCAACAATAGCCTGTGTCATGTGGTTTGCACATCGGTGCATTGACTATCGCATATTTTGCACATGCAAAAGTTTGCAATTTCGTTGCGTACGCATATTTTTAATTACAAGAAGTTTAATTAAATGTTGATAGAGTTCGCTGAAGGCAAAGTTTGCTGTGCCGGGAAAAGGTAGTACCTACAAAAAAATAGATGCGTTTCAATGAGAATCTTGGGAACACGTCGAACGCGATGGCAAAATAGGAAAATATTGTTGAGGCAGGTACGGAGAAAACCTATAAATTGAAATTCAGTTAAAATACGGTAAAAATTATTTGCAATCGGTGTGATCAACAGTTCCGCAGAATGTAAACAAATGAGTACCAAGAATTCCGTGTGCCGACAAATTGAAGCCTGTGTAAAGCGTGCAATCAATGAAAAAACTGAAAAATCATGTAACCAACGAGTAATGAGACTGGATCGCGAAAGCTGCCACCACCCAATTAAAAAAATACAATGCAATTTTTTTCTTCCAAGGTAATTTTGTTTCTAATGAAATGCACTGATAAGAAATTTATTAACACACGTGTACTACTTGTCAGCAGTATTCAAAAACCACAATATCGCTCGAAATTCGTCGAATGCTCATTTTAATTACGAGCTCATTAACATTTTTGGTTCGCTGTCGAGCGCGACAACGACTTTCCGAGTAAAGAAACAAACACGCATTGTTCGAGCAAGATTATTAATTAAGGAGTAATCTAGCGTGGTCACACTTTCCTTGGAAGTGCCCAAAGTGTAAACTCGCTCGATGATGATTAGGAATTGCGATTAGCTGGGCGTACGGGCTTACTGCAGGCCAGCAAGAATGAACACAAACAAGAATAGTGATAATTAATCATAAGCCGGATGTTGATACGCTGATAAAACGAAGCCGGCGTTACGTAAAATTCAATTTCTTAGAAAATGCGCGGTCGCTCGCATCGATCGCAGCGCGCGCGTGTGACTTGCGACTTTCGCGCGGCGTTTATATGAATATTAATTTTCCGAAAATACGCGTCCACACGCGCACGCAGCATGTGTCGACAAAGGCGTAATTTTTCGTCGGCGCATTAGTGCCCTATGATAGAGAGCGAAGTGTTATTGCTGATGTCGCTTAACGAGCGCCAACAATAAACATCGGATTCCCAGTATCGACGATACTCCCGACGAAATAAAAAAATGCTCGCCGCGTTTGTTTACCGATATGTCCTCGTTATCCGCGACTTCTACGAATTTTCACACCGCCGCTGTTGATAAGCAGTGTAGAGGGTGGTGTGTATTTTTAACAGGTGGTTACTTCGGAGCGTGCTACGCATTAATAATAAATTATCGATTTGTGAATATACGGCGCAAACGCCGCAAGCGTTTTGTTTCACGCAACTAGTTGTTCCCGGCCCTCCCCGGCGCGGGAAATAAAGGTGCGATGTTTGTTTGCTCTAGTTTTTTTTTTCTGTTTTGGCAAGAAGCAACTAGAAACACATAAAGTTGATAGGTGAAGTTAATGCGTCCAACGAAACGGATGATTTCCGAGAAGCCGAATATTGCGAGCCGCTCGCCTTTTGGCTGGCGCTAAATTCTGAGTATTATTACATCGAAATTACCGTACTCCGTATGTTGCATGCATACATACTGTCACACACACACACACATGCACAGGACAAACGACGAAAATATACGCGCTTAGAAATTAACCCAATTGTGTGCGCCTGCCTGCCTTGTTGAAGCGTTGGAGGACGAAGAATAAACGCAAACAAACACGACGATTGAGAAATGTATAAACTACTCGCGAGTTGCTGGAAACAATGTTTATTGCGCGCTATATATCTCAATTTAATGCGCGGCGATTGATTAAAAAAATGTAATTGACTACCGAGAACCTCGCTTCGTTTATACTTTTATAGTATTTATGGATTATTTATTCCGGGACGTCTATATTTGGAGGCTTCCACTTAATCGATTAATTATTTACTTTGCTTCGATTCCAGCTAAAGGCGGCGCGGTTATTATTTGATAGATACTGTAGGTAGCTACGCACGCTTTTCCGAAAAGCGTTTCGGAAAGTATTTACAATAAATGAGAATGTCGAACGTAAAGCGCGCATGTTTATTTACTTCTCTTGAGCCAAAACCCTGCTAGAGTGCTTTTCGTAAAAATATGGATGGGATATACGCCGTCATTCTCGGAATTATTATTATTTAAATGAAGGTATCTCTTGGTGCTCGTGCTCGTGCTAGAGCGCGCGTCGTATTATGCCTTAATGTCTACGTTTCATTCCAATTTATGCGCGGAAATGCGATCAGAAATTGATGGAAACGCAAATGAAGAACATTTCCCATCTTCAACTGCATATTGATTATTTCCATAGTCATAAAACTGCGACTATTATTCAAAGAATTGTTTTGAAACTTAACTACTTTTTCCTCCGAAGTGAAGTTACTTTTATTTACTTTTAGTCAGTAGGAAACAACGCGGGAATTCCTAATGAAAAGCTAATTAAATTTTCCAAATCATTTGAGGTGAATTGAATAATTGATGTATTCTACCAATAATTCGGCATTTCACATTACTTTGAAATGAAATCCCCGCACAGAATGAAACTTGTTGGAAATTATTATTTGTGCTGCTTGCACAATGCGTAACTCCTAGCAGGAAAGTACTTACAGATACACTTCACTTGAGGATTACACTCCAGCAAATATTAGGTGGGAAATTCCAGTTATACCGCTCGAGTTTTCACAATTCATGATTTCATTTCAGCCTGCCACCACCCTTAAAATAAATTATAATACTAATTCAGCACAATACTGGATGCAGCAAAATGCAATGCTCGTTAAAGTCACGGTTGGCGGAACGTGGCTTCGATTATGCAATAACTGTTATTAAATTAATAATAATTTGCACGTTTCGCCGAATTAAAACCGTATTTACATTAACTCTTTGATATTATTAGATTTCACAATAATATCAAAGGTATTTTTGGTAACCGTTTCCAAAAATCATGCGCGGCAACGCCCCGCCAGGAATCGATTTTCGAGTGAAATTTTCACTAAATCTGCAACAGTGCCATCCATGCATTTGTTCACGCCTACCTCACTGGTAATATAGTGGGTTACATCAACAATACCAAAATGCCTGCACATCCAATTTGCATTTCGACTCTAATTTCGGCATAGTTTTGCGTACTAGATCCAGGCGCATAACAACAACTGGAATCTGCGGTATGCGACTCGTTACAGCGTGATTGTGCATCGATAATGAGAAAACATACGCTCTAATGAATTAATCGGTAATGTGTAGTGGCTTCGCACCGTATGTGAATTCCGAGGGTGGTCTGTTTCGAGTGATTTCGCAGAACTCCCACGCGTTCCTGGTGGTGAATCGATGCGCGCGTTCTAGTTACTCGCCAGTTCGTATGGGTGCAGTCAATTTTGGTCGTACGTGACTCACATTCGGCGTCTGTTTAATTTTACCACCGGCGTATTGTATTTATACGCCATTATGGCTCGTATTATTCCTTTTAAAAATGAATTTCTGTGTTATTTATAGACGATGCGTAATGTCTTTTCACCTGGCGTGTTTACACACGCGCGTAATCGTCGGCGATTCGCGCGAAACGTTAAAGAAAACGAAAACGACGAGCACGGTAAACATTACCGGCATACTAATCGTCGTATTTACACCATACTCGACGAACAAAAAAAAAATCATATTTTCTAGCAAGCCTTAAATTTCCAATAATGAAAGAATAAAACGGAAATTTTATTATCGCCATTCAAAAAAGTTGAAAATATTTACTCTTTTGTGTGATTTATATCTTTCCGCGGAGATTACTATTATCAGTTTTGTGATTACAGGAGAATTCACGCGTACGTTTGAAACGAAAACTAATCGCTGCACAATTAGTCAGCGATGCGTGAAATACCAGGGAGCTGATCACTTCTACGAACTAGAGGTGAGACAATTAATTGCGATAAAAAAAAAACACAGCACAGGCGTTGATAGAACAAATATCATTTTAATGGCGAACACACGGATAAACAATGTTTTTGATTGCAGCGCTCCTTTTCACGGAAAGTAAACAATTAGATGTGACAGATGTGTTTGTTTTGTCTCATTTCAAGGTAGGGTGTGTGTGTGTGTGTGTGTGTGTGTGTGTGTACACTCATACTCATTGTGCGAAAGGCTGTAATCATATCGAATGTGCATGTTTTACGAATTTGAATTAATCAGCACTTGTAAGAAACGATGTGAACGCCAGCAAACATCTCATGTACACACACGCGATATTCGAGATTTCAAACAACTAGTCGTGATGTCGCTCGCTCGTCGACTGAAATGTTTTAATTATGAACACAAGCGCTTAATGAATATTTAGAATTAACAGTTGTAATTTAATAGAGCAGAGATTAAGCACGCGGCTGTAAACGAAACAATCAGTGGCAGTGGCAAATATCTTACGCAAGAATTTCTTATTCACGACAGAAATCGATACGTCTGTCAATTCGATGCATGCCACCGATTCCCGTCATGCAAATCGTTGGACGGCAGTATTATTCGTTTAGTATGCGATCTTTAAGCTGTGAGAGCCGTAACGGTTTTTACAGTCGCAATAAAACTGAATTTTGCAGTAGCTAAGTTTTATGATTTCTTCGTTTTCTCGCATCTTGCAAATGCAGAAATGCTCGGCTTTTCACGCGTCTCGCACGGTTCCCAGAGCCGAATGTTTACGAAACTATAAAACGCTAAAAGTGCTTTCTGAAAAGTCGTCGTCGTCGCCGGCCGGCGGACGGTCGGTCGGTCGCGATCCGCACGCCGTTTTCGTTGGAAATACTTTGCGCATTGCGCCTCGGCGAGCAAGCGTCGACTCGTGGAAACGTTTACGCCGAAGACGTTGCGCGAAAACTATTAGCGCAGCTGGGGAGCGCCTACCACGAACACACGGCGCTACGATGCGACGCGGGTAAGTGGAAGTCACGGATGACGACAACGCCGAAGAGATGCAGTTGACTTACATAATGTGTGCACACACAACCGCGCGCGCAACACGTCACCACCGGCAGTTGGAGAGCAGCAGCGTACGAAGAGACGAGAAACCGGCAGATGCTGGCGCGAAGGGTACCTCGCAACTACCGAGAATTTCAGCGCGGCACCAGGAGGGAACAAGTTCTCTCTTCTCACATCTCCAGTCTCCACGGGCCGCATCCATGACATATGGCGCCGCGCATCGCACAATCGCACACCTATTTCGAAACCATTATCGAGAAATTCCCATCGCATTTTGCATTACTACCAATACTCATTATACGTATTAGAACCAGTACATTCGAATGATGACTTGTCAATCTTATCATTATACTTGCCTTATTATTCATCACTCAATCATTCTGTTTTTTTTTTGTGTGTTTGCAAGTACAGTTCCGTGAATGAGCTACATACCTATTGACTCTATCACCATAGTATTCTATAGATAAGGATTTGCCGCAATTGGGTTTCGTCGAATCGAAAAATCGCTTAATTCATATTTCCGCGAAGCAATTAACGCCATAATATGTTATTATACACACTTGTACATGCGTTTTATTCCAGTTTCAGATAAAAATCGCATTTGAATAGGGCTTCAAATATATGTAATCAATACACAAATATTAAATGCACGTTAATAATAGTAAATACCTACTTGGTACGCGCGCTCGGTGCAATCCACTTGTAATGCAGGCGCCGCACAACAAAAAAATCCATGAATTCACCCGGCCATTATAGGTGCGCGCAAATTTCGGATTTAAATGGAACGAATTTCAATAAAATAAAATTTCGCGCTTTGTTTATTCGAGTGGCCCGGGAAATTATAAACCTGTTACGCGTATTTTGGATGATAAAATATTGCGAAATAAAAACAAAACGAAAGTGTTTTTTTTTTTTTCGTATCCAAAATGCGAAATTAAGAAAACGCACCGGTTTGAACCGATGTGCATTTACGAGGAAAACTAATAATAGGTTATTCCGAACTCTTATCTACAAGGGTCTGTATCGGATAGTAAGATTCAACCTTACTACGAATCGATTGAAGCGAACTATTTATAAGTCACAGTCGAGTGTGATTCACTGGAATACGTATTCGGTTAATCAGGATGTTTCTTGATATTTTCGTCGATTTTAGGTACGATTGCGGGGCGTTGGCGTCAATGCTCGCCGTGATTCATCTGCATTTGGCCGAAGAAAACGAAAAACGAGACACGGTTGTCATGCGTTTGCGTTATGCAGATAGTTACGGCATAACGAGAAGCTCTTTAGTCATGCACGGTTAATTTCCTTTTATTACATTTCTTCAGAATAACTAAACAAAACACACAGCAGAGAAAAAAAAGTTCGAGTTTTTCAATCTTTACAAACATTCGGACGAAATTCTTTCAATTCTAGCGGAACGCGCTTGTCTGGGCGGGCTCTTACCTTGGAACACATAAAACGACATCCAAAACATAAATTACTAATAAGAATTTGGACGATTTCGAGACTCGGATCGTAATTTTCAGCGTCTGGCGACCGAACGTGCACGCAACACGAGCGTACGTAATGTTTGTTATTCGGTACAATTATTTGTCTCGGTGTGTGTGTGTGTGTGTGTGTATTCTGAGCGCCCGCAAGGCATGTGTCTATTTGTAATTGCGCTCGTGTAATTGTGGCCAGCGCGCTTTCGTCGCGCACCTTCCGCGAAGCGCGAGGATTCCCTGAAGCGCGGTGGCCGTGCCTCTGGTGGCACGTCCGCGCGACACGGCGTGCATCCATCCAGCAGGATTTCGCGAAAAATCCGCCGTGAACTAAGCCGCGGCGGGCACGAAATTTATGTTGCAGTATCGGCGTGCATGTTCATGCACGACCCGTCATGATTCAATGCGCATTGTGATGCGATACGTCTCTCAACAAAGCTGGGGAGCTTTGCACGAAGAGGCGGCAAGCCGCGGTAGAGTAATTGGACTATGGTAAAGAGGAGATGATTCCGGCAGTCAGACGGTATTGAGCCCTTTGATGCGGGATGAAAGCGCTGTATCATAACCAAGAGGACTTATTTCGGAATATGTGAGATGAATTGCAGCCGAAGGTGATTTTCTGTAAGCTAGGCCCCGCATTCACGAAAGCCTCCATAGACTTGTGAGACCCGCGCCCGTCCGTCTTTGGAGGCTTTTAGCGAGAAGTGAAAACACGTTCCGGTTGTTTCTCGGAACGGCTGCGGTCTGATGGCGCACGATTTGGATACGCGCGGAGAGCCGGCCCGAGCTCAGAAAGCGGACACATAATACCGCTCTCCTCGGATACGCGCGCCGTGCTACGCTTGGTACGCAGAAACGCGCTGGCATCCGAGAATCGTCGGCGACGCGAGCGCACTCGCACGCAAAGCCCAAAACTCCAAACCCCGACGCTCGACGGTGGCCCCTGCCGTTCCCCGCGCTCCCACGCCACGCGTGCGCTGCGCCGCTCACGCGGGATGCTTGAGGTTGAGCTTGAGCTCATGAGCACGTTGTCATATCGAACCGAATTCCTTCAAACTGTTTGGTGTAAAGTTGTGAGGTACTCACAATGCGGTACTCCGAAGCACAGGCGTTGTTGAAGGCTCGCAGAATCCAATAATGAAAGCTCGCTGCACCCATGCACCCGGCACTGCGCACTGGTGGGGTGGAAGATAGCCCCGATTGCCCTACGAGACGGATTTTCGCGGCGAGCGTAGGCCAAACGGTAGCGATGGCGTGCGCGCGCGTACTTGGCAACGCTGCGACGAGTATACTTACCAACTCTCCTCGCTCGTGGACTGCGGCGTAGTGGATCGAGCAGCACGAAACAAAATTCATTCGCAACGCGCTCGTCGTACGGCCCGGTCCTGCGGTCTCGAGTGCGCAGCGTCGAGTAGTCGTGAGCGAAGTTACAAGTTTGCTACAACTTCGAAAACTCTTCCAACTGCATTGGAAGGTATACCATCAATCGGGTACCACTTCAGAATATCCTCAAAAGCAACTCTCAATTTAAAAAAAATTAAAGCGCGAAATTTAGTGCTACATAGTTTGATCGGTGCTGCCACAAAGAGACAAAGTGAGTGCGCGCAACTTCTTCGGGCGTAGAAAGGAAACGGATTATTAAAAATAGAACCACGTTCCGAGACGAAGGCCCCCGGAGAGAGGAAAAGTGCGTGTGCATCGTATCAAAACACGAACTGGCGAAACATGTGCTACTACAAAGTGAAGCAACGGACGAACTAACAACTCTCATCGCATTCTGATTGAACCGACGTTCAGTGGCTCGGACGGAATTCCAAACTCTAGTCTCCAAAGCAGTCCACGCGCAGCGGTGGAACTAGCAACTAGATATCGGTTTAAATCCTCGTATAGTGCACGTTGATACGTACCAGCTTCTCGCAACTTGGATTAACATTGAACAATTCCTCAGTTTGTGTGCCAGGGAATACTACGAATCGCCTAATAATAACCGGCGACGTTTTTGAATACGTGGAACGATAAAAAATTCAATTCCTAGCAGCAGTACGCCTGGATGGAGTCGTTCCAAGTTGATGTCCACGTTTCCGATTTATAGGTAGGTATTTCCTGCCGTGCCCGCGGCTGTAATGAGTTTTCGTGTAAGCCGTATGCGCTCAAATGCTTGATGTGCGCCCTCGGATCGCCGATGATCAATAGAATAGCGGACGCGAGACGAGACGGTCATTATCTCTACCACCAATTTGCCCCGTCGTGCGCTCATTGCATGATCAATTATTCAAAGCGCTCTTCACTCTGACATCGCCAGGGTCTTCGCTTTAATTAACTCATCTATCTATTTTAATTGCCCCGTCAATCAGGTGGATCTGCAAATCCATAGATCAATGCTCAATGCCTTCGCCACACTTCTGATATTGGCCCACTAACAATGTATTGTCAATTGTAATGCACGTGTTCAGCTAAGTATAAGATTTGCTTGAAGGTAATGCATGTTGAATAATATGAGAAGCGCATTGAGTTAAAACTTTTCTCCACCCACGTGTCGTCCATGTCTCGTCTTGCGTTCGTTATTAATGTTGTGATTTTAGTATCCATTCACGAACGGTTATTAAAACCGGCAAAAATGCCACAATGATATCGCGAATTCGCGGCCGGCCGAAATGCGTTCGTGGAAATTGAGTGAATTCGCGGAAAGTTGCGCAAAGTATCGAGCCAGGCCGCGGCCGCGGTGGTTTACTGCATTTCAGGCGCTCGCGCGCTTTTACGCGCGCACAAAAATGTTATTTTTAATGACATTGTCCGTCGTTAAGTGCGAAATGTGTCCGAAAGCGTGCATTTTCCGTTCGAACTTTCAATGACGTGCAAATGTTTGACCTTCCCGTTTTAGCGCGCGCGATCGATGCAGCGCTGACACTGATTCTGTTACGATGTAATTACGGCGTCCTAATTAAGCCACTTATACCAGTAATTATAATGCGCAAATGTAAATAATGTAATCATCTGGAATCGTGAATGCATTTGCGCTCGGCGTTCCTGGAAGCGCCATCAACCGACTGAGTGCAGCATTGGTTTCGTGGAACGCCGCCTGCCTCCATGCGATTGCGGCGAACAGCTGACTGAACTCGATTTCGCGCGAGTCGTCCCCCCGCGTGGATGATGCATTGGAAAAACGATGATAACCGGTCGGCACCGGCGATACCACGCCGATGAATGAATGGTACCATTCATATTCGATGAACATCATCGCGGTCGCACTCTGCGATTGTTCCGCGATGTTCATTCACGCTGAGTGTGGTTGTTGTCGACATCCGCCTCCCGAGCGAAAATTTTCGATAATGCGAAATTATCGTTATCGCTGTGTAACTAACAGGTGCCGGTGCATCTGTCCGGATTATATTCAAAGTATGCGCACGATTTGAATGGAATGCGCTGCGCTTCGCTCTGCAAATTGACCGTTGGTCGGACCGCGCTGCGAGAACACCGAGAGAAAACGCGAAATCTTTTCGCCGAATTCATCGCGATTATTATACGCGCATATTTTTCCTTCGCACAGCATGCGGGGCAATACATGCATGCACGTCTCTGTATACAGAATCGGTCCGATTCCGAGAGGTCGATTATGTTCATGTTCTCTATCTGCGAGAAACGGTGGTCTGGCGTTCGAGCGGCAGAAAGAGAGAGGAGTTTTTTTTTTCTTCTTCATCAAGTCGAGGCCGGTTCGTGCACCGCTGCGAAACCTATCTCGGTGTGTCGAGTTCCGCGAAAGTGCGCCAATCGGTCTTCCTGGAAGGCCTTTCCACTCTCCTGCAGCCGGCTGCCAGTCTCGTCGACCGCGCGCCGTATCGCCGAGATTCTCGAGCAAGACGCTACCGCACCGCGAAACACCTTGCCGCACACTTCGGGGCCTAGGTAGCGGTGGGTTATAGGGACTTGGGCTCACGTGCTTCAGCAATAGGCAAGCATCTTTTGTTAAAATCGTATGAATGCTGCTCTGTTCCAACAAGTCTATAGAAATTGACAAATGGAAAGGACACCCACCTGCACACCACAAATACGTAGAACTCCCGAACACAGTGTGTGTGCGTTTTATAATTTTTGCCGAAAAGAACTGACGGAAGACCGTGTTTCCAGGAATTGCTTATTTTCGGCGCGAGGTACAATTTGCAGAATGTTGTTTACTTGTCGTGCTCACGCTCATTCTGTTTCGCCAAACTTTCTATGAAGTCATTATTTATACACTCAAGGTCGATGTAATCGCGTGTTAATTTGTGTATTTTAAAGCGTTGCGCGCTACTCGTGGCTGGTCGCGAAAACGGATCGCGCGTTTTTTGTGTCTCTTACACGCTTCGCCTGAGACAGTCGTAAAAAGTATTGATCTAAGCAGAAGCATCCTTCGTTCGGCGGTGTGTGTGTGTGTGTGTGTGTGTGCGTGAGGAGCGTTCGGGGCCGCTTTTCGTGTCAGGTAACGGTATCATCAGCTTCTTTCGTCGGTCGGCTTAAATTCGCGTTTTGACGAATCGAGGTCGGCTCCACGGTGCGGGTCGTCACTTTCGCCAATTACGCTCTGTAACAGCCGGCCGCGGCTTGCTGCTCACTTGCGTCACCTTTCTCCGGATGATAATTCCTTGAACAGTTGACTCCGATAGCGTCAAATCGACCCGCATCGTCACTGTCGGCCAGGGCGGATCGATCAATGTTTATAAATAAAACGCGGTGCCATTGAGGCAATGAGGCAATTACGACCCGCTATGGACGTAAATCATATTTGTGTGCATAACATACGTTTACGACCGCCGATTGTGCGGCCATAGCGCGCGCGCCACACCCGCACGAGGGTCAGTTATATGTCGACAGATTGAGTTGACGATGTGAATGTCGTCAATGATTGATTTATTTCATTGATGCGTAAACAAATAGCTAACTTGTTTTGTTTCTGCTCTCTTGTTGTAGATTGAAGTTTAACACTGGCATGGCATGTGCCTGCAATGATATGCCGTAAGACGAACACTGTGTGCCCGAAATGCCAGCACGAGTTCCCCGTACAATGGACGAGCGCGCGGCGCGGCCGGCACGACATGAACGGCGGCGGCATCGTCCAGACGCCGCTCAGCCCCCTCCAATCCCCCGATCCGGCGTCTATCAACGTCTTCATCACACCGCCACCATTCGCAATGGTACCACCACAGCTGATGCCACAACCGGCGCCGATCGTACACGTGGTACACCACCATCATCACCATGTACCACCACCCGCTCCTATCATCCAACTGCAACCACCGCCCGTGGGCAACGCGCATCCAGACCTACCAGCGCCAGATACCGTTCGGGCTCTTCGCCGGTCCGGCTGGTACTACGAAAACATCACCTACCAAGACAGTCAGGAGTTATTAAAGGACAAGCAACTGGGTACATTCATCGTTCGCGATAGTTCCGACGCACGCTTCCTGTATTCACTGAGCGTGCAGACTGAGCGCGGTCCTACCTCCGTCCGTATTCACTATACCAACGGGCTCTTCCGGCTGGACTCCCAGCAGCATATCCAATCATCGATGCCCTCATTTCCGAGCGTCATCGAACTGGTGGAGCATTATGTGGAGCAGTCGCGGCGAACCAACAGTCCGCACGTTTGGGTCGATCCCAAAGGCAAGATGTATTCGCCGATCACCATCACACGACCGCTGGTCAAGGAGGGACAGAAACCATCCACACTCAAACATCTCGCGCGGCTCGCGGTCAACGCCGCTGTGAAACGGCATACCGCTTCGCCCATTACCGCCCCAACCATATCGCAGCTCGAATTACCCGCGAGTGTTAGTCAATACCTCACTGAGTATCCGTATTCGATCTGAAGGACTCCCCCCAGCATTCAGACGTTAACCAAAGATATATCTATCATAAACGAATTTAATACGAATAGGGATAGCGCGGAGTACCTATACATACTCCTCTCACACACCGGAAACGAACGAAATGGACGTTCGAAGAGCAGTGCGAGTGCGATGGAGAATTTGGTGGCAGTCGCGGAACACAGTATTGTATCATCTATCATTGCCGTTTTGCCATTTCACTGTGTAGTGTAATCATCAACATGAGCGTCACCATCACACATCGTGAACTACGCATAACCATCTCGGTCATAATAAGTTGGCGATTAGATAGAATAATAAATTGTATGTACATAACAAGTGTAAATGAAACGATCGGTGTTGACACCTTGCACATCAACACATCTCACACATGCGCTTCACTTGTATTCACTTATTTATTTATTAGCATTAGCATTCTGCTCCTATGTTACTCATTGTTACGATAACTTTGATGTTTGCGCCGTTGACGTCAGGAGCGTATAAAAATAATGTAAGGCGTACAACGAACAAAAAATTTCATTCTCACTTTTCACACTGACACACACCGAGATTTCAGTTTGCAATGCGCCCGGAATTTCCACTCTTTATTAAATCAATCGTTATTATCGGTGTGTAAAGTAAACATTCGCCGATGCGTGCATCCACTTACTCAGCCTCAATATAACTGTATTGTCGTGTTACGATCAGAGTGGAAAATCCACTCATCTCTATACGTCTACATCAGTAATATATATCAAACCATATGAAAAGTGTAAATAAATGTATTATAAAACTCAATGTACTATTATACGTAAGTAGATAATTGTATTTATTATTATTATAAAGCTGGACACGATTTTAATAAGAAGAGAAGTTCAAGTAAATTATTTATTTATGATAAAAAAACAACAGCGTGTCTTTTTTATTTATCTTCGCCATGGATTTCTACGTTATTATTGAGTTTCAGGATTTATCAAAATCGAAAACAAATGGAGGGTACTTCCGGGAAAGCCATTTAATATTTTCGGGCAGTTTTCATAATGAAATTCCAGGAACAAAGCGCGGCTGTTTATAAAAACAGGCTAAAAAACATTGAAGTTGGAAGTGATAGGCGGATGACCAGCAGGAAGACTGTAGCAGCAGTAGGGTTCAAATGAGACCCATCGCCGATTTAAAGGGCAGTTTTTTTTTCTCTTCGCGTTGCAAGCGATAAAATAAAATAACTTTCATCTGCAGGCGGCAAACGTCAATATTTACATTAACTGCGACCTTCGGGGTGGATTGTTACAAAATCTTTCTGACAAAACCTTTAGACAGATCTGACGTCCGTCTGATATTCAGCGTCGCTTCGTGGAAGTCGAGATTTTTATTCGTTTATCACATTTTTTTGCAGGCGCGGTCTATTTTTAGCACGACATCGAGAATTGTTTTTTCCTGCTTCGGCGAAAAGCGAACACATGGACTAAAATAACACACCGCACGTATACAATAAGCAGGCAATTAATAATATTACGCATTAACGCATGGAATTGAATGCATGATTATTGATTCGCTGTGCATTTGCATAACGCTGTCATCTGACATTGAAGGTGCGTTCGGTGGAAGAATCATTAGTGTGGGTGTAAATTATGAAAATGCGCGACACTCCTCGATGCGTTCGAGCGCATGCAGACAACAAACACCTGCGCTGTTGAGCTATATCGGAATGGCATGCGACGTGCGCATTGTTTTTTTTTTCTTCCTTTCTTTCTGCGCCTGCTTATAATGCGCCGCCAAGCGTTTCTTTGTGCGTTTTCCTTCCATTGCGATTAGATGTATCGATTTTATTATCGCCCGCGTAGTGAATTCTGAGCGTGAGGTCAGGACCATGAGGGGAGACAGCCAACCTGTCTCCTACTAATTCAACCTAGGCGGGGCAGACGCAGACATTAGCATTTCTACAAATCTACGCGTCTATCTTTACATTGATACTTGAGACTGTTTCATTACAGCAGACTTTTGAAGTTTCTAAGTAAACTTTTCAGCGGAATAAAGCATACGTAAACAAATTTAACTGAAAAACACATTTTGGCATTAATGTACGGGAGAAAGTCTTGTTTGTTGAGGACTATGTTATCACAAGCTTTGTGTGGCCAAAATAAGGAACGAAAACATTTTGATATCCTTTATAAAATACCTGCGAGTAATTTTTAATTCAAGTTTTATGCATAAAATCTAAATGATCAACATGAAACGTTCAGTTGTCAACATTGCGTAGGTAGGAAAAAACGTGTGCAAACAAAAAGTGAACCAAGACCTCGCTTGGATGTTAATATTAACATTAAACAGTCTCAACTCTCTTAATACGTATTCCATGAATTTTAAAGCGGACGTTAAAGTTTTACGCTAACTATTAAGTGAATTATCCTTCTGAAATCTTAAAGCTTTTAAACGGACGCGAAATGCTCGAATTTGCATCAAAATAGATGCGATGTTTATTAAGGAAAAGGAAGCGAATACAATCCGCGTGTTTTTCAAATATTTTCGTATCGAACATTTACAAAAACAAACAGCTCCCGCAAGCAATCCTATCATTACCTGCCCGGAAAAATACGCCCGACAAAAAACTAATTATAGGTGCGTGCAGCGCGTGGCCCGGCGCTCTCATAATTGCAGCAGTTGAGCTAATCTACGGCAATTATAACGTAATGACGATTTTCTAAAATTCGCGGAACGAATGCTCGCCCGTCGGTCGGTATTGTCCAGGTACGCAAACACGAAACCTGCATGCCGGCGAGACCAGCGTGACACCGATTTCTACAATAATTTTTAATGGCTGTAATTGATAAAAAAAAAACGCGGCGTCGGTTTCAATTACACTCTCCCAGCTGTCTGGGCAAATTGATTTCGCCGAAGCGCAGTTAATTTTAGCCGACGATTTTTATATAATACAGGAAAGTCGTTCGGCCTCTGAGCAAACATATAATTTTTCATCGCTTAACTTACATCGGCGGAACTTTCACGCAGAGCGCGTGACACTTTTTGCTTATCAAGTTTTCTACGAACACGCTGAGAAGATGCAATAAGGATGAGCCTGTCAGACTAAGCGCTTGCAAGAAGTTAATTGCGATTACGTGCGGTAATCAATTGCCATTTTGTTCTAATGGGTCGCGTAAAACACACTTTTTTCTCCGATGAAACGGCAGCAAGAAACTCGGCAAGAACACGATGAAGATGAGTCGCAGGAAGGTTTGACTTTGTTTCAGACATGTGAAGACACTGGAGGGATTATGGGAGCAGGAAAATAAATTACATCGATAAATTCCGATAAATCATTAAAACGAGTCGACTTTATTGCGCAGAGAGCAGTCTGGGCGGGTTTTAGCCATTAGCGCGCGTTTATGCTCCTCGCTTCTGAAAACAACTAGTGCGTTTAGTTGTCGATAATTAACACGTCAAGTGTGCGAAAATGATGAACTTGTACGACAACACAACTACCGACATAGAAAAGATGGCTATACAAGTATAACTATACTGTGTTTGTATTAATTAAGAATATTGAAGCAAAAAATAGCAAAAAATCGTTGGTTTTTCGTTATTAATAAATTCTTTGAAGGGGACACTCCCCTTGAATGACAATGTCTGTATAATAACAATAGTAATAACTTGTTTACTACGATCTATCAGCGTCCCATCGATAACTCATCAACATTACAAAAACAAACATCAATTTAAAACCTCATGGTCAGGCCTGTGTTTGTACACATAGTTATTATATTGCAAAACAAACACTGGGCCCCATTCAAGCAACAATCGTTTTGGGATTGCAGAGATCTATTCATAGATCTGACTATACCTTCGTAACATGCTCGTCCTAAATGAGAAAATATTTTATCTATATTCAACTTACTGTATGTGGATACTGTCCGTTGGTCCTAGATTACACTCACGCGGTTGTCCTTAGCCCATTTGCGAATAACCTTTGCGATTTGATCAGCCTGGTTGGATGTACTGTTCCGCAGGAGTTGCAGAACATCGGACAGCACGTCCGGCGCGAACTTCTTCGCCACGACTCCCTGTGTTAGATGCACAACGAGATTGGTAATGGTTTTCACATGAAATCGTTTTCATTCAAGTGCCGAAAAGGAAAACGCGCGCAATAGCGTGCCGGTATAACGGACTTAGAACGTGTGGTCTGTGGTTAGAGCAGCTGACGGTTATTCAACTCGCAGTACACCGCGCGACATCTAGCGTCCACCGGTGCTTTCCCGCGCGATTTTGATCGCGCAGACGTATAGGTTGCACTGCCAGTTCAATATGTGAATAAATTCGCGTCGCTGATGAGTGTTTCTAATCAGATAAACAGGTAAAACACGAGATAGTTCATGTTTCGAAGATGGAGGACCTTGTAAAAATCACTTTTTGATTACCTCCGCTGTTTGTTGAGCAAACATCACGCCTGCAGGTCTGATTAAAGTACGTGTGAGGAATAGTAAAATACTAGGAGCGTAGAAGCAGTAAAAATGGTAAGAATTGAATTGTAACTCACTTGAAACACGCCGCAGAGCGCGCCGCGCTTGCCCTCCCAGAATTCCGGATTGGGCTCCAAGCGATCCAGCATGTCGAACGCTTTGGCCGCATACCAAAACTGGCCCATTCTGTACGAGTCGTTCGCGATCATCAGCAACAAGTTGAAGCTCTCCGACGACGTGTCCATTTTCAAGTACAACTCCCAGGCGGCGTCCGGCTTGCCATTCATAATGTAACATCTCGACAGATTCGAAATGTACACATAGTCATTTTTTATCTTTGGATCTTCAATGAGCAGAAACGTCTCCTCTGCTTCGCGGTATTGATCGCAGGCAGTCTTCGCTTGCGCGTAATTAAAATTAAAAACATCATCAGAATGTAGGTAGCTTTTAATTGAGGTTAGATAAACAAGAACTTCCTCAAACTGTCCAGCGAGGAAGAAAGAGGCGGCCATGCATTGTCGCCCCGGGATGGTGTCGCATTCACTGGAGGAACTGCCTACTAGGTGGAAACATTCTTCTGCTGTTTTGATGTGTTCAGCCTGAAGAAAACAGTACGTATTATAACTTTCTATAACAAGTTGAAAGAGATACTTACCGAGTTCAAATCTTGACCTAACGCTGCATTCACGACCGCTTTCAAAATATATTCCTGAGGAACAGCCGGTTGTAGATCTTTGAGGAGATCATAGGCTTCTTTGGTATCATCTTGTTTGAGGTAGTAAATCACAAGATTGAGTCTCGCCTCAGTGACTACGTCTACTAAAGGCGGGAATACTTGCATTGCACCTTCCCCACCTCGGAATACAACCAAGTTATGTTTAACCAGGTCATGACCAAATCCTGCATTTGCACTTTGTTCAACAATACCGCGGATTTCACTTTCTGCGGCAGCTCCATTGTACAATCGGAAATGGTTGCATGCTTTGAGATTTGTAGCGACTACAGAATCTGCATACTGATTCAAATACAATCCGAGGACATCCTGGGAAACATCGTAATAATCCAGCTTGTAATAACACAAAGCAACGTAGACATTCAAAGCTAGATTTTCTCTATTTTGCAAAAGCAGTCTTTTGTAGATATCTATAGCTTCCTGATAGTGAGCACGCAGGTAGTGTATAGCTGCCAAACTAAGTTGATCCTCCAGCACATCCTGCAAATCCTGATGATGCTCCATAAGTGCGGCCTCATCTCCCAAATTATGAGCGAGATGAAAATTGAGCCGGTTTTTCAATCCAGATGCACTGGCTGCACTCAAAACATCACGGGAATGATTATACATTCCCAAATAGAAATAACAGCATGCCAGATTGACCATCAGGTGCTTGCACTCTGGATGGACACTGTTGCCGTGCTCGTAAAGCGTGAGGGCGCGTTTGTAATCGCCCTTGTGGAAGCAGCAGTAGGCCATCCAGAGATCGATAAGGGAACTGTGCTCTTGGTGTTGTTTGAACTAAAAATATAGAAAAGTATTATTAGAAATCGAGTTTATTTCAGGCAAACAGAACGCAATTTTCAGCCGGGGCGTTGATGGGCTTAGCGCGCGGGTACCTCTAGAAAGGTGAAAGCTCCGGTGTAATCCCGTTTCGCCAGGTAGTCCTCGAATTGGGGTGACTTTTTGTTTGTGGCGCTTACATTGCGGACGCTTTTCGCCGATCCGCTCGACACGCTCAACGCCGGCTTGCTTCGTGACAAGATCTGCAACAATCAATTAATAGCTGAGTGCTATAATCAACAGGTAGACGAAAATGGGCCCAATGAGTTGATCATTGGATAACTAACCATACTTCGTTACCAGTGTGAATTAATCGAGCTTCAAAAACAGCGACGTAAATTTAATAGCACTTTGTGTGTGGTTTGTTGGGTTTTGTAAAGCTTTGTAAACGCGTGTAAAGTGTCATAGAACTGATGAGCGTTGTGTTTGTAATGTTTGTTGTGGGCAATTGCTGTCATAGCAACATGTTGGAGTCACTAACAACACAAATTAATCCATTGAAAATCCAGCATCATTTAAACTTTACGTCATAGAACTAATTGTTTCTATATTACCTGTTTATTATTATTATTATCATGTGTTTGTTAAAGGTTTTAGAGAAAGTTGTCTAGGATTCTACGGTGTTTCATCGGCTGCGGTGTCCGAGTGGTTAAGGAGATGGACTTGAAATCCATTGGGTTCTACCCGCGCAGGTTCGAATCCTGTCCGCAGCGTGTTCACGCACAATGTTTTTGAATGAAACGCGGATTGAAGTTTTATGAATTTTGGCCGTGACATGTGCTCACCGCCCCCGCACTGCACCATTCACAGTTTCCAGCTAATTATTAGAAACTCTAATTTAATACAACCCGGGAGTTTTCGCAAAAAGTTTGTGCAAACTACTGATCGCGTGAAAGTCAGATATGAAACACAATACTATAATGCCGTACAGAATTGTATTTCGCGTAGATAAATTAATTTTTATTATAATTTTGATTTTTTAAAAGTTTGTTTAAAAAGTGCGTTGAAGCGATGGTTTCTCAGTTGCAAATGATGTTTGCAAAATGTAAATTTTCGTTAAGAACGGTTCTGAGCTGAGTTGAAAAAGTCGGGACCGGTGAATACGTGTGCTGCGTAAGCACCCGCACACCCGTAGCCTTGCACGGCGGCGGCAGCGGTGGCGGCAGCTCGGTCCCGCGCCGGGAAAACCGACGCAAGGCACGGAGCGAAAGCCTCGCGCGTCCTCGCAGTGCATCGCCGCTAGCATCGACGGACGGTCTCGCATTTTCCGCCGGCGCTCCAGCGCCCGACGAGCTCCGCGCACGACACCGCACGCCAGTCGCCGCACCGCACCGGCCGCCCCCGGATCGCTTGTGACTGTTTCGAAGTCGGGTCGGTCCCGCGATCGCATTAATTACGCAACGCGCGCGGTCTAGTCAGTCGAGTGCACGTGAAGAGCGCGGCTTCATCTCGCGGCGCGGAATCACCGAGAGGCGGCGGCGGCGGGCGGCAGAAGGCGAACTCCTGCGGAAATATGCATGTACCCAAGGTAACCGAAATTGTGTTTGGCGAATGCATTCGATGTTGTTCAATCACAGCCGCCTTCCTGCAAGTCTCCTCCATCCCAGTCTGTGTGTCTGCTTATCGGCCGCAATGTGTTTGTCTTGTTCGCCACCCCCTACGGCGGGCGCAATGATGTAACCGGAAGTGTGGATGCGCGAGAGACAAGATTAAACTAAGATTCGACTGATTAAATGTCTCGAGCGACACGAGCGTACATTATGTTATCAAACGCGCGCGTTTTCTAATTAAACGAAAACACGGCGTGATGCGCGATCGGCCGCGAGCTTTAATGCTCGTCGTACGTATTGTGTTCGCTGCTTCAACAAGTTTTAACTTTCTGCTTGCTAATTTATTACGAAATCAAACGCCATCCCCCTGGCAAGCGCCATAATACAAGTTCGGCGCGAGTTGTTCGCGTAATTTTAATCGCGCAAATTTCGTCTTCGTATCGGAAATCGGCTTAAATCACACAAACAAAGCGCAACTTTGCGGAAGCTTTCAAGTCAAACACAATTTTCATGCGGCCCAAGTTGGCGCAAGATGCGGTATTACCGGAATGCCCGAGAGCCTTCGTTTTTGTCTCAGTCACCGGCTTAGTCTCCGCATGCCATGCGATAAAAATCGGAATTTCATCACATAACTTGTTATTTTCATCACGGAATTCATCCGTAGTCGGCTAACGTCTCAGCCGGGGAAGTTACTTCAAAGACGAAGAGTTTGTTGTGCACTTAATGCGCCATTTCTTTTCCGTCAAGCACAACTCATAGGAAAGTTTCTGCTGACAATAACACTTCTTTATTGCATGCATCCCTTATATTTCACCCGCACATCAACGCAATTGTCCGTTCAGGGATTCAGGCGCGCCTTTTAAAAGAAGTCAACATTATTATTATGTTCATTTTTCTGCGTTCCGGGCTTTATTTCGCGTTATTTATAGACATTTATTCCATCAGCGAGCTTTCGCTTCCGGAGTCTTCTGGTCGGTTGGTCGCTAGGTCGGTCGATGCAGTATTAATTTACCGTTTGTTCTTCGATTTCTTAACAGTTTCCATAGTGGCGGTTATTTTTTGCTTTTCATTGTGACAAAACACATCGCCATCGGGCGCCAACGACGCCGTCCGCGATAAGAAACTCGCGCGCTTGCGGCGAAATTGTCTGTTATTCCTGTCTTCTGCGCGCCTCCGTTCTTATTACATTAGGGTCAATTAAACGGCAATTGTTTCACATGCGCGCGCCCGCGTCGAGCCGATGCGAAAACCGCGCGCATTATGTAGATGTACGAGCGCAATGAGTCTTGCTCCCGGCGGGCTCGCATTCATTTTAATTCACAACACTTTCGTTGATTTGATCATCACGCATGTAATTGCTCAACTGAGAACGCCGCCCAAGAATGGCCGGCACGAAACCGTTTTGTGTATAATCAGTAAAAACATCCGAAATAAAAAAAGAAGAAAAAACAATGTCGTTGGTCACAAATTGCGCTCGAATCAAATTATTCGTGGTCGAGTTGAGTTTTGGTCAAAATCTATGTCAACAGCAAATTGACTCGGAAATGCCCGAGGCGAAATGTTACTCGAAACACAAGCGCGTAATAATGGCACAATGGGAAAATTCGTGAACGTCACGCAGCTTGTCGACATTTAAATAATTTAGCGCGGCGTAAATAAATAATACACGATTGCATTCGTGTCGGGACAAAGGCGGCTAATCCGCGCTCGCGGTAAAAATCATCAAAATGAGCAGAATATTCCAATGCATATTACCTAATTATCCAAGGATTGTGGTTATTACCTGCGCGGTTAACAACTCACACAGTTTGCATTTCATATATTGACAAGTAATCAGCATGGGTTAAGTTAATACATTTATTAATTATATCAAACTAATATATTTACTCATGAATTAAATTCAATTGAATTGGAAGCCAGACAATATTAATAGTATTATTGACTTAGTTAGTCAGTCGTAGGTAATAGTTGTTCGCATTTAAATTGAACGTAAACATATCCTAATTACCTTTGTCGAACAAAACTTTAATTTCAAGCTTAACTTTGTGATGTTCACCGTCATTCGTGACCGATGCACGTGGCAAGGGCTTAGCGAAAATTGAAATGTCCAGCAATGTCAATGAATGACCGAGACTGGCGTCCAGAATGAGTTTAATTGAAAACGCGAAAAAGTGTGCGTGTGTGGACATGTGGCATTAGCATTTCACATGTGAGCGCATGAATACCGGCACACATGTTGTTCTTAATATTGGGCCGCCGTGGAATTGAAAGGGACGTCGCCCTTCGTGTAGAATCCAATGAATAAATAATGCACTCACGTTTGTCGGTTTTCAGTCTTGTGGAAACCGTGTTACACGCGCTCGCCATGGTTACGTGCGTCTTTATTTTTATTTAATGTTACGAAGGTGATAGATGATTGTGATTGGGGAAGATTTAAATAATAATGACAGTGTGTGGTGGTAAATGCCACTCGGGTACAGAGGGAAAATATCACGCTCGTGGAAACCTTTTGTTTCATTCAGTAATTGGTAAACTGATACGCGGCGAGGTTGATTCGGTTGAAATAACTTGTTTCGGTACAAAACTGCTGTAAACCCACCACCGAATGAAATTTCGCTGTTTGCTTTTCCGCAACATTTATCATTTCGCCCGGTTGGCCAAAATCCTGGACATCCTGTGCAATAGATTTCCACGCTGTTTTTAGTTTTGCAGTTTTGCAGCCGCGGCGACATTAAAAGTTTGCACGCGTTACATAATAGCGTCGTTTGTTCGCGCTGGACGAAAGTTTTACCCGCATTCGCCATCCGGTATCACTCCCAGATTAGCGCCGGCAAGCAACACGGAAATTTCCAACAGAAGTATAAATAATTCACACGCCGAGGTGAGAAGTTACTCGGATGTCTCCGAAGTTCGCAGCAGACGCAATGCGATGACATTGCACGCGTCTTCAACGTTGACGTTCTAAGGCCTCAAGTGGCGCGCTGTTCAAGTTTCATCCGCATGGAGAATAGCTTGGCATCGGCGAATTTATATTCATGTGAGCACAGCCCGAGGTGACAAACAAGCCATCGAGGTCTCTGAAGGCTCCAACAACCGCTTCGCATCGATTCGGAATCCACCTATCCATCTCCCGCGCGTCGGTTACACCGCCGCGAAATAATTCGTAGCGTATGAGCAAACACGACGACACCTCGACGCGTCGGTACTCCAGTCAGCACTGTCAACTCGCTATTTTGGACACATAATGCGCAACAATACACACGGGCGCGCGGGTGAATTTATTGATGCGTGCCCTGAAGTACGGACCAGTCTGAAGGTAGTGAGCCTATTACAGTCGCGCATTCAGAACTGGAGTGGTTTATGCTTTGTGAGCGCTTTATGCACTCACTCACGTCCTGGAGTGCGAGTTATACGAGGTCAGCTTGCCGCTGTTAACAATATTCGAACGTCATTCGCATCTGTTATGTCGTTGTAGTCGTTATGGTCGTTATGTCAATACAGATGCACTGATACCAAACGAGCAGCCCGCCCGCCTGTGGCACTGCCTGTAACTTTATTGGGGAGTTTAGTGAATTGGGGCGGCAGGCTATGTTTCGCTGGGTCGGGGGGTATTGTTGGATATTAGGAGTATGGTCGTAAAGTGCCGATTGGGAGTCGATACTCGAACTAACTTAAACTCAACTCCATTCACTCCAGGAGCCCAGGAACATTCAACTTTATTAAAAGGATTTCTTTATTATCAACGCCAACTATTTAAGAAATTTTGTTAGGTTGTAAGGTAAACTTTGGAGCGCAGAGAACTGAAAAAGTGTTTTTTTTTTTCGTTCATAACTCATGAAAATAATGACCGCGCAGGACTAAAACTCTGCATGGATATTAAGTTTCGCCACTTAATACCTGATACTCATCATAACATTGTGTTTGCTCGCACAGCGCTTGCGGAGTATAGAGTTATCAGTACTTAATTGAATTCACGAGTCAATAGATGATGCAAACATGTAAATGTTTACGCTCGTTTTAAAGAATCGCTTCTAGTCCAAACAAGCAGTGCATTTAGTTGTTTTAAGTCGGAGCTGTCGGCTGAAACAACAGCGCGCAAATATTGCGTAAGACCATCCATTCACGTCGACGCACGGCGTGTGCAGGCATTCGCATGAATCATTCGAATGTGTAAGCGCATTTGTCGACTCCAAGACACGACAAAACAAGCGCGGCAAGCACGGAAATCCTTCGAGCTGCTGCCGAATCCCTCACGCAGCATTCACAACATGCGCTGCGGCTGTTAATAGGGATTAATGCCACCGTCTCGATGTGCCTTGGGCGGTGTGTTTATATTACCGCGGACGTTCGAATGTTTAAAACTGGACTAATTCATATCTGACCTGGATGTGCGCGCCTGCCGTTGGGCAGCGCCGAGCGTTGTTTTCGCTCTTCCGGCGAAAAGCAACCACAACAAAATATCCATACGCTCGGAAGCAGATGAGCGTGGAGAAGCGAAGGACGTGTAGTAAAAACGTCGGCACGGCGGCGGCGGTAGTGGTGTGACGGCACAATGAGTGCCGCTGGAAAAAAATATCATAGAAAAATCGATGCGGCCACGAATTTTCCGCGCTACTTGACGCGCTCACCTTGATGATGTGTTCTCTCGCAGCCGCCCCACAGACGCCCGCCGCCCTTTCATTCCACTATATTAGTTTATCAACCTGAGAGGACGGCGGGCGCGCGGCAAAAAATCAATAAATTATGCTTCTTAAATTTGCGTCAGCTAACAGCCAGAGACTAAACCCCCGGCGGCCGTATTTACAATGCTTGCATCCGACCGGCGGACCGACCAACCCATCGTTGCTATCGCTACCATCAGGTGGTGTGTAGGGCTGCAGGATTCCGGTCGCTGGTGTGAACATGGGCGAGAAATAGAAGCTTTGGCGGGACAAAATGCGGAGGCGGCGGCAGGAAGCGTCCGTATGCCGGCGCCGACGTTTCCCGCTTTACATTTATTCACCTCACACTTTTCGCACATATTTCCACGCGGCGCGCATAGTCCTTGCGATGCGCGAAGCGATTGCTTCAATATTTCATGCGGGAACGCACATTCTCGCACCGTGTTCCCGGTAACACACGGACAGTGTACGTGGGAAGATGCAGAATTTCCCCGGAGCGGTTGAAGCGATGCACACGCCAGGGGGAACAATGAATATTTGACCTACTTGTCGCTGCATAAAGCATAACGCGTGCGTTTCGAGGTGTCTATGTGTCCGTAGATTTGTGCATGAACTGTTGCAAATGCTTACCATCCTTAACACTTCCTCGCTAAGCCCCAAAGCGGCGCAAATGAGCAAACCACACATTGCAAGCGATTAGTAGCAAGTCCGAGTAGGCAAATGGACTGAATTCGTTACCAGCACATTGTATGCATAAAACAAATTGCAAAATATGAGCCATCATACGCAGGCAAATTTAATTAAAGTGATAATTTCGCTCGGTGGCGACACCAGAAGGTTTTTCCTGACATTTCTGACTTGTTGTATTCTCCCCGACCGCTTAAGAGCACGCACTCTAGCTCTGACGGAGTGGCACTTGCTTTAGCGGCCAGCCGAGTTTAATTAAAACTGCATTCGATTGCCTGATGCACGAGATGATGGCACTCACGAGAACCGGAAGCAACCGGAACGGAAAAAGCGAACACTCCGCCTAATGACTAAATCTTGTCGGTAGCGGAATTTCGGCCACGCTAGCCGGTAAAAACACGTCTCGATGGTAATCTCCCGTCCCGAACGGGACTCGGAAAAAAGTCGGAAAGGTGGGGGGGACCAGGAAACTACTCGCCTGGGTCGTGCCGGCAAATCTCTGGGATGATTACAATGTACTCGTTCGTATAGCACGCGCCGAGCGAGGAAGGAAGGAAACTTTCGTGCGGAATCAGAAAGAAATCATTACATGAGCGGCAGGAGCGATAGAAGGCGACGAAAAAGCGACCAGAGGAAAACTAGCAAATAGCATCCAGACGCCAGGCTAATTTAAATGAAAACCCCGCCGACTCGAACAGCATCTTGTTATAACTTTGCTTAAGTTAACTTCAATTTACTTTCGTTATGAGCAGCCCAGCGTGAAAACTAACCGCGGCAAGCGCACAAAGCCACCGTTGAAGTTTTGGGTAACTTTCAGCCGGAAAACAAAAGGCAATATCGAGTGCAGACCTTCGGCGGCCGCAGCGGGTCTGCTGTATTGGTGTTATCGGCGTGATTCGAAAATGTATCACGTGCGTGTTTGGTTTGGGTCAGAGTTAGCAAAGATTTGAATTGAGTGCGAGCTGACCCAAATACGTGACGGATTTTATTAGGGTTCATATTTATTGATGTTTCATGTGACAACGGCGGGCGGCGGTGGGTCGCGCGCGCGATATTGAACTTGACGTTAACAAAAGACCCGCCGACCGGGAAAAATGCAAAAACACGCGCGCGTCGCCGCCGCCGGGCAAAACATGCAAATTGAGATGGAACCACTCGCTCAATCTAATTATTTATTCATGTTACAAGGGCAATGAAATTTTTCACTCTCCAGGTTTATTAAGGGAAAAAAATTCAATTTTTGACGCAACTCGATTTCGAGCAGATTGATTGAACGCATAAAAAGTCTGTTAGTTAAAGCCGAATCATGCATGCATACTCTTTCGATTGCGTATGGATAAAATCAGCATCAACACAAGGCGATAACAAAGTGACGAATTCATATTCAATATTCATTGCATGTTTATTTTTAGAACAATTTGCATTGCTCGAAATCAGTTGAAGTTACAAACTAGTTTCGCGAAAATCGCTCGCGACTCAATGTAATTGTTATTTTCTAGTGTTATTCGTACGGTAATTATTCAATGGGAAACGAGCAGACTCAAAACAGAAAGTTTACCTGCTTGAATTCCTTATCCAAGCTCATTAGGCGTAATGAAACATTCAAGGAATAAATTGCAAATCGATTTGTACGCCCATGTAAAACACTTGGCACAGCAACAACAACAGCGCACGAGAAAATCACAATTATTTAACTAAATAATTAATTAAAATGTTGTTATTGTTCGGTGCGGAGAAAAGTTTTATTTTTAGCCTTGTTGTTTCAAACAACTCGGTTAATTAAATACGCTAGTTTATTGAACTATAAATTAATGCGGAACATTACATTTACACTTTATAACTAATTCAATACGTGGAATTTAATTCGGTTTGAATGTAGTTTCTTTCGGAAACTGTGTACTTTGACGGAAATTCGTTAGGTGCAGCTACTTGACTCCTAAGCATACTTATTCTTGTATAAAGTATGCTGTGCATCCACTTTGGGGGTAGTACTTGATGCCAGTCTAGTAGCATTTCGGTGAAGTATTATTTCCCAGTTGGAATCCGCTTTGGACGGCGTTTTGTACCGAGATCGAATTCAAATCGATTTCAATTCCGCATGTGTTTCAAGATAGCACTGATTTGGAAACTGATGGCCTCGGTGCTCTATTTAACACGATCCCATCTCTCATGGGAGCATCAGTTCAATAGGTTGTGGCGCAAAACTTGGAATGATTACTCATCAATTGAATTAGTTGGAGCGCGGTGCTTGTTGCGTGTTTAGCATGCACTATTACGCATTGAATGTCATTGAAAATTGTTGCTTTGATTTAGATAAATGTTACTCACACCCAACACCACAAATGCATTTTGCTTGCGCAACGCAAGCTGCGTTTCTGTAAGTGAAATGAAATAGATTTTCGAATTGCGGATCGCTTGTCAATCGCACACATTTTATGCAATTTATACATTCGACGAAAAATAGATTTCATATAATAATGCAGTATTGATACGGAGACCTTTTCCGCAAAGCGTGCAACGAACAGGACGCGTGCACCTAATAATATTTATTTATTTCGAGAATGCGAAGAACAACAAGTGACACAACCTTTGTGGAAGTAAATATAATATTACAAACGTCATTTTTATCGTTTGGTTACTCGAAATATTCGCGAAATAATACAAAGCGCATTGTGAGTTCTATTTTAATTAGAAGCAATATTTAGTTTATATATTGTTCGCATATTTTGACCCACATTCGGGTTCAACGTCCGCATGAAATAATTGGAATTAAACGCATAACGCTGACTGAATAAATTTATTTGTGTTTGTTGCAAAACGCACGAGTTTTTAATGCAACGCGACGTGACAATTGTTTTTATTTTGTTTCGATATTGATTTTTTAATTTATCGAAACGTTAGGCAACTCATAAAACAAATGTGCGTGCTGCTTTTGAAGTTGACGTTGCATATATGGACTCGAGAGGTTTTTTTCTCTCGTAAATTTAATAATTACGAATACATGGATTTTGGTGGTGGATTTTGAAATATTTATTTAATTTGTGGCAATTTTCGGGTTTATCGCATATCTTTTGGCACGTGCCATGAAATTTTGGGGCGAGGCAAAGGGACGGCTGGTTTTAATCCGGATTAATAATACCCGCAGTCCGGATATTCATCCCTGATTGATGTAACAACCGATTAGCTGGGAACCTATACCGCCACCAATCACATTAGGTTTACAACAATGTTAACCCTGCAAATGGAAATTAGCGGGGGCAATTTGGTAAGCGGGAAAAATAGCACTTGTTGAGTGGCTCTGATCGCGCCGTCCCCGCGGTCCAACAGGCGGTGCGGGTCGCCGGAGAACCTGCTCGAAATGCGGTCGGGTAATATACACAAACGGTGCGGCGTCGAGGATCGATGCTTCGAAAACCGGGCCGCTGGAGGCAGCGCCGTCCGCCGGCACTCTGGGGTGTTCGCGTCGCGTGGGAAATGCACGCGCGAACGGAACTCGCATGATGAGCGAGATCGAATTATGCTCGCGCATAGCAGAAACTTGCATCCAGTGAGGCGTGAGACGAAGCGCCCAACGCAGGACGACGGATGAAGAAGTATCGACGCGAGCCGGCATTCCACATATGATGCGATGGACTTTTCTGTCGAGGGACAACGGAAGCCCCTGCATTCTGCATGAAGTCGCACAAGTCACCAGCGAGGAAATAAACGCACGAGTTTCCGCCTGAAGAATTCCAGGCGGTCACAGGTGCAGGTAAACACGCCGAAGAAATATGAAAATATGTGTCGCAGAGTGTCGCAGAGGGCGAGATGGATCGGGATTCGCGCGCCGATGGGCAAACAACTAAATAGGTCCACCGGAAATGCGGAAACTCGAGCGCAAATTCGCGCGACGTAGGCACGGACAGATCAAAGTGGCCGACAAACTCAAAATATAGACCACCCGCACCATCCTCCTCCCGGCAATCTATTCGCAGCCGGGCGACGCGGCTAGCGGCAAAATGCGAAAACGTGAAAAGGAAATCGTCGAGGAGAGCGAATGCAAGCAACGGCCGGAAATTATAATTGAAACATGTTATATTCGCTCGTGCTTCTCTGCACACCCCCGCCAGCACATTATCACATGGAAGTGGAAATGCTTGCATCCACAAATCTAAAATCAACCAGTTCCCGCCACGCGCGCGTCCAGCGGAAATGCAAAGATGCATCCGAAGGAAATTCGGCACGGCGGGTGATTTAGTTTTCCATCTGTGTTAATATTTGCTCAACACCTTGCGGCTGCCTCAAAGGTCGCTGAAAGGGAGCAACTGGTTGTGGTGGAAGTTTGCGCGCCGAGTGTTGGAGATTCAATTGCCATTAAAACAACTTCGATGTGCGTGATGCGCATAAAACGGGTCAATTCCATGCAGATTCGAACCGGAACCATACAACCGCTTATGCTTTTCGATCTTGACCCGCGCGCCACTATCTTAAATCCCGCCACGCAATCGCACTAAAACCACCACTCGCATAATTCCACCGTGAATATTACTCTTTAGTGTTTTGTAGTTCTTGCCGTATGCGGTTTGTGTCACGCTTCACCCGATTAAGATCTGGGTCGCGACGAAATGTACCTATCCTAATTGAACTCAAGGGTCACTCCAAACCGCGTTTTCTTCCAAGATTTCCTTCCGGCACCTTCGCAAGTTGTCTCATGAGACACTGCCGTCTCGAAACACCTAATTGCAGCAATTACGCGCGCAATTAGCGTAAGCACACGCCGCTAATTTGCCTTGCGGTGGCTCGCAGCGCGAAACGCGCACATCAGCGCATCTCGCGAATAATAAACTAAGCAAATAAGTTTAATCAAGTTAATGCCCGCACGAGGTCTTCTCTGATTGCAGCGGGCAGAAAACGGACGCGTGAATTATTAACAATCACGTGCCGTTGTGGAGGTAGTTGGTAGTCACTAGTCAAGATAAACAACGTAATAGCAACGCCACACGGGTGCGAAAGAAGCGGCGAATGAGGAAACAAACAAACTAATGAAACCTTGCATTTTCTTTGACGGCGAGATCAAAAAGCGGGCGTGGGCAGACGCGAAAATTAGAAAAATCAAACAATCCACCTTTTCGAGCGTGCAACAAGTATCTTTTGCGCTCATAAATATTGACATTGAAAATAAAATTTGTGCAAATATTACAAAAGAATTTCAATTGCCGCTTTTCTTTCTGCGCTATCAAACAACTGGATGCTATGTTTAGACTATAATTACGTCTGCTATTGTGAACGGTGCACTTGTTGCGCACTTTATCATCATTTTTTCCTGGCTGGATTGTTGTGTATTTCAAGGGCAGAAAATTGAATTCTGCGTTTGATATCCGTAAAATGCAAGCGATTTTTTCAATCGCGTTTGATGTACTTTGTAAACAATACACAAGAAAACACAACAATGAACTCGATGTTTTTAGCAGCGCGCAAGGTTATACAGCTTCTTAAAAGTCTGCTTCCGAGGAAAAGTTTATTTTCGATTCACAAAAAGGGTCACAAAAGTTAAAATCCTTTGCGGCTGCCTGGGAAAAGTGTATTTTTATTCTTTAAGTAGTCTTATCAAGAACAACGTTACATTTATAAACAAATTCTTGTTTTTTTTTTTTGTTTCTTCCACTGAAATACCGCCTACATTTTTCTCGTGTTGTACAAATGATGAGATGTAGGTAGTAGACGCTTCCTACATTAATCTCTGTAACCGGGCAGCTTTACTTCCAACCCGAAAATTGAGACTAATGAAGAAACAAGTCCGAGAATAGGGAAAGCATTGATAATAATAATTGCTAACATTTGTTTTTGCTGGTCGTGTTGGCGCATGCAACTCAGTGAGTTAACTAACGTTAACGCCGAGAGGGTTTTCACACCGGAACGTTGTCGACTGTAATGCGGCGGTAATTAATTCAAAGCCACGAAGCGACAGTAGTCCAACGCTCGTCCTCGTATTTGCAATTGGATTGAATTTTCCAGTAATTGTTTACCAATCGAATGTGCGCGCTGAAATTCGCCGAGTGAATCTCTCGCCATCTTCGCAGAAGAAAGCCGGATAACAGCATTGCGATATCCTGGCGATAGATGATGACATATTGCAAACAAACAGCGACGCCAACGTAAACACCCACGCGGTGGGCCGGTTGCAATGCGCCCACCGGACGGGATAAAGTCGTTGTCGGGTTCCAGGCATCTCCCACCGCTGTTTGTGTTCGGGTTGCAACGCGGGGGTGTTATTTCTGGCGAACGCTGCGCAGCGGCAAATCGCAGCAACGCTCGCAACGATAACATTAATTAATTAATTAATTAATTAATCAACTAATTATCGGCGCAAGCGTTCAATTTGTACAACACGATGTTTTTTTATATATTGTTGATTTCCGTTCGGCGTCGATGGTGAATCAACAAATTTCGAATCGACGCACAAAAGGAAAAAAGCCCGAAGGCGACATAATACTTCGCAATACTGTGTCCCGACAGGGGGATGTCCGATGCGCAGATAAATGTGTAAATACCATGTCGAGGAGTGGTATTTACAAACGTGCCGGGCGCTGGATTTATTTTGATTGGATTTCGCGCATTCGGTTGCCAGAAACGCAATATCCGGCATTGTCTGCGTTCGAAGCGCGGCTTTTTCGAACATGTGCTCGCGGGGAGGAAAATCAATACGCCCCGCGTGACAAGACACGTCGAAAACGCGTAATTGCTCATGAATTTGATGAACTGTTAACAGCATTAAGCGATCGTAGGCGGCGCGAGCGAGAACGCAGCCACGCCGTGGAAGTTGCTACTTCGTCTGTTATTCGGATAGCTACTTATGTGATTAAACTTCAAACTTTCAGTCACATTGTCGGTGAATCGATGCGACATTTAGCCGGAGCGCACGACTTTCTACCTCGTCGTTTTTATTACTCTTGACATTGTAATATGATTAGACTCGTGCGTTTTTGCGTTGCAAATTGCGACTTTATAAGACAGAGTTTATTTACCGAAGCGCCAGTTTGAGTTCGAGTTATACTCGCAACTTCTTTTTGATTAAGGACGCGCGTTTTAAGACCTACGACAATATTTGCATTCGAGTGCCACCGCTGAGAGAGAGATTAAGCCGCGAGCAAACAAATTTCCGAAGGCGGTGCTGAACGCGGTGCGTTAGACGCCTTCAAACGGCGCTGCACCAAATCGTTTCGAAACGATTGAACAAAGCTCGGAGCACAAACTCTATTATCGCCGGTGCGCGTGTGCGCCCACTAGCAACCAGCAGTCACACAACTTTAACTTTGCATTTGTTGCAGGACTAATGGAAGCACGTAATGGAATTTGGCTTCTCGGCGAGGACGTTCCTGCTGATAATTTCAACGCTCGCGGTATCGATATGCGACGGAGAAGGAAGCGACACCATTCCGAAGGTGAGTGCGCGAATTCAATCGCTCAATCATTTCGACAGCCAAATAGACATTTCGATAGTTTTCAATTGAATTCAGACCTCGACTGCGCCGAGTTTAATTGATTTGTGCTCTGATTTGGTCGCATTCATCGCACACAACAATTTTCTGCACTGTTGCAGGCAGTGCTTTTAATTTGTGGCACAGTAGATGGCGTACGCTGCGTTGTTTTTGTTTCTTGGTCACTTTTTGGCTCTTGGAGCGTACTTTTCGAAAGTTTTTGGCACGAGTTCGAGATGTTTATGCAGTCGGAACGCGGCGAGGATTTTGTTTACATCCGTCGCTTGGGTGCTCGTGGAGCGCACATTAATCAATCAATTTCGAAGGCTGCTTCTGCATTCGCTGACTTCCCCCGGCTAGGTGGATATGGCTATAATCAGCAACTTTTTCCGTCCAAGTTTTTTTTCTGTTAAATTGGAATCCCGGGAAAACTCCGTTCCGAATGCGCCGCTGCTGACCTGAAATATAAACCCAGTTTGAATAGATGAATAGATGCGCGCTTCGCAGGTAATTAGTGCGATGCAAATTCTATTTCCAGCGTATACTACGCAGAATATATCAAATTGAAAGCGCAAAAGTGCATTGAAGCATATTTTGCAAACATCAAAGTTCGTCCATCGTCTGGGTCTCTCTCGGTCTAGGTCTAGGTCATTGTCAATGCCATAGTCTGACACGTGTCTGGTTCAAGGTGGGCGACCTCATCTCACAGCTTCCGCATCTCACTTGAAGATTCCTTCCCGTTGCATACCTGCTGTGATCCCCGGTGGCGGGCTGCAAATCCTTCTGTGATCCAACGTGCGAAATCTCTCGCTGGATTTGTGCGTCAATGTTAGTTATGCTCAACCGAACGTTAAACATGTTTGCGCCAACAAAGGGACTAATATCCCTCGCAGCGGCGAGCACATAAAACGCTCAACGTTCTACATAACAAAATGTAATATTCATAACATTGACATGTACGCCGAGTAACCGTTTACGAGTGCGGGCGGCTTTTGTGCCTGCGCTCACTTCATATTTCATCGTATGAGAGGGCGGCTGACATCGCGGTGGGGTGGAATTTTATAGATTAATTCGTTGCGTGGTTTTTAAGGTGATGTTCATATTTATATAGCAATTTGATATGTTATTCACGTCGACGAGTCATAAACGCAGCCGTAATGTGCGGCGTACTTACCATCTCACAAGGTCTTTAACTTCGTGTTATTATGCATGAATTGGAAAAGATATGGTAAGATGAACTCGTAAATTGGTTAATCTTAATAACAGAAATAACATGTGTACTGCACACATTAAATAAAGCCGTATTACTAGTTATTTTTGCATTTTGCACGCAAATATTTTTTTTAATGGAATTTTTAACTTTTAAAAGCAAATATACATCATCTATCAAATGTTTCAAGCCAAATATATCCTAATACGTATTTCCTAGAATTGTTTGCCTTTTTTCTGCTGTTTTTTGTTTTCATATGAAAATTGTGCAGCCATATTACCGCGATCCCTCAAGGTACTTATTTTCGTGCCGGATTTGTGTTTGTTAGTCAAATACGACTTTTAACGTTTTCCATTCGATTTAATACCCCGAGTTAAAAATAAACGCAAAAGCATTTGTTTACTAAATGGCAATCGTTTCGAATAACGCGTATTTACGAATACAGTTTATGAGCGCGAGCGCACGCGTGTGTGTGGACGAAAAATCGCACGCGGGAAAACTCGCGGTGCTCGGCGCTTTTTCCAGGTCGACGCATTCCTATCCTACCTGAAACTCGATAGGCTTCGAGATAATTTATTGGTCAATTTGTGCGACGTATCCGCTCAGGTTGCGTCGCCCAGTATAGCATAAAAGTATTCATATTTCAAGCATCCCGCAGCACGCGTCGAACAAAAAAAATCGCAGTATATAAAACGTAAATCAAAACGATTCGTTGGTTGACGCAAACGCGAATAGAACTACGATGAATATATCGACAGAAAAAAAGCAATTGCGTGCGTGGATTACACCCGTCGATCGGCGAACAATGACCCTAATCAGTGATTGCCCCGCTCAAAAATAAAATTAAATAGTGTGCGCGCTCCATTCCTCTGTGGACGCCGATGTTATTTTCCGCGCTTCGTGCTCGCTGAGCGCTTGATGCGATCTCCACGGGCAAATTGCACATTGCTGGAAACGCTTTATGATTATTTTTGATCCGTGATAGCGAGCGCGCGCGCGCGCTCTTGTAATCATGTTTGTATCCGATTGTCCGATGCGAAACTGGCTACGAATAGATTCAGATTCAACACCGCGATTATTGCCCGTTGCTAAAATAATACGATCGGAGAGGTGCGCGGGCCAGTAGGTCGCGCACGGAGGGAATTCAATCCGCCTGAAAGGGATCAACGCGCGCGCTGTCCTGCTGCGGACGTCATCGCGTTCGTCTTTGTGCGAAATCTGAATGGGAAATTGAATTGAAAGCTCTTTGGCGATTTTTCCTCAAACGCGCGACAATGCAGCGCGGTATTCATGAATGTGCGTCACACATCTGCAGCTGAATGGCAGCCCATCGAATGCACCAAATCGTTTTCTTGCGCGCGACAGACTTCAACGCGACTTACGTCTGCCCACACGGCGAGTGAACTCGCTGTCACGCTGGTCGAATTCTAGTAATCACGTCATCACGTGTCAATCGATGCGAAAACAATGTAATTTACTAAGCGGCGCACTGTCACGAAAGTGAGATACAAAGTCAAGTCAACAAACTGAGTAATGACTCTACTAGACGAACGAAATGAACTGCAATAACTCATTTTGAGAGTGCTTTGTTTGCCGCGTCATGCAATACACACACACAAATTTCAAGCAATTTGATTGAGATAGTGATTAATTTCGGTTTTATTATTGCTGTTCTCATGCATTAGGATGTGGTGGAAGTAAACTTGAAGCAGATACGCGACGTGTCGACCAACAGCTTTGGCGATCTCTGCATCACCGAACAATTCCGCCTGCTGTCGGTGCCCATCGACGCTCAGCGCTACGATGCCGCCCGACAGAAAGCAGATCTCGCCGCCATGCTCCTGCAGGACCTCGGACTGGTGCATCACAACGGTGAGTCATACAACAACAACAAAAAATAAATGCACACAAAACATCAACCAACGCTTACTCTATCAACTTTATTTCTCATCAACGCACAGCCAACCAACCACAAAACAAAATCCAATCAAAAATATAAGAACGAAAACAATTGCCTAATAATTAAATGCGCGCCCGGGATTATCGCGAGTCAATAATAGAACAATATTAAAACACGACAAGGTATATAGATACGACTTATCGCCGATGATAATGATCAATAATTAAAATGCTAATTTCACTCGTTGATTTTGCCGAAATACAAGACAACGCGTCGCTTATCAAATACGTAACCCGACAATCAGCGTGCGCGTGAAGTTTTTAATTGCCATTTAAAAAAGTGCAAATGCGCCGTAAACAATCGAGATAGATCAATCGAAGGGTATTGTTTCATCTTGATGCGGCTGGATAAACGTTTTCTATAGAAATTTTTCACTCGACTGATAATTTAACTTGAAATATTAATCTCGACGATAAATATTTTCTAGCAAAGGAATCGGATCGCGCGAATAAAATATCGAAAGCCATCGACACCGACGATTCATATTTCAGCATATTTATAACAATATTTATCCTCTCCGCTAGCTGTTAGTCACGTTTATTTAGCAATTACGGCAAAACGATGATTTAATCAAATGTTGGCATAGACTTATCATGAAAATGAACTGAGGCGATCTATTCCGGGACGTTCGGCGCCGGTGTCTTCTTCAGGTGCTGCTTATATTTCATCTCGGTGACGACATTATTGTAGAGAATGCTTTCGTTGCGCGTTACACCGATTCCAGCGACCTTCGCAGTGCGGATGTACTTCCTAGCATCGTCTTCGTCATCGTCTTCCTGGTACTTTGTGTCATCGGCACCCGCAGCGCCGTTATATTGGTCCCAATGATGGTTTTCGATAGAGATGCTACTGCGTGTGCTCAAATCCTGACTCTCCTGCTTGCGATGACCACGCACGCTACCATTGGTGCTATGTGCGTGCACTGGTGCTACACCAGCACTGGAATCGCACGATTGTCCTGCGGCGGATATCCTCGGAATCATCTGCGACTGACGCATCTTGTTCTCTTCCATCTGTTGACCATACTTTTGGTACTGGTTGAAATGATTAGGTGTGATGGTGGCGTAGATGTGACCCGAAGCAATGGTGGCGATGACACCTTTGATCTTGGTATTACCTCCGCCGGGTTGCCCATCGGATGGGTTTATAGGTGGCGGTTCAGAGTGGAATTGCTTCTGTGGGTTATAATTGCAGTTAGCTTCATGTTCGATGATCTCCTGGCCGAACCTATAGCGTTCCTGACACCCATTCATTCTGTAGGAGCATTTGATGATAAAACAGTCTAGGAGTTCTTCCAGGGGTTTGTCGCGGATCACTGGTGGTGCTTGCAGGTCAGGCCCACAGCGGTAACAGATGTAGGTACCATTAGGGCGGATGAATATTGGTAGAGCCGAGAGATAGCCAAAGCAGTGAACGCAAGTGATGAGTTCGTGGGTTTTATCATCGGCATTAATGTAGTATAAACCTGAAAATAAATTGATTTACTTCCGAGGTCTTTATTTTTGATATTCAAAGGTTTTACCTTTAGGTTTTGGTGGGGGTAGATTTTCCACGCCACAGCGTCTCCAACAGGAGCAACATCCCTCCGCTCCGTATTCACACTTCAACTCATGCAGGCCCATTTCGTGGCGCTCCAGCACCCGGTTGCACTTGTCGAACTTGCAGGGGAAGACAAAATAGTTGGCGACATCTTCAAAGGCGACACTACGCACAGCCTGCATCGACGACAGGTGACCGCGTGAGCAGCGCCCGCAACGCACCTCGTTGTTGGGCAGGATACGCACCGGGTCGACGGACAAATAGTCCCGGCACTGGGAGCACACAAGGCGCAACAGGATCTGCCGTGGCGGCAGCTGCTTCGGGCGGCTCATCCTGTGATGGGTTCGTCGTGTTCTGCACTGCTCCGCGTCCGGACGTACACTAAACGACCGTCGGTGCCACTAATTAAACTAGCAAGCTCCAATAATCGCGACGGTCTTCGGCGGCGCGCATTATTTAATTTAATTGCGAGCGCATTAATTATGCGCCGCGCACAACTCGTAAGACTTCGCTGGCGGGCGGAACTAGCAACTCGGAACTCGGAACTAGATGAATGTATGCGTTTGCCGATGGCGTCGCGCTTTACTGCTCACCAGTCGTCGGAGTGCCGAATATTCATGCGGATGATGACGTTATCGTCGTTAAGAGCGCAAACGTAATAAACTTACAACAAAGCAGTAAACGCACTCAAGGCGATCTGCCACCCGAGTGGGAATCGAGTACGTGTAGCCGACAAAATAGCGTGATAGCGTTTTGACAAACAAATAACCATAATCAATGATATCCACCTCCGGATTCATCTAATAGATAACAGCGTTATATGGCACGCTCGTATGTCGGTAATTATCGCGCGCACTAATCACTCACACTAACGCAAAATCACCGAATCACTAGGCTATCGTCTAACCCAAGAAAATCAGCGAAATAAAAATCCACGGAAACGCCTGCCTGATTATTGCGCATTTGATGCTACGATGATAAAATACCATTCCACTTATGTGTCAACTTATTGATTGCTTGGATGAGATTAGATAATTAGTTTTTATCATCAAATGCTTGCGATGAAGCCGCTTTGAATTAGAGCACACGGTGTTTATACACGAATTTGATTTCGCTGCCCGCATTCATGCCACATATACCCCACACAACACACTTTACCGAAGTTCAATGTGCATCACATTGCTAATTTTAGCGATAACGCGAGCAAGGTGTAACAATATTTTATTTATGCTGAAATTTCAATACCACCAAGTGAGTCACTTGCCGCGCGTTGCTTACTCAACCGAAATTCATTACAGTACTACGCGTACGTTTTGCTTCAACTTACTTTATTGGATTCCGTGGAGTCAACATGTTTGCAACTTACGTCGACACGGCCATATTTTATTCGTATCTTATTATGTATTTAGTATTTATACTTCTATGCTTTGATGTTTATTCGCGATAAAAACTTTGTTCACTTTTGCTGCGTATTAATTTCTGGCTTAAATGTCGCGGAATATTCAACGTTGAGTCATTCCGATTGCAAAAAAAAAATAATGATTAATTGGAGCAATAAAATCACAATTGATGAATTTACGATTATGGTTCATTTAATCTAGCAGTAAATAACTTAAAAATTCCGAATTTAGTCAAAATATTAAATATAACATGATTTTATTTAGAATATATTTGTGTCATGCATTCGATTAGAAGCGTAGCATCGTGTGAATGTCCACCAACAAATCTATTCAGCAATGTTCAATTGAGCTGTGGAACAATTGCAGGCCTCCAGGACGCGATCTCGCGCAACCTATTGGTGTCAGATCAGCACATCCTGTCGGCGCGCGTACTCGCCATCAACGTGACGACCGGCGAGCTGCAGAACTGCGCCTGGTGGCGGCGGCAGGCGATGGAGATGGGCGGCCCGCGACGGCTGACGGAAAACACGCCGCATATTGGACAACGACCGGATGCTGAATACCCATGGTACGTTTCCCGCGTGCGTCGAATCGATATCGTGCCGTCTGGACTATTTCGGGAATATATACGCATTGTCACAAACAACTTGTTATATTGTGATGAATTTTGGTGCGTGTTTACAGGTATGAGGATGCGGATAGTACACCAGCGCTCCGATCACCAAAATTCATGCCCAGTCCAACGAACATCTCCTACAGCGGCTGGTGGACATATCCGTACTATTCCTGCGCCGAACGCAAGTGGTTGATTTCGTATAGCGTACCCATTCCGTCACAAGGCAGACATGGGTACACCTGATCAATTATTTTCGTTTGCGGTGCAAAAAAATGATATATTTATCATTTTTCAGAACAAAGGGCTTTTTGAGTCTGGACATCGACGTTTCCAACTTGGAAGTGAACCAATGCGAAGAGTCCGAGAGTAGCAACGAGGTGGACATCCTCCATGGCACCCACAAATGTCATAATTCAACATCCAAGGTACTTTGAACCATCAAAGTTTCACAAGTACAATATTATGAAATATGAATGTTTCCAGTGTCTTTATCAACAAAATCAGTCAGAGGGTACCTGGAAAACAGGATGTTACATGTGCAAATGTCGCGATGGTTTTTATACAACTCATAATGACGGTTTATTCAATGGAACCCTCGTTGAGGTTGCTTACTCAGAACACTTGGAGAACTCAAGTGAAGTTTGGTCACAGGTATTTGGGTGCCTGCAGTGTGCACCCGGATGTAAAGTCTGTAAAGGCCCTGAACCATGTCTGGCTACATATCATTGGCCGTTTAGGTAATACCAGTGCTTCCTTTATTGAAGGTATTTCAATTTCACTTCTAATGATTCCAGAATAACTCTACTCGTATTCAGCGTCACTTGCGCTTTCTGTACTGTCATTCTCATCATCTACATGTTTCAACATCGCAAGTTGAAGGTCTTCAAAGTGGCCAGTCCTATATTTTTGTCTATCACGTTATTAGGATGTGCTACCATGTACCTGGAGGTATGCCCGTAATTTGCTTATTATACAACAGGAATGAATCATTGAATGCGATGTTTTATTTTTAGATGGCTGCAATTTATCCTGTATTGGATATGTATGCCTGTGTTGCAACTAAATGGTCTAGACATTTAGGTTTCTGCATCACGTACACAGCCCTCCTGATGAAGACTTGGCGGGTGTCGCTCACCTATCGAGTGAAGTCAGCGCACAAAGTCAAGCTGACGGACAAACAACTGCTTCAGTGGATGGTACCCATTTTGCTGGTGATGCTCATCTACCTGAGCACTTGGACGTTGAGCGCCACACCCGTTGCCGAGGAAATCGAAGATCAGGAAGGGCTGAAATTCAAACAGTGCTCATACAATTGGTGGGACCATAGTCTTGCCATTGGTAAGCTCCATATTAGAATATAGCACTGCTAAAATTTTACATGTTGCAATGTTTTAAGGTGAAGTTCTGTTTCTTGCGTGGGGTATTCGTGTATGTTATAATGTAAGGAACGCCGAATCTTTGTTCAATGAAGCGCGCTTGATCAGCTACGCAATTTATAACATTGCTCTGGTCAATTGCACGATGGTTGCATTCCAGTGAGTTGCCATCCAACCGCATTGAATGTTATTGTTACTATCGTCATTATCACACTGCTTTGTGTTCTAGTTTATTGATATTTCCCAAAGCTGGACCTGATATTAAGTATTTGTTGGGCTTCGCCCGCACACAAATGTCCACGACTGTCACAATCGCTCTCGTCTTTGGACCGAAGGTAAAAATCAACACGTTCGATTCGCTGAAGCTGTTTGCGCTTTAGTCACACGCCAGTCAATTTGTTTTTATGTACTGTCAGGTAATAAGAGTGCTCAAAGGGCAAGGCGATCAATGGGATAACCGTGCGAGGAGTCGCGGCGTGACTGCATCGTTCTCCTTGAACGGAATTGGGTTGGTCCCTGAGGAGCCGCCAGATTTATATCAAGAAAACGAAGAATTGAAGGTATGCAGCTGCATTTTGCAAGTACTGCTAGATGTACTATTATATTGTGACTGTATGGTCCCTTGGGGAATTTATTTCAACCGATTTGATTTCTATAGGAGGAGATCCAGAAGTTGGCCGGGCAGATTGAATTCATGAAAATCGTTCACATGGAAATGAACAACAGGCATGTGAAGCCGAAAACTGGCGGATACTTTAGCTCACTCGCTGCTCCCGCGATTCAAAGTCCAATGGCGAAAGCCGGCTGTCTACTGGCGAAAACCAGCAGTGACGATTTATAAATCAATCGTAAATCATCCAGATCCCTAATGATTCATTTTGCATAAATATAATTTAAGGTCTTTGCATTGAACAAAAGTCATGATAGTCAAATTGAGTAATATAATGCATGTTGTGTTAAAAAAGCTGCCCTATTCCCGAAGATGTCTCCGTCAATGGTGTGGAACTGTTACCTACCATGATTGTTACCACTTAAAACTTGATGTATGCACAATGAAGACATCAAACAAGCCATTCGCAAACATTCACCTAAGAAGCGACACAAAACGCTTAAAAAAAACTTTAAAAACTGAAAGCAGTTCAATTAAAACACGTCTTGTCTGACTGTCGACTGATTTTTTAAACCGTTTTAAATGTAATTTAATGCTTCAAGGATTATAATTGTGATCGTGAGTATGGCGCGCGTTGAAGAATTAAAGTGACGACTATTAGCGACAAATCGTAGTGAAATTTTGAAGATGCTATATTATAAAGAAAAAAAAAACTTACAAATCTAGATGTGGATATGGAATGAAATGGAAATCGAGAATTGAAAGTTTAAAGACACGTTAAAGTTTGTAGGATGTTAGAATTAGTGCGTTAAGAAGTTACTGAAAGTTTACACACGTTGAAATAATTGTGCGCAATTATGTGAAGATGTCGATTAATGCAAGCGCATGCAATTTGATCCAATTGATTGCTAGGGATAGAGGAAACGCAGAGATCAATTCACGGAATACTCGTTGATATGTTTACAATAAGCAAACTTTCAAACAGAATGACAATATTTGCAATTACTAGCAGTGATGTGACAAAAAAAAACACACTAGAAATTTATCGTATCAGAACAAAGCTATTTTCAATGAAATTAGAACTGAAGTAGAATTAATGCGAATTACGTAACTAAGCTAGATAGGCGTAGCATAAGGTTAAATCAAAGACAAAAACAAACAACTTTAAGCTAAAATGACACAAGCGAAATAAAAGACAAGTAACCGATGAATTAGCACGATTTCACTTTGGACAGGAAATGTTAGGGCGCCGCCCGAAAGTAGATGTTTCTTTCGCGTTAAACTGCAATTACCCAAGTATATAATTGAATGTTCATATGCAAGCTGTCGTAAATTTACCGTAAATATGTACCTGCGATTAAAATTACCTTGCAATTTGCAATTTTTAATGATTTTATATGCAGTTGCTTTTATTACTGTGTTTTTATACTGGTTTTATTCGTGCAAGCGTCTGATGGGTGCACATTTCCAGAAACACTCATGAAATTTCACATTTTTTTAACCAACGCGATGAAATTTCACGGATAGTACAAATATAAATTTAAGAGAATTGTATATCATCGTTACGATAAAAAAAAAAACAATTATACTAAGTCCCATTAGATTAGGTAAAAGAAAGTGTTTATGAGTAATGCTAGATTAAATTAGATAATTAAAGCGTGGGAATAAAATATATCTAAATGTGTGTATTGTGTTGTATTATCAAAATTAGATTCGAAACAAAATTGAACTTCAACCTTATGTTAAGTAACAAGAAGAGAACAAATGATATCATTATTATAGAATAATCGTGCAAATAGCACGAATCATATCGTTTATATGAGCCCTTTGCGACTGATTCGTACTAATTGATATGTTTTAGGCAAAACTAGTTCTAATATTGTGTGTGTGGGTTGAAATTTCGCAGCGTTGGAAAAAATGTGAATTTTAATGACTGGAAACTTGAGACGCTTTCAAATCACAGAGTTATATGCTCATTTTATTTTTTATATAACAAAAACGTTTTTGATCAATTTCTCTAGTCACGTACGCAATTATTATTTATGTTGATTATGTTTATTCTTGTTATGTTTGGTAAAATGTTACACATTTGTTGGCATGCGTGAAGTGTTATCGGCGCATTCACGCATGCGAATGCAAATCAAATTCAATTCAATTAGCATGTTGAATAAAGGTAACTGTTACGTTTGGGTTTCGTTAATTTTATTCCAAAAAAGCCACGGATCGCAATCGCGACTTAAGTGTGATGTGCGCGTTGTGACGTATCCGTTTCTTTCTTGCTGGCCACTCTGCGACGTCTATTCACATATTCGCATATATTATCACGAACTAAATGGGTATACGTAAATGTTTGTTCTATGCAAAACTACTACTCAACGGAAATTCAACTTCACATTCAATTACTCGTACAAATTAACAAAAAAAAATTCCAGACGAAATTCGATGTTCACGCCGCACGGCCAAAGAATGTTACTATTTACAATGATAGCATGATATGATATGCGTTAGGTTACGATGTGAATACTGTTTAGAGCGCATTTCGATGCATTAAGTAAACGTTAGAATTTGGTAATGTTAACACGAGTTTAACTTATCACGCACACCTATGAGTACACATTTGGGTTGGCGTTTCCATCTGAGACAGCAATTGTCGAATGGAAGCAAACGGCGCGAGCGCGTGTTACGGTTTAGGACTTAACTTTAAGGATAATGATAGATATATGTGTGTATAACTAAATCAAGTCAAATAACTACTAAGTACACAGAGATAATTAAGATGAATGATACAATATTATAAGATTTAATGTTGTTAACAATGTTATTTATGTAAAAGAATATAACGATATATTTTTGGTGTTATATGACAAATATATGATGAATATTTTGTGTTTTAACTTTGCTTCTGATGATTGCCACCTGTCAAAACATTTTTATTTGTACTTTTTGTTGTTTTGTGTTGTTATAATAAGTTTTTCATTCATCTACGCTGATATTTCAACTTAAAAACGACATGCTAGCGTCATCTAGTGTCTATTTATTGAGTTATACATATAAATACATTCGGTTATTTTTTAGGTTCTTGTTTATCTTGTTTTTGTATGTTTATACGGACTCGGATGCTTCTCATTCAATTCAATTGCGCATTCACTGCGAATAATTTAAAAATGAATCCTGGATGGCGCTAGGATGCACTTTTTGACTAGAAATGATTGATCGTTGTTATCGCAATGTTTCAACAATGCTACACAGATATCTATGCTTATCTAGAACCTATTTTTACTTTATTTATATCCAATTGAACATGTTTGATGCATGTAAAAATACAAAGTTCGGAAATAATCACACAACAATTCAAAAGTAATGAACTATGCGCTAGAAAACACAATATTTATGTTTTAGTTTCTTCTCAAAACAAGCCAGCTAAACAATATTTAGCAGGAAATAGTTTTAAACGCATTGAATTTTATCTGAGTTATAGTTTACGTTTGAATTTTCACATTAATACGTCCCTGATGCATGTTTGTATTTCACTGGAGGTTAGCCTTCAAAATTATATGTACATGAAATTATAACATTTACAAAATTGGTGATGAATCATTTGTGATATTATTGTATTAATTTCGCTGATTGATGCATAATTGCTGTGCCAATTCTTGAAAGTTGTCAGCAAATCACTGGTCAAGATGTTTAACAACTTCTTTGGCAAACCAGACCCTAAAGGTAAGTCATTTCATAATATTTAGTAACAAAACTACTGTAGACATATAATAAATACATATTTTGTTAATAGAACAGCAGAGGCAGGTGGACAGATCCCTCAGGAAAGCTTCCAGGGAAATCGAGCGCGACAGGCGTGAATTAGAAAAAGAGGAAAAGAAATTAGTATGTTGGCTACTTGCTTCTCAAGCACTTGAAATTTAATTGCATGTTGATGTGTTCAGGAATTAGAAATCAAGAAACTAGCCAAAGAGGGCAACAATGAAGGCTGTAGGATTCTGGCAAAGCAGTTGGTGCAACTTCGAAAGCAAAAGACAAGAACCTATGCTGCCAACAGTAAGCTGCAAGGTGTCAGTGTGCAGACCAAAGCAATGGGTGCAAATGTAAAACTTGCTGATGCCATGGCAGTGGCAGGCAAGTCAATGGGACAGATGAATCAGTTGATGAATCCAGCACAGATTGGAGCTACCATGCAAGAGTTCTCGAAGCAGGGCATGAAGATGGACATGACTGAGGAGATGATGAATGATGCCTTTGATGATATCCTAGCAGACAGTGATGAAGAGACTGAGTCCAATGACATTGTCACTCAAGTGCTTGATGAAATTGGTATTGAGATGTCTGGCAAGGTAAAACTTCAACAAAATTGCATTTATTACTGCATATTTTAAATAATTGCTTTTTTTACTTAAGATGTCTGGTGTCCCACTGCCAGAACAAGGGAAAATTGACATGGGGTCAAGCTCCAAAGATGGCAAACTCACAGATTCAGAAATTGAGGCACAACTTAGTAAATTGCGCTCGTAAAATTTCTCATTGCTTATGAAAAACATCAAGTTATCAGCAGCTCGTATTCGTTTTTATCGTTAAATTAAATTCATTTAAGTAATACGTATGAATAAATCATTTTGGGTAATGTTTTGTGAAGCAATTTGCACTTTTTAGCTTGTTAATATTGTTATTTATGTTAATATTCTGAGTATTTTAAGAATAAATCCAAATTTAATAAAAACTAGTCTACAAACTCTTATTCTCCACGAATATTCAACACGACGCAGGTATTGTTATTGTACAAATCCGCAGAATAACACGTTTGATCAAATTCTGGTTTTTTACTTGCAAAGATATAGAGTTGATATAAATGTCACATATATGCGACGATAGATGTCGCTCCATGTGCGAAATAAGAATATTTTGATGCGATGTGGAATTCTCACTATCAATAAACAAATCCAAATACCAGGTGGAATATTTCAGCATGCGGCGACTACGCAGATTCGCCAAGGTGGTGACATATCGCTATCTAATCTCAAATTCTTGCGTACAATAAAATATCAATCAACGTTACACTAACTTTATTGGAATGAGTTGCAAACACACCTAATGTAATATGTTCTGACAAATAAATGAATGCTAACCATTTTTTGCTTCATTTTATCAGAAATATAATATTTGTATAAATGTAACACATTCACTTTTAAACAGCTTGCCAAATAAGTAATAAAACTGAGTATTGAACATTGTTCAATATTCATTGGTTGAAATGTTATAAATCTCAGTATTACTAGTTTAGGTGAAAAAATGTTTGTTGTTTGTATGATATAGTTTATCTACAGCCACATCACCTGACTCAGCCAATTAATGAAATGCTCTGGTTAAATCAAAGTTCTAATTTGATCCTGTAAATCATCCAATACCAATGTATTCATTTATTTTTGATCATCCTGGTTTGATCATCGTTTATTTACACTTGCCGAACGTTTCCTTCATAAAGCATCTTTCACAATTCTTCCGGACGTTCCAGCGTAAACAAAAATTTCCCATATCGCCCCACTGATGAAATATATTTGTTTATCTAATCTGTATCGCGCCAATAGAGGTGATTACTGATTATCGTTTAGTCTGGAAGCATCAAATTGTGGGCTCTGCCATTACGGTTTCACACTTCATTGCACACAGTCTCTTTTTTATCAAGTGTAGTGACTAAACTACATTAGCAATGCAGAAAATTTTATTACTTGTTGCGGTTGTTGTGGTTGTCGCGTCCGCTCAGCACAGTAAGTGATATTAACTTAATTTTTCTTGTTTATATTTAAGTATTTGATTGTTTAATCTTGGATTAGATTCGACTCTTCAGTGCCATTTCTGTGAAAGCGATGAAACTCCAGAATGCGAGAAGAATACCCAAGATGTCCTCCAGGTGTACTGTAAAGACCTGGACTACGGCAATAGCTTGAGTCGTTCCGGTGGCCAAAAGCAGAATAAGATCTTGTCGGAGGTGTTTCAAAGGGAATCATCCAGAGCGCTCACCGCCCCACAAATAACTGATTTCAGATGCATTGCGGTTGAGGTGGTAGAGAGTAAGTAATTCTCTTTATAATTACATGTAAAGTGGCACACCCATAGCTGGTTCATGCATGTTCAAGGCTCAGATTAGTCATCTCTTAAAAAGCTCTGATAAGATAATCAAATGTTCAAACTCAAAATGACTGCGAGTAAATGTAAATGTTTTCACATATTAACTAAAGACAATATTTTTTCTCTTGTATATAGATAATAGAAAAAATTTCATTCGTACTTGTGCCCCGATGAGGAACAACATTGAAAATGCATGTGATTTCATCAAGGAGCAGGTTGATAATACCATTAACATCAGGGGATGCCGGGAATGCAATGATGATTTCTGCAACTCGGCAATTCCGCTGGGTACCAGTTTGATTCTACAGTTAGCCAGCGCTGCACTCGTTTGGTTCCTGGTCAAACTTTAATATGGCTTGCAAAGGATATTAGCATGCAATAATTTTGTCCGTAAATACAGTAATAGTGCTTGCTTTTGATAAATACAAACGTTGAGCGTTTATGACACTAATGTTCTCTTTGCTACAGAAAGCACATTAACAAATGAACAAATTAGCTACATATAATTGAATACAATAATAATTTATTTGTTTTTTGTCGTTTAATACGCTTTGTACTTCAGATATGACAAATATTAATCCTTTTTAAAACAAAGAAACAATGACATCCTAAATATAAATTATTTATTACCTGAGGTGTTCGTAACTGGCAACAACTGATTATAATATTCGGTAGACTAACTAATTTCACTGGATTGTAGATTTATACCCGGCTAAACATAGGTCCGGGCAACAACCAACACGCGATATAAATCATTCCCAATTATTATGACCCACATAAAATTAGCTCAATTATATTTAGACCAATTTGATTTCGGTTTTGTAAAACCCAAATTACTTCATCCAGGTACCTTGTAATCTGGCGCCAGACACGCAACGCTGGTCATACCAGAATGTGGCTGAAACTTTTCGCCGCAATTGTATCCATTCACTTTGCGACGAGTGTTATCCTCCAGGAGTTGCTCACCATCCAAACGAAAAACGAAGAATTGAAGAAATGCGTTGTCAACGTGTCTGAATTAAACTTTGGCATGAAAGAACATGTATTGTATTCCCATTGGAATAAGAATGTGACAGATTTGAAAGAAATTGTGTCTAAGTATCCTACACAGGTGTACCATTCGCGAGGGAAAACATTCCGGGTACTCCTTAATATTTTCATTAAATTCTCCGCGTATGTCATTGTCGTTAAGACAACAAACCTCGAAGATAATTTAAAGGTTTTAGCAAGTATGATAAGATTTAATCCACGTGCAAAGTTCATCATCATTCTGGAAGGATCTGTATCTATAAACATTTGGAGAATTTTAGTAAGATATTATATCATCAATGTGGTGGTAGTCCAAACAGAAGATTTAGAACTTTTCACGTATTTCCCATACAAGTACGAAAATCTTCGTGAACCAGATTTGGAAACTTTCAACTTGGGTTCATGCTGGGACCATGATACATCAAAGGGATCTCTGAGTCTAGAAAAGATCCCAAAACAATGGAGGAATACAACGATTATTGTCGCTTACATGCCTCTCAAACCATACGTTTTGAATGTTACTGCACATGAAGGGATAGAAGTGAAACTAGTGGACATGATGAGTGCCTTCATGAAGTATAACGTGTCATATTCAACAGTTCAATATTTCGACTGGGGTGTCTACTTTGCGAAAAACCACACTTACAGTGGACCCATCAGTGCAATTCAGAACTACGAAGCTGATTTCGTCATTGGACACTTTCATCTTCGTGAAGAGGAGCGTATAATTGACTTTGACACGACTTTTTCTTACATGGATGATGATATATGTTGGATCGTCCCTATTGCATCGATTCGTTCCCATTGGCAGAATATAATGAACATATTCAACACGGCAACTTGGTGGATGACAATCATTTCGATGTTTCTATCCTATGTGGCTTGGCAATTCTTTACTTGGGGATCACCATATACTCAACCTGCGGCTTACAGGTACTACCAGACTCCTTGGTGTAGTATGGAAGTACCATTTTTGCATTTTCTTGGTTTACCTATCGTACACGAACCAAAATCCTGGGCGACGAGATTTCTACTAATGGTCATCTTTGTATTCTGCTTCATTCTGGTTACCGGCTGGAAGTCATACCTCATTGATTCGTTGACACATGACATCAGTGAATACCAGATACAGAATTTACGCGATATTATCAATTCCAAGTTAATTTTCGGTGTTTATTATGAGTTGATTGATCTGCAGTGTGCTGAAGGTACCCCAGAAGGAGACTACGTCTGTGAGAATGCTGACAGGCATATATGTGATGCGTCACATGCTTGTTTGAATCGCGTTGCTTATCAGGCGGATATGGTAACAATTGCAACCAAGCGAATTTTAAGGTAACGTAGATTTATTAAATTTCAAACAAAATTTAACCTGTTTTATGTAGATATATGTCACCACAACACTATAGAACAGAAAGTGGTAGAGAAATGTTGTACCTGTTCAAGCAATGCATGGGAAAAGACTTAACCGTGCAATATTACACAAAGGGTCATCCCCTTTTCCAACGCAGTAATGATTTGCTCCTATGGATCCGAACCAGCGGTTTTGTTGATAATTTAGACGACCGTCTGACTCATGAGATTGAACTCAGCTTCCAGGAGTATATGAAAGGACGTTCTAATTTTGAAATCAGCGTTCTGGGATTGATGCATGTGCAAGGAATGTTTTTCTTGCTCCTGGGAGGTCTTTTAGCAGCCACAGTAGTATTCTGCTTAGAATTGATTGTGTATAAACGTAGATATCAAGTAGGGATTTATCTGGAACGTTGCAATCGGTTTCTGTGGAGATTGTGGCGCATGTTGAGTTCACGAATCGAATAAAAGGTTAATCCACAAGTGTAGGCAACTTTAGAAAATATACAATGTAGCGGAATATTATACGCAGAGGAGACACAAATCAAAATATTTTATTAAAATGCAGCGCATGCTTTATAATAAAATAAACATGGCAAAATTGATTGCATGAAGTATCGTGTTGGGATTGTAGAGTGTAGTTATAGGGATGGATATGAAATGCATCAGTTGCTCTCCGCAGAGAGTTGTCGAATCCTCTCCGCAGTGTTTTAGTGCTTGCCAATGCCAACAACGCAGTAACCTTTCGCCCACAGTTTGGCTTTGAATACCTCTGGATGTACATATTAGGTATTATAAAGTAATATGCGGAGATAGCAGAAACCGAGCGCACAAAAGGCATAAATGTCATCGAAATGTTGAAAGTGTATAAAATAATAAATGTCACGTGCACGCTATCCGCGAATTTTTGCGCCGTGCAGTTTGGAGAAGGCCGACAGCTCCCCGGTGTCGGTGTGTATATTATATAACATCTATTTCCGCAATTTCGCCCGCCATCATTTTACAACAGGGTTTATGACTTATTTATAGCGCGCATTCAGCTGAAATCATTGAATTTCACCCAAACAATGTAATAATACCGTCATAAATCTGGCTGACGTCCGCGCATTTCCCACCCGCGGTGAAATCTTTTTTCGCTAAATGCGTATGTTCCACGTGAGGTGGTTGAAGGCGTTATTAAACTGGTATTGATAGCGCACGGTTAACTATGCACGGAATGCCGAGGGTTGAGTGGGATATGGGATGAGCATGCGATGAGTGGCATGTGGATGCAATTCGGCGTACGCTGATCGATTCGAAATGCACATATCCATCACGATCAACTCGGGTCGCGTATTGTTTTCGAAATCATCACGTTTTTCGATTGAAATCGTTGCGCAAACAATAATAAACGCAGCGGCAATATTTCTCGGCTCGCAATTCGCCGAAAAACGAACAAAACATGTCGGAGCAGTGTCGCCGTAATTAGGTTGTGGATATTTTCCAGCGTTACACCCCGAATTCGATGTTTCCGTGCGGGGCCAGAGCGAATGTGTTACGTGTTTGACGTCACCAGCGCGCACCCCCGCAGCCCGCGGCTGCCCCGTGACGTCACGACTGCAGGGATAAAGGTCACGTGCGTCTGGCGCACGGGAACCCGCACGCGCGCGCACATTTGCTCAGGACACCCCCGCCGGCCGCGTTGTTACGAGAGGAGTTTGGAGGAATTTGACTAACAGCACTAAATATCGAACACGAGCGGATTTCAGCTGGCGCGCGCGACGTGTCGGAAAGGAAACGGCCGCGAGCTGGGAATTAGGAAGCGCGCACAGGAACCGCGCGCAAATTGCAGCCGTATGCGGGAAATTGGAAAATTGGAGAATGCCGGCGATGGCAATGCGCACCCTTCGGCGACAAAAAAGCCGACGCGTCGATTTGTCGTCTCACCCAGACCGAGAGACACCCCCATGGGCAAAGTCTTACGCGCACGTGAAACGAGCTCCATGATTTATTCACCAGCCGGAGGTCGCAACACACAATCAATTGTTCAATCATTCCTCGCCCCGGTCAGACGCAGATTACTTTCGTAATCAAATTATGCACGACTTCCTTAATTTCTTCACGGCCGGCCTTGTGACTTGCTTTCCGAGACAAATAAATCATACCTAGTTCACATAATGTTACCGATCAATATGTGATTATGGTAAGCTCTCACCTACCGAGCGTACTGATTAACATCAATAGACGCACGGGGGGTTCCAGTTGGTCTTTTCTATTCTTTGCGTTGTCTTGAAAGGGTTTCCACTGCTTAGTTGCTTACAAGGCTTAAATATGACGTGAGTCGGTGCCAGCGCGCCAATTAATCAAATTATTGAGCTTGGTGTGCACCCAACCGCCTCGTAATACAACTCTACAAGCGTCGCCGACGTCGCTGCAGCAAATTACATTACTTTCTATTAGAGCGCCGACATCAGGTCGACCACAAAGATTGTATTTGGTCTAAGCACATGTAGGTACACACCCGATGTAAACGCATCCAGGATCTAGCGGTTTATTAATACACCGTGTGTTTCACAACATGAAATTTAATCAAAAACATTTTTCTCGTTTCTATTTTGAAATATTTTATTTTTGATTTGGTGTAACTCTAGACCTATTGTATCCTCACATGTTTTCAGGGTATACGCCTTAATTAAATAACCGCGGAAGCGTAAATAATGCGAAAAATGCATTGTAGGTGTAGCAATAGATGAGTGTAGGTTATGTAGCATTGTGGTAACCAAACACCAACGCTCCGAGCGCGTGAAACGAGATATCCCACACCGGAAGCTTGCGTAATGCTCGCCTAAGAAACGCTACAGACCTACCCTAGAAGTTCTGCTACCCGGAGAAGTTCAATTAAAGCTCCAAGTTTGCAAACGTGATTCAAAATCAGTACGTCGAACGAAGCTCCATCGACTCGCGCGGTCTAAAATTGGAAGTCAATTTCGACTCTGGTATCGGAAAAGCCAAAAGCTTGTCTATGTCGATTCGCCAATATAAATAGAAGAGGGATATTTGTTTGAATTATGCGGACAATCGATTGTATAACATAACGGCTTATTAACATCGCATTAGTAGTATATTTTTTTCTGCTCCCAGTTGTGGAAGGGAGCACTTTCCACAGAAGTGGATTTAGCTGCAGAAATCGTACCGCGCGCACATCAGCTGAAAGGTTTTTGATTATGTGGCATGATTGGAATAATGGATAGGTGTGGGATTAAATGTGTTGTGGTTGGGATCTTGTTTCGATGTGCTGGCGTTCCACCAGATTCGTGAATTAAGTAGGTGTGTGAGCAATGCGCACGATTCCGTCCCTGACGTCTCCCTTCGTCGTTTTATTTCCATTCCCTTCGTAATGCCCGAATAGAGTGTACCTATCTATCTGTCTGCCTATTTGTCTATCTGTTATTACGATCAAATGTCTTTTTATCACGCAACTCCGAGCTCGAGACTTGACTCGGGAGTTGTAAAAGTCGCGCGGCGCATGTGAATGGATACGCCGAATCCGTTGTCCATTCGATTTTTATGCCCCGCTATCTGCCAGCCTGCATTAGCATTACACGTCGAATTGCAGGGATTATTCGGGCTATAAATGCGTCGGCGCGGACACACAGCAGACGCGTTCGGGCATTTAGCGCTCGAAAACAACACACAGCTTTTTTCGTGCGGAGAGAGTAGGTATGTGTACACTGGTCGCTTTTTTTACGGCCGGACGCAGGTCCCACTGGGAACATTTCGAGGGCACGGCTAAAGTGCCGCTATCATTTCATTCTAATTTAATTATTAAAATGTTTCAACAATGTACTTTGCACGTGGCCGCGGATCGTCGCCGCGAGATATGCGTACGGAACGCGCGAACGCGCCAAGCGTTCGTCACCGGACGTGACCAACCCCTTGTTGGTAAATTATGCGACGCTGATGTATGATTCATCATCGGCGGTGGGACGGACCCGGCAAAAAATCGTTATAAATAGTGAAACACAAACCGAGCAACCGGGCAAACCCCAATCCAGCGCTGGGCGACCAGCTCGTGTGAATAATGAAACGCTCAGATGCAAGATGTACTTCTCGCCGAATTAGGTGTGAGTTATCGCTTCGTTCAGCTTTTAATTAGTGTTAACGGGGAGCAGCGCGACGGGTCAGGTCGCGGGCAGGCGAACTTCGTGCGCTAGGCAAAGTTTAACGAGAAAATGAAGACGGAACATCCACTTTTCTTGAATATTTTATTAAAGCGACGAGCAAGCGAGCCAAGTACTCTGCCTTCCTACATACCTGCGAGTACCACCACTACCCTTTTAGTTTACTTCTGCTCCGGCTGCTTCTTCTTCTGCTGCTTCTTTTTATTCGCTTAATAACTCCTGCGCTCCCGCTGTTCCTGCCACCTCGGGTCACCTATACCTCCCGTTGCTAAATGTGCAAACAGTGCCGGAATTTAGGTGAGTGCAATGCTCATTGTATTGATAAAACATGAACGGCGGCGGCGGGAAGACGGCGAAGTTCTCGTGGTTCGCGGGAAGCGAACGCGTCTCGGGAGTCCTACGAGTTGGAAATTGTTGGGAATTTATGTCCCACCGTGCGCCGCATTCGCCACAGCACGCCGGATACTTATAAGCTACAATGTTAAAACGCTACAATTCCCGGCGAGCGCAAAAATGCGCGGCGATAAACCCGCGGATAAAAGCGGCCCGCGGCGCGATGGACATAAACTTTAAACTCGACTCGATTCATCAAACGCGTGCATGGAATACGAATTGGGAGATAGTTTCGTGCGGGCGCTTATCGAGGGGCTCGATATGATTGATGTAATTTAATGTCTGCGGACACGAACAACAAACGTAGCAACTGTTTACATTGTTGATTGCTGGCTTGCGACAGTTAAAAACATTTTCTCTTTTTTGCCGGAGTTTCGTTTTGTGTGTTTGTGTGAGTTTCCGAATTGGAGTTCGATTCTTCACACAAATAGCTTCGTCATTGTTTTCGACTCTTTTCAAACACTGGTAAGTACTTCGAATATATAGGTGTAAAGCGTGTTTACAAGCCGAGTACATGAGGTCAAGCGTGTACCTGAAGTCGACATGAACGGCGGTTATGTGAGACATAAATATCCAAATAGCGCACTCGCGCGCGGAAAAGTACGTAGTAATAATAGCCCTAAATTGGCTCGTATAGGAAAAATGAACAGTGCACGCACACACAGAGGCAAAGCACTAAAGCGTAGCCGCTGCGTTCGTATTTTGCGCAATTTTCCAACATTTATTGCGCGTTGTATTGAGGCGCGTAAAAATTGTAAAAAAGACGCGCGCGCTCGCACAAATGAAAATGCAGAGTTCAATGCCCAATGTTGCATGCCATGCTTGCGTTCTTCGACAATGGGGGAAGGGAAGTGGTGGTTAACGCTTGCGCCCCGATTGTGAACAACAAGGAGGCCGGAACGAGGAACAAGGAATTGAGTGCAGCAGGTACTCGCCCTCGCAGCGAGCGCAATCGATGATTCTTGTTTTGTCTACCTTTGTGATCCATACTAGGAATAACGATCCGAACTGATAATACCGAGCAATATTGCGGAGGATCGGTATGGACGACGTGGCATTCCGAAACAGCTTGGAATTCTTTTTCTTTTGCTTCGATAGCGCGGTGATCCAACAATCCTGAGATGTGGGAAAATTGCGAAATGAAACTGTAAATAATCGATGGGTAGACGAGGGGTGGGACCTCCCAGGGTGGAGGTTTCATCAAATGTTAACTGGGTTTGGCTCAATTTTGTTTTTCTGGATCTGTTTTTGTTCACAATCAAGTTGGGCTTATTTGAGGAGGGAGATCACACAGCAAGAAACAGTTTCATCATGGTACCCGCTGGAATACCAAGAACTTGGATAACAAAGGTGGATCTAGAGGAATTGGAGCAACTTTTGTTTGTGATTTCCTGGTCATGATTCATTAGGAAGCGAGTTTCTTTCACAACTAAGGGTAACCTTTCCGGAGGTCTGGGCCTGCTCTCTACCCTGACCTCCTACCATTACCGGTCATGTTGCTTATATTATCAGAATCAAGATCCAAGGAACAAAAAAAAACGCGCCAGCATTGTTTCCCCAAAATGCAAATACAGCGCGAGGCGCGTGGAGTCGGGACGCCTGCGTCGATAGTCGGACCGCTGCCGCCGCCGCCGCCGCCGCAGTCGAAAGAACGCGGCGCGAGGTGCGTGCGCCCGCTGTGTTGGTGCACATACGCAGCCGCCCCCCACCAAACGCGCGGCGCGCTTCTCTCGCGACTCGGATCTATTTATCGAACGCGCCGCCGCCGCTGCTGCCGCCGGCGCCGCAGTATAGCATCGCGCCCGCTCCGGTGCGGGTCCGTTCTCGTGCGCCGCCCTCGCCCCCCTCGACGAGCACAGCGAGCGAGCGCGTCTCCCGCGACACCGTCCCCCGCTTTCTCGCCGCAGCCGCCACCGCCGACGCCGACGCCGCACCACCGACATGGGTACATGAGGATTGGCGTGCAGTTGCGAGTGCTGGCCAGTTCGAAAATGTAACACGCCGCCCGCGAAACGACGCGAGAGGAAACTTGCGCCCACGGTGGAGATGCACGAGGAGATGGTATTCTGGGGGGCGTCACGCGCCGTCGTCGCCGCGCCGTCTCGAGCCGCTGGAAAACACTCGCTCTAAATCGAAGAACCCCTTACGTTCGCTGGCATAAATTTAAACTAGCAAACTCTGCCGAAATCATCCGATCGAGAAGCTCGTAAAAAGTGCAATAAATTGTTTTGGTTTTTGACGTAGACAGACTTGAAATATGAACGTGCAAACAAAACGAACGCTGTGAATTCGCAATTCACGCTTAAACTTTTAAAAATCTCAGCAAAGCAAACTAACAAATCTTTAAGTTTTAAGTTTTTAAGTGCCAAATTTTTCGCCGTTTATTGTTGTGTTTTTTATTTAACTACTGCCTGTGCAATGGTTGAAGAAACGTCGAAGCGGCATGGATGTAACAAGCAATAAGTCCTGAAAGCATTTCCAATCTCACCCATCAGAATCAAATCGTCTCTGAACGCATATTGAATTTTCCAGGTAGGCATTGTGTTACGCATAATTAATTCTCGCACAATATGACAGCATATTTAATATACAATCAGCGCTGATTGCACAATTACGCGTTGATATTGAAAGTTGCGCGCCGGTATAATGTGTCCGTCATTAGCGCGCGCGCCGCATGCAAATCCAATCGTAATTGCAATATTGTACAGTTATGTCGATAAACACGAGAGCCGCCGCTGCCGCCACCGCCGCCAAACATACTATGCGTGTTTACGTTCCATCCTAACGTGCTCCGTTTTCGGCGGATCGCGGATTGCGCTCCATATCTTATTGATTTGCCATTTTCGGCTGGTTGGCGGCGCGCTCGCACCTCCAAAACCCGGTTAACAAGAAATTCGGGAAGCAGGAGAGCGGTTTGAGAGTCGAGGTCCGAGGCGGGCGCAATTTATGCGCTCGTAAATAGTCCGCGAGGTCCATTAAGACCACGGCGCGCACAATATAATCGAAAGCGAGAAGTTATCACCAGTTATATCCTTCTACCATCTGCCTACCATATCCTTACCATCCATGCCTGCGAGAAAATTCATTCCGTCAGATGCTTGCTGTACGATTTAATGCATGCCCTCAGTTCTTCAACGCACTAAACAGAGCAAAGTAACCAAGAATAAGAAAAGTTCCATAGTTTAGCACGATATATCTCACAATATAGTCAAACTAAGAATCAAGAACAACTCACAATCTCGTACCAATTCAAGCGAAGCAGCAAAACTCTGAAGATTGAATCGATGCACAATGAAACTCCACTCGACGCGACTCTACTCCAAAGTATCTGCATGAAGATCTATGCGAATCTCGCCGCCAAGATAAAATGTTATTGCGGAGCTTCACTGCAGAACTACAGGCGAATGCGGAACACGCCGAACCGTTCCTCCCTCGTCACATTTCAACCTTTCAACCCCTCAACAACAACAATCAACTCCTCGATGTAATATCTCGCTTTTATTTAATAAAAACCTGCGCAAATCATAAATCATAATTACACGCCGCGAATAAAATGACATAATGACATCGCTTAATTTTTTTCTTTTTCGCAGCCGGCCATTATCACGTTAATTAAATTTCGCGTTGCGTGGCGATGTGGGGTTTATTTTTGAGCCGTGTCAGGCGCGCACATTGTTCTGCAGCGCATTGTAATCGCAATTTCGCACAACTCTGCTTGGCGAGATTCTTTTATTAACAGCGTACAGCAGGAGCGAGTAGTTTTATGTATTTTTTCAGCTGGAAATAACAAAACTCTAGAGTCGAGCGATGTTGGCATCAAAACAAAGCATATGCGACGGATCGAAGCAGTTGTAGAGAAAAATAATTTGTTTGTTGACAGGAGGACTTCGACGGGAGATTTTTTCCACGTTTTTTTTGTTTGCGGTCGGTGAATTATTCACGTCGTTTGATTTTTCGACCAAATGTCAAATTATTTATGAATATTCCGATATTTGATAAATTTTGTTGAAGGGTCAAAGCAGAATTCTATACAACAATTGATCCGTCCGTTGTGTATGTTTTCTAAGCATAATTGCGAAAGTTTCATAAACACTTTGACACTCGGAAAGTTGTTTTCCAGTGCAGGTCGTAGACAGGCGCGGGACGTGAAACTACAAAACTTTAGTACAAGTTGTAAACAAACTAGTATAGCACCACAAACGCGCGCGGAAAATGCAAGATTTTCCAGTCGGCGCAAACAGGTGTAGATTTCCAGTAACTGCGTGTAATATTCAGCGATGTGTGAGTAACTTCATTAGGCTCATTATTATCCATCACTGGCAAGTTGGAGCGGCGCGTTGCAAAGCGGCGTTGGTACAGCCCCGCCGACGAACTGTAGAGATGCCACGATGATTAATTGCATATCGGATCGGTGCAAATGCGCCCGTTCGATAATTTCATTTCATTGTCGAGTAATTGGTTCAGCCGATCGGCGATGTATCGTCGCGTTCCAATATTGCATATCACAACGATATCACGACGATATATCACTCTTTTGTGGACTATTATTTATTCATCGATTGGAAGCACTAGAAAAACACTGACGCCTTAAAGCGCAGTGAAAACATTTCATTGTAGGAGAGAACAAACAACAAACGTATTGCGTGTTTAAATTGACTTTAATTCCGAATAACACCTCTGCAGATGTAATAAATAAACGTGACGTCAAATTAACATTAATTAAATACGCGGACACAAGTAATATGCATGTTGCATGTCGCATGTCGCGCAAATTTCACGCTCCTAATGAATATTTTCGGCGCTGGATTTAATAAACGATTCTTTTATTCATGGCACGTCGGCCATCTATTCGAATGCGTACGGCTTGAAGAAAGGTATCGGGATAGAATATAAATTCGACCTTCAAGCACCTCCATCTTCCCCAGCCTCGCGGAAGGAGAGCTTCTTAGGCGTTTTCTTATCTTGCTTCACGCAGAGCTGCTTATAAATAAATATACAGAGTAGCAGGTCGAGTGACTTATGCGCGGCTGCATTCGGCATTTGCCTTAAAAAGGCCCACATTATTTTTGCTCGGTTTGCACACTCGTAGATCACTGCATGCAACTTGGAATTTCTAATGAGCGTATTTGTTAAACGCCCGGAGATGAATTCCCAAATGGATTGAAACGAAGCATTTTTTCACGCTGGCAATGATCAAATTTGAAGTTATTGCGTGTTATACACAACTCGGCGTATATTTACTGTATATTATTTCCTTTATGTACATTCACTTAGTCGTGTGTTTCATAGTGCTTTTTCGCGCTGCGCTCGTGCGAAAACAGGACTTTAGAGCCTGCGAAGGACAAGGCCAACATGCCGTTGCTTACACATTCGCTACCGCTGCTTAATTCTTTATTCTTTACTCCCTATTATGTATTATTATTCGCGACGCAACACGCGCGCGCCAAGCAAACAAAAAATGCTTTCTTTCGTTTTTTGTGTGTGTTTATTTGAGCGGCGCACGACATTCACATGCGTTGTGAATAATTAAACGAAAATTGTTCGCTGCATACGAAGACTTGCTAGCTGGAATGATTTGTTTCGGTCGTAATCGAAGCGTATTAATCTTGCGATGGAAATCATTTCGCGCACAAAAAGATTTCCGCTGCTTCGCGCGCATCCACAAGGCCGAAAGTGATTCGTATTCGTATAGTTTATTTATAGCGGCGCGCGCGCGGATGCTTCCCGAATCGCGCTGTCAAAACAACGAATTGAAAACAAAACGCGAATGAAGAAAAATGATGTTGTTAATGAAAAACGAAGCGGACGAAAATCGGTGTCCTGGCACAGGCCGCCAGGGCATGGCAGCCGCGTGCGCGCCTCGCCAATCGCAAATGGATATTGATTTAATATTAACTCACGTCCTCTTTTCTCCTTTGTGTGTTGCAGAAGGTCTCGGCGAATCTGCGGGAGCGACGTTAAAAATGCCGCAAGCGCCGAACCCATTAATGAAGCCCTTCGTGGTGCTCGCCCTACCCGGCATGTATCTCTTCTACAAGTACAATCAGTACAAGCGCAAGCGGAAGGAGAATGCCAAGCGACGCCTCACCGAACGTGAATTGCAGCATTTGAATAATAAAATTGTAAGTCAATGCAAACATCAAAAACAAACTAAGAAGACTTGTGTATTTTTTTATTATGGTCAATAATTGCCCCTCTAATTACCATATTTTATTGAGAATTCCACGAGGATTCACAATTTTCCGCTTCTTTGCACATTTTTCCTTATGAAAAATTTTACCCTCTAAAATTTACATATTTTATTATTTCATATTATAAAGAATATTCTTCATTTTCATAATGTTTAATTCGTTGGTCGCTATCTCTTTTAGTTTACGAGATATTCGCAATTGAAATAAATAGTCAAAAATTGAAAAATTGCAATTTTTTTGCACTTTCAGTCGTGTTTATAGACCTTTTACCCTATTAAATTAAATTATTTTAAGTTTCCATCCGATAGAGAATTTTCCAATCTTCCATAATCTATAACTTTCTAGTTGCTATCTCTTTTAGTTCAAAAGATATTCACTGTCGAAAATCGTGGAAATAAATTATCAAAAAAATTAAAAATTGCAATTTTCACCAGTTTTAGTCGCGTTTTTAGACCTTTTACCACATTAATTTAAATTATTTTAAAATTCCACCTGATAGAGAATTTTCAAATCTTTCATAATGTACAAAATTTTGGTTGCTATCTCATTTAGTTTAGAAGATATTCGTTTCCAAAAATACTCAAAAATAAAACTCAAATATCTCATCTTATTGAGAGTTTTCCGTTGATTAAATATATTTAATTCATTCCTCTCTATTGCGTTTAGTTTACAAAACAAAATAGCAATCGAAATATTTTGCAAATTGCGTATGATTGTCATTGTTTATTAGTACACCGAAAGGGCATGTCGGAACAAATACAGCAAACTTGGTAATTTAGAATTTGAGTTTTCATAAATGCGTCAGAGCGCTAGTGATAGCTTGTGTCGAGTGGTCAGTGGAGCGGCGAATTACGTCTCGTAAATGATAGTGTCGTCCGGCGCGCAGAACGATACAGTCGCTGGGAAGTAGAGCGCTTCCGTTGCCGCCGCTTGACTCTTCAGCAACTGCTCATCTCCAGATATCGCTTCCAGGAAACCCTTGGCCATCTCCTCACGATTGTTCAGCTCTAACGTTATTCTCTCGAAAAGTTGTAGCTCAAATTGTGTCAGTCTAGGCACGCCATAATTGTACGTTATGCCTTGCGTCCCAAACAATACTGTCGTTACCAAATGTCTAAATTTAAAAAAAAAACACATTGATGATAAAACCATCCAAGAAAATTATTATGACCACTCACCTGCATGCTCCAACCAGGTTGGTGCGAACAAACGCAGTCGAAATGGCTTTTGAATCTCCCATTAAACCCAGGGCGATGGTTGACAGTAATCGATTGATGGCATACGCGTTACCGTGCGGTGCGTACTCGTGCTTCACGTCCGAAGTGACGTAGGGGGATGCGTCGGTGTCCACCTTCCGGAAGCGGTTGATCATGCAGTGCGATTCGGACACACCCATGGGCTGTGGTGCCGCGCGCGAAAAGAGTGGCAGCACAATATCCTCTTCGGGGCCGCCCAATAATGGGACGTGCACGCAGGCAGGGTCGAGGCTTTGATGAAGCGCCAACATTGAATTCAAACGCATCTAGTACCAGGAAATAAAAAACAAAAAGCAAAAATATAAACATAAAACTAATAAGCGGATAAGCAAAATTTACTTGTAATTGCGAGACAGAACCCACGATCTTTCCGGGGTGGTACCAATGATTGCGCCTGTATACCTCGGAGATAATTGGTAGGGTGATGGACACTGGGACAACACAGTCCACGAAGATCGCCTTGGGAGCATGTAGAGCAGCAGCGGTCGCATATTCAACTATACGTTTGCCCTCGGTGCTTAGTTTTTGATCAAACGGAGAGTCGGCTTTGATCGTCTCCAAACCCAACATGACTATTATGTCAGCATTCTGTAAAACAAACGTCAGAATTTTTCTCCAATGAATTTTCATCCTGATTTTTGTCCTACCCTCAGCGCGCATAGAAGATCCTGCCTAGTAAAACCAAACACAATGGTTTGTGTATCCAGGTGGTTCAAATCAGCAGCAAGACCAATCGTACTCTCGAAGTCATGCAGGTATACCTGCGATATTAGTGGATTTTGTTTGAGGAGCAATGCCAGAGCCTTGCCGGTTGTGCTCTGGGCACCAAGCACAGCCACACGGCAACTTTTCTGCTCATATTTCTCCTCTTCCTGGAAAGATATCACTTTATCATGCGCGATTGTGGTGATGCTTCTTAAACCACGCTTTATAACTGAAAATCAAATTCCGGGAAGAAAATGTGATTGTTTAATGAGTCATTTGGAACTTACGATGAATGTTTATCACCCGTCTATTCATTTTGATGAATTTCGGCCCCCTAGTAATGGTAGAATTTGAATTTAAAGAAAAAAACGATTTACGCGTCTCTGTACATTAATGACAATTTAAAAAAAATTTACACAAATACTGTCGTGTGAATATTTTCATATTTCGGTGTTTTGTTTTGTTTTAATCAGTTGCGACGATTGCTATGATATTTGCATATCCAACAAAATGCACGTCATAAATAATCATCATTTTTCTTTCATGCGAAACATTGCAATGTTTGACTTTTACATCATTTGCATCATTACGAATGTCATTTATTCGCTGTATGAGTAATTGAAAACTTTGTGACCTTTGCTGGTGAAGTTTTCAATTTCCAAGTGAACTAAACTAATTTTTGTTATTTTCATTTTGCGTGTTGGTACCTAATATATTTAATGATTTTTTTACTCACCGAAAAATCACAATCAGTTTCTCGCTGTAACCTTGATTCGCCCAAAAGTTGACAAGGTTTTGTTTCGGTTGCTTAAGTGGTCAATTTCGGATACGAACGCGGACATCAGGGAAATTCTCGTCACGGGAAATATTCATCATGAGTCACGTGGATTAGCATTTTGCTAATGGTGATTGGTTCGTGTGGGGCTAATTCATTTAAGTTCTAATCTTGATTTCTTGTTGCGATTGTCAGGATTTGTTCATGCCACGCAAACATGTGGATTATGCAATAAGTTTTCATGTTTCTCGGATTGGCGTTGGACATCACGTGCAGGCCTGCTGCGTAACACGTCGGGTGTGCAAGTTTCCAGCGAAGCTTTCATGCCGACGCGTTTCCTACTACAGCTTCGCGTCGCTTAATAGCTCGAGCCGATTGGGAGCTAATTAATTGTCATTTTTAGCACGATCGCATTTTACTTGCAGTCACGCAATCGATTCGCATTCTACTAGTTTTTGATGTTTTAACTTTCGCATAAAGCACATTATTTAAGAAACGTCAGAATTTGATTTATTACGAAATTGTATTGAATATAAAACTGAGACAACCTTGAACTTGTTAAAAAAGCTTTTAACTGTCTTTTGTAATATTTTTTGCGCTGGTAATTGCGCTGAATTGCCAATCAATCGGTAATCACTGGATTTAAATCTTTTTGCGTTCAAAAAATAAAAACCGATATTTTTTATTTAAACATTTTACTAGGTCAAACCCGCTTTTTTGCATATCGTTAAAACAGCGTCAACCCTGAAATAAAATCGAAGCTTATAAAACACACAAAAAAGCAGCGCGTTCAAAACCGTTCACATTTTCATCGCGCGTTTCAGTGCACATTCGAGAGCACTGGCGCGAACGCAATCAAATTTGCATAAGAAATTTGAGGCACTCGCCGTTTTTAATTTAATGCCATCGTTCGTTAATTTACTGGGGCGAGATAATTGCGTTAAACGCGCGCGTACGGGCTCACGTTAGGTGTAGATTTATAATGATGACGTCAAAATCAATTTTCTTCCACTCGCGCATTGCCCTTTGTACGCGCGCGAGCATAATAGTGTCGAAATTGCCACCGTAATGAAAAGCAATTGAGTGGCTTTAATGAACAAAATCGAGTGTTTCCACATCTATGTGAAAACACTAGAAACTCATCTGCGCATTTTTTCGCACTCCGGCTGGTACTAATACCAAAGTAAACCGTTAATATGATCTCATAGCTGATACTTACTTGTTGCGCGTAAATAGCTTATGCTAATAATGCAAATTCGCAAGAAATGCGTTGCATACTAACCGCATGCAACAAATCCTTGTGTGTAAATAATGACGCATTTTCATTTGATTTTTTTCACAATCGCGTGTGGACTTCCACCGAAAAACGTTCGTGTTGCTAAAACGGCTGAAAAACATTGGCGTTGGCATTTTAGAGCACTACTACTCGACGTAATTGACAAAGCGCTTCTTGAACTCGGTGATTTGAATAATTTCACGACGATTTAACAAGTCATAGGGCTTCAATCATGACACTTTAAACAGTCGGCGCCGTCGAGTACCTACTCGTTGCGAGCGAGGAAATCACTGGGGTTGTCAACATCGACAGCAATGAATAGGAATAATCACGCTAATAATGTTTTGTGTGGCCGGTGCGCCCGATAAATAATTCAAGCCGCCGGTACGTACGGTGTCGTTGAATTCGTTCGTGGCGGCGCGGCGAGTTCGTTGATTGTAACACTTTCCGACTTTCCAGCCAGCCAGCCAGCCAGCCACTCACTTACTATTACTATTTACATTTCGTGCCTTGTCATAAAATCGATGTTCACGCATTCCGTCGGCGGCGGCGGCGGCGGCGGTGTTTCCGGACCGCCACACGAAAATCGTCCTCGTGGCGCACGACGCTTATAAATGATTCCTCGGCGTTTGTCGCGTTTATGCGGCCGTTTGCTACGAAACGACGCGCTTATCCCTCATGCATTGGATTCATCATTTCAATGTGCAAACGCGTGCACCGGCTGCAGCCGGTAATTGGCCACCGGATTTTTCCCGGAAAGTGATGAATATTCTTACAAATGTATCACGATCAAAAATTCACCGGCGTAGAAAATAAAATATTCAATGCATTCGGGAAGTTCTAGTTATTGCTATAGCAACCGTTGAATAAATTGTAATCCTCCGGATCGGATCTGACGTGCTCAATACCAGTATCGCAACTCAAAGCTTAAATTAAATATTTCATTAGTAAGACAGCACGGCAAATTACATTTATAATTCACGGACAGCGCAAGTTAATGCGATTTGCAAAATAAATAAATAAATAATTTCAATGGATTAAATAACGTTGAATTTAAGTAGTTTTGTGGGTGAGGCACAAACACATTTATTTCTCATCTGGATTTACGCGTACTTACAGCTATGTTTGTTAATATCACATCGTCGAGATAAACACAAAAATTTAACACTCGGCAATAAACCATTACCGCCCATCGATGATTGGAGCGTTTTATTTGGGGGAGTTTTATTGGCACTTTTTATTGCGACTTATTTCGGCAACAAAATCGGGCCCCACGAGGGTGCAATCTACAGCCACCTACGGCTACAATTCAATTCGGCACGATGACACCAATCTTTTAAAAGCAGCTAGGTTCAAATGGCACTTCTATGTACAGGTCACCTGAATTCCATTGGAGAGACACGCTACCGATCGAAGAATCGGTCATAAATACATAAATTGTACTCAGTACTCAGATTGCGACCTGATAAATATGTATCTGGTGCTATTCTATCATTTAATACGTATTTATCCTTCGTCAGGAGTTTTCTACGCCTCGGTTTGTGGGGTTCTTAGGCGGTTCTGACGTAATAATCTCCTCTGCTGCTTCTGAAACAATGAAACACAAGATATTGCAGATTGTGAAATGTGCTACACTAAACATCTACCTCGAAACATTGTAGCCCATGTAAACATTGCTGAATTTGCAATTTCTTTGCTTCGAATCACACTGGTAGGCAGGATATTTGTCTGGGTACTTTACTGTATCAACGTAGGTGTTCCACGCGCGTTGGTGACTGCAGGAAACTGAAAATTTGGTCGTTTAATGCAAATAATTCATTGGAATCTCACTTGAAACCTACAATAGTCATCGATTTCATTACGCAAGACTAGATCCTCGAATGTGCAGCCCGGCTGGAAGTCCGCCCCGGGATTCACGTAGAAGTCCGCATGCCCGATTGACACCGGATATCCCAGCAGTAAAGGACTCGTGTGAATGATGTCCACAAATTGCGCGTCGTCCTTGGTGACGCGGTGCGCCACGTCTATTATGTGACAGAAGCGCAATTAATTCCAACCGTAGATTAAAGCCGGAAATCGCTTTTTACCTTTGACGGGATAAAGCGGCAGCGCTGGGTCCAGCCCGGTGATCCGATTGACAAGGTGCCACGCGCGCAGGTGCTTGCCGGCCATGCCAACGACCTGCGCGCCCAGGCTGAAGCCGATCAGGTGCACGCGGTCCAGGGACAACTCGCCCGACTTGTGGAAAGCCCGCAGGAACTTGGCGAGTACATCAGCGACGACGATTGTGTTCTGAGCCGCCTGGCCGTACCAGGGCCCTGCGGACAGATTGGTCCAGTCTACTAAGATGACATTGTACGGCTCCGGGCGGCCCATGTACGCTGTAACAAACGTCACAATTGTTTCAGTCAACAAATTACAACCACTACACTGGTTGTTGGATTGTATACCATCACGGATAGCGTATGAACTCGATGAGGTTTTGCACACTTCGACGAAACCATGCACAAACACAACCGTCGGATGGTCGGGATTGAAACCAGCGCGCTTCAGGCTCCCGGCGCGTATTTGCAGCGGGATCTCATTAGTCGGATTGTTCTTCGTGTAGAGCAAGAGGCGGATGTCCTTGCGCATCTTCATATTGCAGCAGCGTTCGCAGTTGCCGATCGGACGTGCCGTCAGCTTGATTTTGTTTACGCCTGCGTACAGAGTGAAAAAAAGATTCATTATGCGGGTCACGGTGATGTCCTCGCCATAAACGTGATTCTAGTCTAGATCACTTCCTATTTGAATTGATCAAACTATTACGCCCCGGGCTGTGTTTACGTTTGATCATGTTGAGCATGAAATCAGACACCTCCCTATATCTATACCGATATACCGCAATTACTGTTACGCACCGTGTCATGACCATGCCATATCGAAACGTGTGTAACAACAACAACGCAGTCATCGTGCTGGCAAGTACTTCGGCGACCTTAAATAACTCGTTCGGACCGTTCCTCCGACTACACGTCCTTGAAAAGAAAGCGAGTTTTATGCGTTTACGGTTTCACCGGCGTGGCCGAAAACGTTCGGAATGTTTTGCCACTTAAATAAAGTGAGCAGCCGAAAAGGTGTAGGATGGCCCCGCGCGCGTGGAAAGGAATTTTATCGCGCCCGAAAGTGCATCGCTTTTTTAGCCCTCGAGTGCTTCGAAAGCAGTTTTTCGAACCCGACGCCCGGCAACAAAATCCACCACACAATGGAACAACTTAATGACGCATGATTAATTACCGATCCAAGTACTTTCGATAACTCACCGACGGCGTGATACGCGATGATAGCAACGTTCAAGGAAAGCACTCATTTCGAAAAATATCGACTTAACGGTAATGTGCGATAAAAACAGCTCGTTTTATACGATGGACAAACACAGTGAATTCTCCCTGGCGATGCTTATTGATTCACCATTTACGGCATCATGCGCCAAGTATTGTTTAATTAACGTCGCACTTTTGATTGCGCGGAAACCAGTCGAAGCCAAACAGTAATTATTTGCTCAGCAGTGCGAGCAGCAATTATCGCCTTTTATATTCAAAGACATTCAATATTTGCCGATGACAATCGAGGTTTTTTTCGCGTTTCAAGTTTTTAGGTACACACTTTATGTAATCCATTACTAGTACTAGGAAGGAATGCATTTGTGATTTGACAAAATTCAAAAATCTCATAGGAATCAAAAATCCAATTAATGCATGTTGAGCTACTTAATTATATTGGGACATAAATCAGAACAACAAAGTCATGCATGATGAATCCAAATTTATCGCAAATACACTTACATAAAATCATAAACGTTTTTATTTTGTTGTGTTAAGCTCCCAGCTACTGGTTGGAGCCATTAAAAACCAGAAAATTTTACGAACCACAAATGCAAACTCAGCTAATTACTCAATAATTATTAATATGGGTTTTAGCTAGTTTTTGGATGTAGACAAACAAACAAAATGCACCATATCAACATAACAAGTAGGTTTGGATGAGAATAACTAGTATTTTACTTCTCAAGATTTAATGACTTTTTATCCAATGTAATTTTCAGCTTCAATAATGCAGAATATTAAACTTCTCTGATGAGATTTTTACTTTTAAAAAATTTTATGCGCGTATTATTTATTTAAAACGACCCAAATATGAATATGAATATTTCGTAACGTGCAAATTGCAATTTTCAACAAATGCCATTCTCATCAACGCTAATTGACCATTCATATAACTCTCTTAATTAATAAATCGATACGCAGCCGAGTGGCAATCAGATGAGGTCCACCGGCATCGAGTGCGATTTGTATTAATGAAAACAATTCAATCAGCGGCACTCACCCAGCGTCAGCACGATGGGCTCGCAGTCACCGCCAGCCCTGGGGGCGGCTGCCTGGAATCCGAGTGTGGGTGGTTGACTGGCGTTGCGTTCATGCCGCACGCCGGTGTTGTCCAGCGTCGTGATGTCCTGCACGTGCACATCCTGCGGAGGCGCGCTGCCGAACGCGTTGAGCATCTGCAGCAAGAAACGCACCAACTGCATGATGTGCTCGCGTTTCGTGTGTGCACAAATTTCGGGACAGGTTTTTTTCTCGTCGTCGTCTTCGACGCAGCTCCGCACCATCGGAGCGCCGGCGGCTTTCTGCGAGTGCGGCGCGTTTTTCTGCCTGTATCACGGTGCACGCGTCTTTTGACGCCGGCGAAAAAAAAAAAAACCAAACACAGATAAAACACGCAGTGAAGACTCGTCGAGCCCCCGTACGCCCGTCGCCTTTCGTAATGAACTTGCGAGCGCTTTTCAATGTCATTATTAATGCTAGGCTGCGTAGTGATTGTGGTGCTTAATGATTACCACCGCCAGTGGACAGTAACACCTTCAACAAGCGCGCGCCGTTTATTTTGTATATACAATGCACAATTTTGTCAGCTTCCAAAACTGATAGCATCCGCGTGTATCCATGCGATTAAAATGACGCAACAATCAAGTTTTCATATAACAATAACAATCGCGCCGTGGAAAATGAGTATATTATATGAATAAATGAATTTTGATCGTTAAATTTGTTGATTACGAAAGTCAGCGAATCGAACATTGGCCAACATTCACTCACACACAACCAAGAATGACTTCCGACGGTCAAAAAGACGGTTCTTGTTCATCAAAAACAACAAACAAAAACAAAAACAAACAAAAATTGCACTAATTGCATCATATCTGAAAATCGCAATGTTTTCTCGAGGTTCGTGACGCGATAGTTTAAGTTGCGCTGGAGTTTCCTTCGGTTTTCACTTCCGAATGTTCGTTTCTCACCTTTTCACCTTTCCATAAACACTCCGAATCCAATTATATTGTCGACTCGCAAGTTAACAAAACATTTCGTGCGGATATTCATTACATAACTGTCATCGCTGTTTGTAAAGCGGACTCTTTTTAAATACCTATTTCGATGCGGGCGGTTGACAATTAAAACTTATGCAAATGCTGTTGTTGCCTCATTAGAATAATCAAAACATTGGGATTAAGCATTTTTGTGCGCTGCACGTGTTGACTACACAATTTATTGCCGTGTGCGCTTGTATTTACTTCGCGTGTTTCAAATGGCAATTGATTGGAACCTAATTGATGCAATTATCCTTCGTAATTAATGTTATTTCGTGGGTTTATTAGATTGGTCAAACGCGGACTTTGATATTTAAATTAATTTCTAAATAGAAGAAAATTCTATTATCATTTGAGTACGACACATTGTTCATTATTGATTTGTTGACTATATTTAGAAATATTATCACTCTAGTGCGGTAATATATCAGGATAAACCTTCACATTAATGGTATGTAATGGAATGAATGTATTTTTTTAATTGTGAAAATTTCCACCGGCGATAATCATTCTCAATGATTACAATCGATGTAAACAGGATCCATCGTGTAGTTGTGGCCTATTGTTGTATAAGTTAATGAGTCGCGGGAATCGGTAATGACTACGACGGAAACTCACGACCTGAGACACTTCTGCGTCTTCTAAACAGACAATTTTCATGTGGTGCGCGCACGCGCCATGTGCGTATCTACGAGTACACACAATTCGATTGAAATGAAGGAAACAAAGCCGGCGGTCAAACAAAACGTTGAAAGCGCAAGTGTTTAACACGCAACCTTGTCGGATGCGCAAGACGACACCGAATACACGCCGGGTTCATTGTAAAACACCAAACGTCCGAGCAGTGTCCGAACAAACTCCAACTCACAACTTCGAACAAAACAAGCCGACGCAAAGTGGCGAGATTAAAATGCACGGCACAATTTGACGATATGTTTCGCCACGCGCAAATGATGATTCGGATCACGGAAGCTGACCGCAAACCGCAGACCACAGGAGGCAACAAACTGCATGTCACCCATCCTCACCTCCTCATTTAAATGACAAGTGTAAAGAACTTATGTACGAAATAAAACATTAGGAACACATTTTGGAATACACATTGAATATGTTTGCATAAAGTGCATGGTTTTGACGCTAGATATGTTTTTGTTGCAGGACAAATTGCTGAACAAGCTCGAGGAGAACGAACCGGAACTGGCAACATGTCAGGAGGAAGAGGTAGGCGCCGTTTACAAATTGATGTATGCATGATTAGGACTTGCTCCAGTATTATTCATTCGAGTAAACGCTGCAATACTACAAACAATTTGCAATTATAACTAGGACACTTTGAAGCAGCAGCTCCAATTCATTCAGATTGAGGCAACAGCAACAGGAAGTTGAAATTATGTAGATGTGCACTTCATATGCATATCTGAGTGGTTCGTTGTTTTTTTTTTCATTTTAGAGAAGCTACTTCGTTTTATTGCTAATAAACCGAGCGAAAATTTAATTAAAAATTAATCGATTGCGCATTTATTCACCATTTTCCAACTGTGAATAAAATGATTGTCCTTGTTCACATGTTCACATGTTCATATGCAAACTGGTTAATTTGTTAATTTGCAAACTTGTTCGCTCGTGCACAAGAGCACACGCATGATATTTTTTTGTCAATAACATACGATTGAAAAAAATAATTTGTTATGTTTTCCATGCGTCTGTCGGTGACGTTGGCGCGGTGTTGAGCTCTTTGAAAAGCGCGTAAATGAAATAAATTTAAAGTGGATTGCCTTCATTGCAATTGCCAATTTACTACAATTCGCTACATATTTTGATGCTTTTGATGTTTGTGATAGACAATCATTTTAAATTATTTCACTGATATAACACAACTGGGACCTTGTAAAGGTATGAGCATTGTGTTTGTCTTTTTTAAATGAAAACGCGTCTAGGTAAGTGCAGAAAGTTGTTCAGTGTTAATGGGTCAAGAACACGAACGCTTCGCGCTCGATGCGGCGATGACGCCCATTGCCTTGTTCATCGCAGGATTCCGGCCTGACGACGTACCTACTTGCCATCAATAGCGCAATCACAATTTATTGTCGTTACTATCACCAGTTGTGGGTGTGTTGTTTCAGTGTGTGATTTGCATCAACGCCAAGGCGACGATGCAGACATCTCCCTGCGGCCATCAAGTCGTCTGCCGGAAGTGCTTCGTCAAGACTATCCAAATCGCTGTATCGCAACGTCTGCTTCCACTCAGATGCGTTATATGCAGAGCCAAGATTTTAAGACTCAAGGTAAGTGATAAGATGCAAATTGTGACTTGGGAATATATTGAATTTTTTATTTTGTTACCAGACTGGTCCGATTTTGCCATCGTCAGCGAGCGGTTACTCGGTGAATTCCAGGTCTTCCTCAGTGCCACAGTCGGACAGTCTGTACAGCGTCAGCAGCGGCAACTCGTCGATATCTTCCACGTCGTGTTCTTCCGAGAGCAGCGCTGGCTGCCGATCAGCAGGCGGGGGCGGCACGGCCGCTTGCTGTATCAGCGGTCATTGCCTTGGTGGTGCTTATCCACGGCAACCCACCGGAGCACTTCGTCGCTCCCAGCAACATGCGATGAAGATGAAACTGCAGGAGTACTGCAGGAGTGACAAAAATGGTCATCCTGTCAATCGTCTGCCGCCGATCAAGGAAATCAGCACTGCTAGTCCCACGCACAATGCTCCACCACCTGCATCTACTCGCATCAGGTAAACTTTTAACAATTTTTATAAAAAAAAATAAATTTTATTTAATCCTCTGTGTAGATGTGCACAAAAAATAGTTACTCAACTAGAAACCGGAAGGATATCCACGAGCAGTCGTAAAGGAAAGTATAAATACGAGAAGCTACCGCAGCAGGACGAAGAAGACCCGGTTGTGGCACCTCCTAACTCAACAACACCAGCCGCCTCCGCATCCAACTCCGCCAGTTCTTCTGGATCCACTTCTTCTTCATCGAAAGCACCATGCGAATCCACTGCGTCCACCAGTAAAGACGCTGTCAAGCCCAAGGAGAAGCAGCGTTGGTGGGGCGATCGCAAGCACAAGGAACGCACCAAAAGCGAAGAGCGCATCGATAACAAAAAGAACGAGATCACCGAGAAGCACATGGAGATGAAGCACAAGCTCTTCCTTAATGAATTAAAACGCGACGAGAAGAACGCCAAGAAGGAGCAGAAAGGCAAATGCAAAGATGGCGCCATCAAGGAAAACAAAGTATAAACAATCGTGCGCTTGACAAACCTCAAAAGTCAATCGAAGTGAAGAATCGAAGCATCCAAGTAATCAAAGGAACGAGACAGACACCAAATCATAAAATTCTCAAAATTAAAGAGCCACTCGTCAATTTCTTATATATTTGAAACCAACTTAATAGCATTTTTAAACTGCCCCTCAGAGATGAACCCATTTTAAACGTTTTCATGTTAGAGCAAGACCTCATGAAGTACGATTACAAGACGTAGATGATGTTTTTTAGCTCGATGTGTGACACAGTAATTACTTTATAAAATGATTAGCGCGCCATCTCGAGCCTAAGCGAGCGCGAGCATTTTTAGACTGATTTTCAATCCTTTGATCCCCTGATTGACGGATACACACCGCGTTAATAAGCGCTGAGCGTTGATAGAATACAACTCTATTGTAACATATTTAATGTAACGGTTTAATTACTTACATAGCAATCAAAACTAATGTAAATATATCAAAACGAACGAGATGCAGATGAGCGAATGCATGCGTGTAATATATAAATGAAATTATAAACGAGAGTCAATGTAAAAAGTTCGTGAGCTGCACTGAATCGCATTCTTGGATCTCACTCAAAACCATTGGGAATTCATGCAAAAAGCCGCTGTTTTTATTGTAAGAATTACCGGCTACGGGCCGTGTGTATTAACAAAAACGTAATTGAACTAAGTAACTAGTTTACGATATCATAATGTGATGTGAAAACGAATGCCGATCCATGTTTTTAGCGTTTTAACTAAACTACAAAGAAGTTCAAACAAATGAGTCCCCACAAAAAGCAAACACACCCGGCATCTAATCGAAGCGCCCGCGCAAAGCCACACAATGCAAAAAATCTTCAAATGACAAATTGCGAATGACGCAATTAACAAGTGCCAAAACTGTTGATTAGTGCGCACAATACCTGCAAAAATAAAACGCAAGCGAGAGACGTTCATCAATTGTAATCAAAATTCACTCAGATGTGTGTCCATGTGGACAATGGACAACCCAATGCCTGTAGCAACGTACATATCTACTGATAATAATTAATTGTTAACGAATATAATCAAAACCAAAAAATGGACAACAGACTGCGGGCGGCGGCGATTAGAGGCACACTATTACTATTCGTATACAGTTGACAGTATAAATGTAACACGTTTCAAAATCAACACACAGCAAAGAAATATTGCAGATGCAAAATGTGGCAATAATCTTCTAATAACAAAAGAGAAAAAAACAAACGTAAAACTAAACATATTAATGTAAGACCTTAAGTCATCTAATAGTATTCCAATAACTAATAAGTACGACGTAATAAATTAATTGTTATGATTAACAAAAAAGCTGGCAATGAAAGCAAGTAATGTAATGTAATGTAATGATTTCGGTAAGATGTCAACACGTAAACTGTGACGGACGTGCAAATGTGTGGAAAACTAAAACTTCAAAACCCTAGCAATTATATAGGCATGTAAGTGTTGTACGCGAGTTGTACCTACCTACAATGACTATGACTACCCGATAAGATGAAATAATATACTAATGTGAATAGAATTTTAGTTTTGTAACTTTGAGACGATAAAATTTAAGAGAGTTAAAGAGAGTTATAAGCTACCAATGCTATTTCAAACTATTTTAGACGAACCGTGCGAAATTTACACATTTTTGCGCGCTGCGCAGCAAGATTTTCGCGTGGAAATGCAAGTGTTACCAAAATGATAAGCGTACGTTTTTGTATATGAGCTGTTACGTGTTGAATATCGAATGTGAGATGAGGATCACGGAGTGCAAGAAATAAATGGATAACGGACTAAATATTATATAAAACTGTGCGTTTTTTTTTTTAATTCTACGATTCTATAATTTTTTTAAGGTTGGGGTTAGATTGAAGGTAAACAACGGTTGTATCTAAGTGTCCAGTTTCGTCCTGCGGAATCCCGCATTAAACTCGGGGAGCATTGCCAGCCACCATTGAAGTTTATCATTGAAAAGTCTGTGCAATCAGTGACTCCATCATCGTTACAATCCTAAAAATAAGTAAAAGTAAAACACTTCAGAGAATCATTTTTTGCGTTGTAGACTTACCCTGCCATATTTCGCCATGTAATTTTTGACCATCCGCTGTGCACATTGGTAATTAATGGCACAATCTTGGAAAGCTACAAAATATCACCGAATTATTGTTTATTTTGGAAATAAGTTATAATAAACTGACCTCCGGCACGTTCAGGATCATCCTCATCCATGACATGCCTGCCTGCATCAATCCAATACACCCTGCTGATTTTATACGGCCCGCAGTAACCAGCTTTGCATCCCAAAGTCAAATCACAGTTCGTCGCTGCCACGCACAGACATCGCATGCATTGCGGCGTCAAATTCGCCACGTAAATTTCATCTAAAACGCATTGTAACCCAGAATCAAATTATAATCCGTGATATTTATGGCATGCATGACCGCAAATTTCAATTCAATTTCAATCAAATAAAAGAACAACGCTTAAACTTTACCTGTCTGGATATTTATGAATTGTGAGAATACCAGCAACAATAAGAGCAGCGCGAAGGTGTTCCATGCCTTGTTTGGACTTCTCGTTGAGGTCCTGGCATTCCTCATGAATGCGGTCATCGTCTCAGTGGTCGAAATTGTAAATACAATGCACCATCAACAAAAGAAGTAAACACGTGAATTAATCCGAGCACGTTTCTTTTTTATCACCTCGGAGTGTCAAAAAAACTTCCACTGATTCACGACGCTCACAACATCATTAAGAAGTATCACTTAATCAGTTTAAAAATATGATGTGGACTTGGAGAAGCGTGTACAGTAACTAAATTTATCAAATTAATTAACTAGCAACATCTTCACACTCCAGGCAATACAAGTGTGACGTGTAGCATTGGAAATACAAAGAAATCTGATTTTATAAAATTGTATACAACTGCAAAACAACACTTAAAGGTGAATTAAATAGACAGATTTGTATTTATCGCTGTATTGATGATGAGGATAATACAGCAATCTACTTTCAAATCTGCTTGAATAAACTGGGAAGTTATTAAAATAGATTCCGATTGAATGAATTGTAAGCAAGTGATTTGTGTAGGTAAAAGAAATCGCTACCGGTTGATAATCACTTCCTAGTTGTACCTTAGTGCGGCTCTGCGCAGGCGATTAGAACGAGAACGCAATTTTCTTCAAGCGCAGTATAAAGTCATAGAAAACTCGTTTCTAGCGTCGTGCGCGGTTACAATCTAACTTATTCCAGCTAATGACAAGCATTAACAAACGGATACTTGATAAAACCAATAAAATATTAGTTTTGACGCGTTTGCATGCCTTTAAGTGTTTAATTTCGATTTAGTTTCGTTGTTTATTTAATAATAACTTATATTGATATACAACCAGCTGGAAATAACAATGACATCAAATGTAACATGTTGATTTTTTATGCAAATGATTCCGGCTACTACCTATCGAGATCTGTTCGATACAGCGGGGGCGTGCTGGGATTTCCACCGGATTTGCATTTACATAATGCATGAATTTACAATGCGTACAAAATTAATAAAATTTTTGACGGTGTGATTCATCATCATGCATGTGCAAAACAAATAATTAACCATTGTTTGGGTTGTTTGTGTTTTTTATTAAATTAATGTTTATTTAAATACATGCATTGCAAATGTGTTTGCAAGTCAAATCATCTGTGTTTTTATTTTAATTTATTAAGCTCAGTTCTTGTGTAGGTGAGTGTTTTCGGCGTCGTTTTGTGACGTTGTGGATGCGAATTTAATTGGAATTACCAACGATCCGTTTGCATTGATGGTAGCGATCATGATGTGCTTGTGGTAAGTTACCAGCGCATCCGTAGCCGCCCAGGATGTGAATTTGCACGAAGTCATCACAATCGATTTTGGCATCACCATTGCAATCCTAAAATATTGCATTTTAGTACGTAAATTAAGAAATAATGTAAATGTTTAGAATTACTTTTTGGAATTTATCCATGTATCCTTGAACGGCTAGTGCTGAGCAGTAAATATCGGAAGCGCAGTTGGAGTAAGCCGTTGGAGATTCGTCGCTCTCGCCGTTTAATGTGGGTTTGCCGGAGTCGGCCCAGTAAGCCCAGGTGATCCTGAATGGACCGCAGACATCTCCTTGGCAGACCTTCGTGGCATTGCAGCCGGAAATTGCCTCACAAAGACATCCTAGACAGGGCTGATTGACGGGTCCCTGACTGGCCGCTTCTAAAAATTTATTATTTTATCGATTAATATAAAATCTTGTTTGGAATAAGTCCAGCTATAAAAACAAAAATAACAGTTACATTTTTTTACTCAAACTCACGTCGACGTTGAATTCATTCATTCATAATTTATTATTCATAATTCAAACTGTTTTTGAGAGATCGGATCCTGTTCGACGACCTTTACTATTTGCGATTTAGGTATTCCCCAGCACAAAAGTTAAAAAAAAAAAAAAAAACTCAAATGAGTTGTTTAAACGCGTTAAATTGCAATTTACGCAGGAAAATAATCAAATACAGACTGATTCATAGAAATAGAACAGATTTGTAATGAAATGTGCGACTGCATCAAGCGTGACCAAAAACCTTGACCAATACTTGTTCAGTCAATATGCCTTGTCGTCTCGAGTTGATTCGTACATCACAAAATGAAAAAAAAAAATCAGGAAGTGATCAACTTGAACACTGACTGAATTACGGTAACTTGCTGTCGATGTGACTCAACGCAACACATCGCAACTTAAGTCAACTTCTTGTCGTGTCCATTTCAAACACAATTAAATGAATATTTGTACTTACGTAAAGCGAAAAAGGCGCCGATGATGCAGACTTGAAGCAAAATTTGTTTATACATCTTGTCCTCGTGTATTTTCGAACTAAAACCCGGCGATCTACGATAGAAACTCAACGAAACAAGCTTCTCGCGAATTTATTTATTTATTTATTTGAATGAACGTCGTACGCTCGCTCGCTGGCAGCCGCTGACTGAATGAAGAGCGTTGGACGTCTTTCACCTTTTATACGCAAAGGCGTTTAGACCGGACTTTTTGATAGTTTATTTCTCTGGAAGCGGTAAACGTGATGGGGACCTGCAGAGTAGCCAAATCGACAGACGAGATAACTGACGGCCTGAACTTGTAAGTCCTGTTTGATGTCATCTAGGCGTCTAGCAGAATGTAGGAAAATGGCCAACCAGTAGCCGGCGGTAAGATAACATATGCTGACCAACATTAGCCATAATCTAGGTGCAGATTACATTAAATAAATTAAGTTTTGCTGTGATACAGTTTACTTGACACATTGACCTATGTACAATCATGACCGAATTCAGAAATATATTTGTGTTTATTTTCTAATATTAATAATTTTTATGTTTGTATTTGATAACTTTGGCTTGGTCATAAATGTTTAATTAAATTTATCGCGAATACATTGTTTTTAGTGTCTTGTTTTGGGTATTGTGTCCCATTTTGGTTTTTCCAAATTTACGTGCGCGCAGAGAGCGAAATAATTCGATTTTCGTGACACCAATTACACACTTCTCCGAGAATTGTTTCATGGCCGATGAGACGGAATTCGATTATGTCATTGTAGATCTTAATGACCTCCGTCGTGTGAATTCTTTTAATGATTTTCTAATGTATTGATGTGTTTGTATTTTTCGAGGATGTCGGCAAGTTCATGAACTTGGGAGTTAAATAAATAAATAAATTTAATAAATCCGATTTAAAAAAATATATGAATAAATTCAATATCATTTGCATATTGTGTATTTTGTGATTTTAAGCACTAATTTGTTTATAAACTAGATAAATTTATATTTTTGCGTATTTTGCGTTTTTTGTTCGATAAAAATCTAATTTTACGGATTTATTAATTTACAAATCAATATTTGTCACTTTTAATTTAAAAAATGTAATCAAAATAATTATTTTGATGAGTTTTGATTAAAAACCATTTGGAAATTAGATTTTTTGTTCATTTTTTAAAATTTTTTACTTCTGATTTAAGCAGATCGCGTCATATAGGCAACCAAGTATACATCCACTTGCATCCAGCACAGAATGACGTCGACAGTTGTCAAAACAGTCAAAGCAGTGGCGAGTGCAAATAATCAAATAACTGCCAACGTATACATTTCTCCGAAACGTACAACGAACGTAATAATCTCGATATCGATCAGCAACGTGTGTGCATCACGAGACTGAAGTTGGATGCGGCGCTCCGGCCGCACAAATCGAATTAGCACCGACGTAACCTCAACCAGCCCGCTGGAAGCGCGTCGCACCGCTGCGGTGGAGCGTGTTATGCAGCGCACATATGATCATCTTGCGTGGACAAACCGGGCCAGGCCGCGACTCCACGGCCGATAATCATGCGGATGGTGATAGGACGTCGATCAGTCACAGCCGTCCCGCCGCCCTCTGCTCCAGACCCACTGAGCTGGATGAGCTGCAATCCTATGAGCTCCTCTACAAGAAAATGATGAATCTGTTCAAGGAGATCCTCTTGATGTTCCTGGTGTGCATTGTCTACACAGTGCTCACACATGAGTAAGTTCTCATATGCTTACTGCTGAGAGATAACATCACCATACATGTTTTGTGCTAGTTTTAGCCCTCCTAAGGTGACAAAAAGCCCTGCAGCATTTCCCTTCTTCAAAAAAGGTTCAATTGTTAGTGATTGGTACAGGGGGGAGGTTTCATCAGCAGTTGGCAGTGCTGGTATGTCAGATATTGGGTTTGTTATGTTTTATGCTCCCTGGGATGCTGAGAGTCAGGAAGTCAGGCAAGAATTTGAGACTGCTGCTGAGTTTTTGCAAGGACACATTGAGTTCAGTGCTGTCAACTGTTGGCAGCCTGGTAGTGAATGTAGAAGAAAATATAATAAGGTAATATTATATTTTTATGCAAATTTAAGGTGAAATTGACGAATTTTTTGTGTTAAAGGTATTTAAATGGCCAGTTCTTTTGGCCTACACATCTGATGGTAGAGCAATTCAATATAATGGGCCAAAGAATGCTGTGCATATGATAAAATTCCTAACTAATGTTATCAATCCATATCGAAGGGTAAATTTGACTGATGAAATTATGGACATGATGGTGGAGCATGATGTAAGCAAAAAAATCTTCTTTTTTTCTCTTATTTTGTTTGTAAAAAAATAAGAAGCGTAAAATATTTCATTGCATGTTAAAAATTGTCCAAAGAATTAAAATTAATTTAAAAATTTCACATAAAATATAAAATAATGCATGAAAGTCTCTGCAATATAAGAGAATGCTTTTCAGAGTAACATTGCTTGAGTGTTACTTTCATTGAACGCGCAGTGAAAGTGCGAATTTGAGATTGAATTCTGCTGCTACAGACAATCATGCATGTGTTTCTTGTTTACCTTTTTTATGTGTGGTTTTATGTGAATGATTTTTGTGTACAAATATTGAGTTCTATATTTTTAGGCTGTGATATTAGCAACAGTTGACTGCCGACCAAATAGTAAGTCATTTGCGGCTGCCTACAACGTTGCTTTAAAACTTCTAGAAAAAGACCCTCTCCGCGAACTCGGCTTTGCCATAAGCACCGCGCCCCCAAACGAAATCCCAACGTTAAAACTCTATTTATGGAATGAGACTTTGGTAAATATATATTGCACATCTGGTGTGTTTGGCGTGAGTAGAATTGTTGATGTCCTTTTAGATTTACCCCGCAGATAACGTGTTCCGAACACGCAGTATGACACACTGGCTTTCTAACCACATGCATCAGGTGACAATGTGGCTGGCACCAAGCGGCAGTAAGAGCCAACATCTCTCCTCTTTCATGCAAGGACCAACCATGATTTTATTCACGCCGCAGAATCCATTGATGAATCAAATGGACTATTATATTGCGGTAGTTATCATTTTTTGCAATTTTCATGCGAAATTAATTTTTATCAAAAAATAATATCAATTTGTGTTTTTTTTTTGCAGCTGAAACAAGCGGCATTGGAATATTTCTCTTGTAATGATACAATACCGTCCCCGCCAGCTGCGAAAATCCACTCACATCGATTAAATCTCCGCAAAATATACTCAGAAACCCAATCGCGCTGCAACTTCAACCAAAAACTCCACCTGCATCAACCGACAATATCGTACACGCCAAATTTGTTCTTCAACAGTACAAACGTGGTCGACTGCAAGTCGAAACAATCTCAGTCTTCACAGTGTGAAGCCAACCTGCCAAATCAATGTCTAAAGTATTGCCATGTCAATTCACAATCTCACACGCAATCAAAACCAGCCTGCCAGCAGGAACTCAATCAATACGTTACTTCTTTGCATTCCGTTGAGCGTGACCGCTACACAACCAAAAACCTCCTGCGCTTGCAGGAGGAGTTGCAATGCTCTCTGGCACACTTCCGCAAACTGTATCATCCGGCGTTCTTTACAAGTCCGAACGCTGACAGCACAAGTATTGAAGGCCTAGCATGCGCTAGCAATGGTTCTTTGACTATGTTAGCGATGGATAGTTTAATGTATCATCATTTCGCCGAGAGTCTCGGCGTGGATGTGCTCAATGCAAAGCGAAAAACAGCGCTGGTGATTGTCAACCCGAAGGATGAGATGCACGCGATAATGGAAGGCGACTTCAATGACAAAAATCTACGAGAGTTTGTGTTGAATTTCACAACCAATAATTTACCTCGTGCGCAAGTCGACAGCGCGCAGACATTTAAGCATACGCATAGATACACACATTCAGTGTGTCGTCCCGGAGATGTGTGCATTCCGGATTTGACTTCGGTGAATTTTATGCCAACTATAATGAATCCGTCAAAGGTTGTTATAGTGTTGTATCATTCACTGCAATGCGCATTCTGCAGTGGAGTGTCTTATATCTTCCTGGAAACAGCACGTATTCTCGCAAATGTGTCGAGTATTCAATTCGTACGCATCGATGGAGATCGCAACACTTTACCGTGGGAGTACACAATGGAAAAATATCCGTCGATTCTACTGTTTCCGGCCTTGCATAAATCTGAGAGTAGAGCGTATCCAGAATCAATGCCTGTAACATTATCAAACCTCATTAGCTTTATTCTTGCAAATTTGGATGCGTCCATTAAATTGCAAGCAATGTGGGAAATTTGCTACTATTCTAATGTAAGTTTTACAAATTATTAAGTTTTGCGTTTGATTGTTAAGCTAAACCAATTTGTTTTGTTTTTAGCACGAAATCGATAGATCACACTGCGTGTCAATCGTGCGTCGAGAAAACTTAGCGCATATTGAAAGCACTTTGCGAGAATGGCGCATGGCGCCACCTAGACACCGCCAGCGTGTGTTGCGTAAGTTACAATTGCTTAAGACAATTCACATGAACCTCGCTGTGGAGACGAGTGCATTGTCACGTCTGCAGCAGGTGCGTGGTAAGTTAGATATGCTCAGCCGGACGTCGCTGCGCGGCGTCTTGATTAAGTTCATTGGTGGACAGTTTCGTTCCTGGCGCGACGATCTCTGACAATTACTGTTACATACGTTCGCGTTGTTATTGTTGGAAATGGGCATGCTGCAGAAGTGGGAGATCATTTTCATGTTCACTCATTAATATCCGCATCATCACCGCATCCGTGTATCAAGTAAATGTCAGACTAGCTCGCTCCATGCTCGACTAATATCACTTCCAACTGACAAGTCTCACAAGAATCTTCAATACTCGTTGATATTCAGTCAATGTTTCTTTTCGCCTTGAAAGTGATATTGCTAGAGAGATTGTTGATTTTTTTTTGTTTATTTGACCATTTAAAATGTCATAATTAGTGAATCCAACTTATTTTTATTTACTCCGCGTTTTGGGATGGCTAATCCCGTCGAGTGCGTGTAATTAAAATGTTAAAACTGTGATACTGATGAGATAAGCATATTAGTATAGAGCTAATTAAATTATTTAACATTGTAGGTCGCATATAATGTTGTATAGAATGTTAACTTGGTCATGTGGATAAAAAAATATATCATGAAATAAACTTAAACATGCATTCAACAAGCGCCACTTTTTACACGGTTTCGAGACTCGAAAAGTGGTACTTTAATCACGGACAGCCAAGGCCGTGACATTTGTTCAAGGCCATATGCATTGCCGTCATTGAGCTAATTAAATTGTCCTGTTTTAATTAACCAATGCAGGTTTGTGTAATTAATATTTTCCATAGAGAGAAAAGAGATATTATTCTGTTTCTTGCAATTGTTTCATGCAAAATTTAGTAGTTCGCAGAGCGGCCACCAGAGCCGCCTGGAAAAACAACGGATATCTAAGTCGCGGCCATTGTGATATTTGACAACAAACAGTTTGAACCTCGCAGAAGTCAGTACGTTTTTTATTCTCGTCTGTAGTTTAATCGTGAATTTAATAGTAACGCACATGAGACAGAGTGTAATACACGCAAAGTGTTGCCCAGAAGCAGTAGCAGTAATTCAACAACAATAATATGTAAGTAATTTATTGTTTTCAATTCCTGCAAAATCGGCGTAAACAATGCAAGTGTACTAGGTTAATATCAATAACAGCCGAGTGGTACGGCCGTTTCTTGGCACTCAGAAGGTCTGCGGTTCAAATCTCGGCCGAGCTAGCAGCCACCCAAAGAAAATGTGCATGTACTTATAGTTTACTCAGCAAGTCTGAATGAGGCTAATGGGATAAAATGAAATGTTGTGCTGGAGGGAAACGATTTACCGGTGATGGGGAATTTCATCGTTTCATTTTCTGTAGTTGCTCAAGAGAATTTGCGGCGCAATTGTACGATAGCGAGTGCCCTTCCTTTTATTTTTGAACAGATCACCTGGCTGAGTACTTTTCGTTTTTGTCTAAGGGTGTAGAGGGCGCTAGTTAGCGATGCTAACAAAATGCATAAATTCGAAGTTTCTTATAAAATGTGATAAATTTTCAACAGACTGACAAAAAAAATGATTTTTCTTCATGTTTGGGAGGGTATTATTGCAGGACATTAGTTCTTGATGCGTTTTGAGGTCGCTTTTCAAAAATGTCCACATTTTCACGCGCATATAAATAAAATTCGAGTCAGATATTAATTTAAAATATTTATTACTTTATAATCCTGTAATTTAGGCTCAGGATAAGGTCGGGTATGTGAAGCAACCGCAGACTGTTGCGCAGAGGTCCCGGTACGTAGCCGCGGCTGCTGCTGCTCTTCATAACTTAAAATTGCGTCAAATCGTGTGTGTGTGGTGGCATAAAAGCAATATGAATTTTATTTTCGATCAGTATCGGCACGGAACCCTCTGCGCGCGAGTCGAGCTCGCGCCACACCGATTTCAATATCATCATTTTATACATTTTAAATATTAACTGGTGATACTTGTACAATCAGCCTATGGTATATATAAAAAGAGAACCAAGGAAAACACGTCCGTGAAGTAAAAAAAAAAGAAGATAGAATAAAAGAAAAACAAATCGACGACGTTCGATTGCGGGCAGCCATCGCGATGAAGGGCTGCGCGCCGCCGTGCTTAATAGTCTACGCTTAGCCTAACGTTTGTAAAATTATCCACCGAACGAACTCAACTACCATATTTACACGAAAATGAACTTAAAATAGCGATGTGGTGATGGGCAGGCGGGTAAAATCGCGGCGCAGCCTGTACTATCTCTTCACGAAGCCCTTGGAGCCGTCGGGGCCCTTGGGCAGTCTTATCACATTATCGTCTTGGGGCGGCAGCGGCTGTGGATTGTGCACCGCTTTCACGGCCGGTGTACAACTGCGTCCGCCCTTGTGTTGTATACTCGCATAGCGATTGCTGCTTTCTTCAGGTCGATCCGGACTCGAGGCTTCGCCGAGTATCCGCAGGCGTGCTTCGGCATATTCTTGCTCGCGTTGCTTTAACGTTTTCTTCGGCTGCACCACCTTATTCTCGCTGCCGGCGTGGTTTTGTTTCGAGGGCCGTTTTAAAATCGTCACCGTTGGTTCCGGCTGCACGTACTGTGACCGCAGCGCGTCATCCTCGCTTAAAATGATATTAAATTGTCTGCTCATTCCATTACATCTGGGTTAAACAATACACACATGTATATAAGTGCACAAGATGTAGTTTAGTTTATTTGCAGTTTTGCACTGCGTTACGTACTTGTTCTGACTGGGCGGCTGCAAATTTCTGAACTTCCTTTCGAGAACCTGGAATTGAAAGAGAATTGCGTCCGATTAGCGGTGAGGATCGTAGTGGTCTAAATGCAGCAATGTGTAGCACTCGCAAGCAATGGCTTTGCGCAAACTTAACCTCGCCAGGCAATGCGAAGTGCGTCGCGGGCGAGCGCTGGGCTGCCACCGTGCATTGTCGGTCCTCACCATCGCACCACCGCCTCACTTACGTCCGAGTCTTCGATGTCTTCCCAATTGTCCAGTACCTCGACCTCTTGGTGCTTGGAGGTAGCCATGTCGGTGCGCAGCTTGCAGACGGCCACTGTTTTGCCATTTGCCTCGAGCGCGTTATTGCCAGTGCGTGACGTCACCGGCCGTACGTCAGCGGCATTTCCGGAAGATCGTTTTGAATTGTGCCTGCGTCTTGGCCGCATCGGGCGCCGACGGCGGAGCACTCTTTGTAGCGCAAGCTGTGGACAGTTCATAGGGGTGTCATTCAATGGGGTGCCAGTAGGAAGTCGCGAAAATATTAAAAATTGCCAGTATCTAGGCAACGGTGCGCTCGGTTGTTTTTTTTTTTGTAGGATTTCTTTGAAATTACCACGCCACAAATAACTTTCTAACATTTTATTCGTTTATTTTTATTAATACAACTGTAAATGTCTTCTGCCTGAAGGGAAATTGCATCTGCTTCTTCAAATTCACCTGGAAATGAAACAAAACTTGTATTTTTATCGGTAAAATTGAAGAAACAAAAAAAAAACGCAAATTCTTTGGTAAAAAATCAGTGGTAGTGACGAATATGATAATAATCATTGTTATTTGTTATCATTTCCAACTTGTATGCATCATTTGAACTTTCACGCGTAGATATACAAAGTATGCATAAAATATTTACCTTTAAACTCATTCATTCTCGAATTTTCCGGTCGCAACACTGCAAAAAATAAGAAAAATTTGTATTTACTTTAGAGATATTGACACATTTTATCAATATCAGTGGAAATGAGGAATAGTAATCATTGTTATCATAGCATGTGTAAACATTTAAGTGAAACAATCAATAATTTACCTTTGAAACGTCGTGGAAATAATGTTGTTGACTTTAAGTGACGATCTGAAAGAGGAACACATTTGGCATTAGTAAATCAACTTTCATCAAGACAACACGTACGGGTTTTCAATAAGTGCGCAATCATATTTTAATTTATTGTGAACTTGAGAAGATGAAACGTGCAGGTAAGGAATGTAATTATTTTATCTCTATGTATGTCTGTTGCTAATAGAAAGTTAGTATTAGTTTACCTTTTAAATGATACATAATGTAGATGGAGGTAAACAGCGTAATCTGAAGACAAACAGAAATTATTATTTTAACATTCTTAGAGATTGTTTCATGCATGCATGATTTCAATAACAAAATCAGTGGTAGTGACGAATATATAGAAATCATCTGATTCATACTGTGCTAGGTTTATGCATCATTTAATTAATTGACTGTAAATCAGTTTTCATGCATGATTAAATTTGTATTTTAAGAGAATTACCTGTTTAACTGTATAGACTTGAAGATATTTATGGGAATATCTAGAAAAATAAAATATTTACTGATTAGAAACAGTTATATGATACATAATGTGAAATAATTACCTTTTTTTAATTGTTTGCGCGTTTTTATATTAATCTTTGAAACTAATACCGATATTGCGCATTTATTAACATTTAAAATAACAAAATACAAGATATTTTCATCCTGTTACTTTTTCCCCTTGCCCTTGAACTTTTTCTTGCCTCCGCCACCGCCGCCTTTCAAACGTTTGCGCACACCAGAAGACATTTCCATGTCGTCATCATCGCCATCGCCTTTGCGCCGCTTGCCACCCTTTTTACCATCCAGATCTTTCATGTCGAGTTTGGCGAGTCGCTGTGACTCAGCAACGCGTTCCTGCAGCACCATAACTTCTTCCTCTTCCGTTTTGTAGAGTGGTAGTTTCTTTTCAATGAGTTCTTCGATGCGTTGATATAATTCAACGTCGTATTGTGTTACAAAGGTGATGGCTTTGCCCGAGCGACCAGCGCGCGCTGTTCGCCCAACACGATGAATGTAATCTTTGCTATGCGTCGGGATATCAAAGTTAATCACTACGTCAACGTGCGGAATATCTAAACCTCTGTAATTTATAGTAGATATTTTTGAATTGGTTAATGAAGAAATGTTAGATTACAGGGATGAATTACCTGCTTGCAACATCGGTAGATATAAGTATCGAGCGGTTTTTCGCTTTGAATTTATTCAGCGCCGCGAGTCGTTTATTCTGTGACATTTGCCCGTGCAGCGGTACTGCTGTGAATCCAAGATTTCGCAGCATTAACGCCGTGCGTATCGTGTTATTACATGTAGAGCAGAAAATCATGAATGTGTTGCCTGCCATTTCGTTTAAAATGTGTACTAAATACACATCCTAGTCAAGAAATAAAATAAAAATTAAATTTTCGTTTTAATAAACGCCTGTTTTGGCTTACTTTGAATTTTACTGGAATGAATATATAATATTGTTGCAGCTTCTCCACGGTCTGGTACTTGGTGGACACCTCCACCTTTACAGGATCTTTCAAACAAGCGCGTTGCAACTTATTAACCTTCTTGGTCATCGTCGCCGAGAACAAAAACGTGCGCCTCTCACGCGGAATAACCTTCAGGATTTTGTCGACTTCCACCTCAAAATCCATGTTGAGGATTCTGTCTGCTTCATCCATAACAAGATACTTTAGCTGTTTCAAATTGAAACCCTTGGTGTTCGTTAGGTGATCTAGCAATCGGCCGGGTGTTGCAATCAGCACGTGTGGTTTCTTGGCGAGTACCAGCGCCTGCGACATCATGTCCATTCCGCCGACGATCACAGCGCATTTGACGCCGATGGAAGCGCCGAGCGCGTCGAATTGTTCGGAGATTTGGAACGCCAATTCTCTGGTCGGGGTGAGTACAAGCGCGAAGTATCGCTGTGGGTTTTGCAGTAGTGATTGTAGAATAGGCAACGCGAAGGAAGCTGTTTTACCGGAGCCGGTTTCAGCCAGGCCGATAACGTCCTTGCCCTGGAGCGCCACGGGAATAGATTCGCGTTGAATCTTCGACGGAGACTTCCATTTTAGTTGTTCGCATGCCTTGCAGAGTACATCGACGAGGCCCTGCAGTTACTAATTGCTGTATCAATGTGCGAAACGTGTTTGTTGAAACACGTGGGTCTTACCAGGTCCTGCCAGGTTAAGTTGGAATCAGCATCGGCGTCGTCGTCGTCGTCGTCTGGTTGTGTTGTGTGAGTTGGTTGTTCCTCTTCTTCGCCGTTGCTCTGTTCGACGGAGTCATCTTCGTCGCTGCTTGAGTGATCTGATGGCATGATGTGCGCAAAACGCCAACGGCTCGGACGGCGCACACGTGTTAAATGAATGACGTGATCGTCGGTAAATGGCGTCGTTCCAAATATTTTGAACTTCCGATGCGGAGTGAATCATTCTGTCCTCTCTTTTCTTTCTTCGGAGTTTTCTGCTGTGAGGGTAGGACGCATGCGTCAGAGTGTTTAGGTAGTTAGTGAGTAAAAAGGAAAACTTAATTGAAACATGAGATAGCTGTAAAATGTACCCAATGAGGCAATCGCTGAGCGCATGGTAATAATTTTCTTTCTCGCTTGTTTGTAGTATTGGCGACGGTTGCGCCCACAAGCTCACAGTGTACGATTTGGTGCGACTGGTGGCGACATAGTGGTGATTGGCGCCAACTAGAAGCGCAGCTGTCAAACAGCAATCGTCGAGTGCTGGATGTACGCGTGCAGTAGACAAAGATATCGCCAGCATCAACATGGCATCAACGCGGGCCCGCGCGCGCGCTTTCAGCCTACCGATATAGCCATTTTGTCACAATAAAATATAGCAAATCGCGACACCAACACATAGCGCGCGACGGCATCAATCGCCTTTTGTTGTGAACACGATGTCTGCAAAACAACGTGCCCGCTTCCTGGTCAGTGATCTGTAATCGAAAGAAGACAGTGCGGCACGAGTTGTGAGCTGTGCGTGCGTGCGTGCGTGCGTGTGGCGACGTCGAATTGGAGCACCAGCCGCCGGAGCGCGCAGCGGCGTACGTCGCCCGTCGGACAAGTGATCGCGGCAAGCGCCTGTGGCCGCCTCTGGGGTTGTGCACGGCCTCTTGGACGAAAATGCGCTGCGGAATCGCGTGTCCCGCGTCCGTCGCGCACCGAGTTTAGCCGTGAGCCGTGCTCCTCGCCCAAGATGGCCACCGACGGCTAGCGGCCGACCGAAACACGCGTCCGAATCCGCTTTTCGCCCCGCAGAGACAATGACCGAGCCGGACGTGCCGCAGACGGTCTGGTCGCGCTGGATCCTTGACGCCATCCGCAAGATCCGCTCGCAGAAGCAGCGGCCGAGCGTCGAGCGCATTTGCCACGCGATCCGCCAGCATAACAACTATCATGAGGATGTCGTCGCCGAGCGGCTGGAGGTGGCCGTGCGGCAGGGTGATGTGCTCAAGGTATTCAACAAGGGCCAAAGCAGCTACAAAGACCCCGACGGCTTGCCGCCGCGGCCGTTGCATATTACGCGCGGCTCCGATCTCAGCAAGGTCGTCACCAAAGCGGTGCGCGAGCTTGGTGAACGCGAAGGCTCGTCGCTGAAGAGCATCGAGAAGTACGTGCGTCAGTCGTACACCATCGAAGGTGACGAGGTCGAGCTGAAAACATTGCTGCGTTTCGGTGTGAAGCGCGCCGTTAGTCGTAGATGCGTAGTGCAGGACGGCAAGTGCTTCAAATACAATTACAACTTCCTCAGCCCCAGCAGCCGGAGATGCCACAAGAAGGCGAACTCCAGCAATGATTCGCTCGATTTGGTAAGTGCCTTCAGTTGTAACTCACCCCTATGAAGCGAACTGCGTCGTCCGACGGCCGTCGGAACGCGCGCGCGCGCGCGCTACTTGCGCTTACTTGTTTTTCTTTTGTGCACCCACTTACCGTTTCTGTGTATGTAAATAACGTGCGCGTCCGTTTTTGTTCGCTGGGTTGATTAATCGAACACCTGTCACTGGCACATTTGCGTGCAGTCGCTCGTGAATGCGTGCAAGGGCCATGTGAACGCGACACACCAACGTGACTTGAACGCGTGCGTCATGCATGCCAATTGCAGCATCGTGCTGAACACGAATTTAATTGCGCGCGATGGTTATTGTTGTTACAGCAATCCCCGACGACCGGCACGTCGAAGGTTGGCTCCTCCATCTCGCCGGCCGCCTCCCAGTATTGCATGGAGTGCCTCGGCACCGACCAGAAGAACAAGCACGGCGAGTTCGAGAAGCTGAGCGCCTGCAATGAGTGCAACAATGCGGTGCATCTATCTTGCGCTTACGCCGGCCCGGAACTCGCACTCCTCATCGGCAGAGGGAATCGATGGTACTGCGAAGAGTGCAAGTCCTGCTCGGTGTGCAGTAAGTATTTTACGCACGCGCAGCGTCGCCCCCCGGGTGATTCTAACGCGAATTTATTTGGGCGTTTCAGACAGTAACGATGTGTCCACTTGTCTCATCTGTTGCGCGCACTGCAAGAGCAAGTTCCATATGGAATGCCTGGACGTGCCTGTCGACAAGAAGGTCAAGACTGCATGGCGATGCGCAGAGTGTTTAGGCATGCCTAAGACACCCGAGGGCGCCTCCACCGCCCGGAAGAAGGTTGATAAAGGAAGGGAGCGGAACAAGGAGAAGGCGCAAAGGTACGTGGTTGCTTCGATAAAAAAAAATAGCGCAATATGTGTAGAAATTTTGTAACTATCACTAACTTACACACTCACAAAAATGCATACACAACGTTTTCAAGAAATTCAATGTTAGTTTTGTCTTATTTTGTCCCATTGACTTCTTTTTGTTACTGTCAGAGGACGGAAAGTTAAAAACATATGGTCATGCATGCAGGGCACGTTTGGTACTTGAGGTTGGTGAAGTGTGTGTGTGTGTGTGTGTGTGTTAATACTTGATCAAATTAAATCATGCAGCGCTCTGTATTGAATTTCTTTCGGATACATAAGTTGTGTGACTGAAGTGCGTGTATTTGCAGAGCAAAAGACATCAACAGTACGCCGACGTCGAGCCGAGGCAATGCCGGCGCGTCGACCTCGTCCACGCTGAAAGCAACGCCGTCGTCGCCACGCAAAAAGCTTCCGACGCATCGGCCTGCCGTTCACCTGAGTGAGTCCGATAGCAGCGATCACGAGGGTACGCCAAAACCCAACATAAATTATCCCACAAAAAGCCCATATCCCCCCACCAACCAAAAACCACAAATAGCCAACAATAACCACAACGCCGCGCGGAACCAGCAGCGCATCGCCAGCTCCGATCGCATGTCGAAGGAGAAGCAGAAATTCTTTCGGCTCTCTGCGTTCAACGACAAAAAGAAACGTCAAACCAACAACGCGCACGCCACCAAGGCGGCGTCTAGAACGTCCTCGTCGCCGTCGTCATCGTCGTCGAGCGGCTCTGACTGCTCCTCGAGCAGCTCGAACTCGGACTCGGGGAGTTCAGGTTCAGAGTCGAATAATTCGGACGATGCACCTGTAGCGGCTTCTGTGCTGCGCCGTACCTCCACTCGTGCGCAACAACAACAGTTGACGCAAAAACCGGCGCCGCAGCCTACGTTTGGTGAGATCGGAGGTATTCAGGCCGACTGCAAACTCTGGGGTTTCGCCGCAGCCGCTGCGCAGGCTCAGGAAGGCGAACCTCCGATGAAAGCAGACGGCAGAAAGAATGCCGGTGATAGTATTCTCGCTGAGGGCGGCGCCGTTGCGAAGGAGTTGAAAAAGGGTATGGGTCAATTGAAGAACCTCTTCGACGGCCTGTCTCATTTATTTGCGACGCCACTCGAAGGCCGTAATAGAAACAGTAAAGTGACTGGTCAGCGCGTGGACAGAGCCAAGAGGGACAAATCGGAAACGCCGCTGGCCGAGCGGAGAGAGCCCGTGATCGAGGCAAATGATGCCGATGCGACCGAAGAGGACGAGGTGCAACCATCGCCTCTCGTGCATGTTACCAGCAGAGCGAAGCGCCGCACCGAGACCACCGACTCCGACATCGAGTTGGAGTCGGAGCGGGCGAGCCGACGCGACAAGCTCAAAAAGTCGCTCACGCCCTCGAATCTCGTCAAGACGGCGGTGAACTCCAAGCGGTTGGAGACGCATTCGCGCAAGGTGAAGCACTCGTCGCAGGCGACGAGCGAACCGGCAACGCCGGCATCCGGACGTTCTAGACCCGCCGCGCAAAACAATTGCGAGAGCGGCAACGAAAGCGAGAAACGAGCTACGCACCACAATTCGACCGGCAAAAAGCGATCGAATCACGATACGTCGCTAACCAGCGCCACTTCTACGCCACAACAATCCCAACCTCTGTCGGTGCTGCCGCTTGCCACCAATCAGACGGGTAAGGATCACACCACCAGAACAAAAAGAGGATTATATTACCATTACCAATATTTATCACAATCACCACAACGCAATCCCTGCAACATCAGCATTCGATCACTGGATCGGTGCTGATTAACCGATTAATTCCTCCCGTCCGGCCCCCCGCTCAAATGCAACTAATTTCTATCAATTCACCTTTGGCTCAGAGTAATTTGCGATCCTCTCCACTCGATTAATCTCCTCAGACTGTTTCTCCCCCACGATTCGCTTAATATTAACTACTCCACACACTCTTTATCCATACATAATCTACTTTGCATGTTGATAATATTTCACTGGTCACTGGTGTGTTTTGTGATTTTTATTAATTTGACCATTGCAGTAATAGACTTAATCTAATATTGTTCCGTCAAGGAGCTGGCTGGCTGTTAAATTGGTGCAATGGTCAAGTTAAAGCTTGCAAACACTTTAAAGATATATAAAGTAAGCGAACCTGTCTGATTGGCTGGCAGTATACGAGGTTTTTGATGCTTTTTATATTCTAGGGTTGAGATATCACAACTAATTACCGTGCATGCGTATTTTCCCCATTTTTACCTCCATCGCTCAGCAATGAAACGCGCACTCGCTGTCGCATTCTTCGTTGTTGAACGACGCTAACCCACCCGGAAAAGGCTCCATTCCTTTTCTGCGCTAGCGTCGTCCCGCCCTCTCTAAATGCGCGTTAATATGTTGCAGATGCCAAGCAGCCGCTGCCGCCCGGCGTGACACAAAAGGATGTCGAACTATTTAAGGAGACGCGCGAACGCGCTAATCAAACCACGGCCGTTTCCGACGGACTTCTTATCTCGCCCAGTCATGCAATGGTTGTACAGGGCCGCAATCCGGCCGCTATCGAGTTTGGCAAGTACGAAATTGACACATGGTATTCGTCACCGTTCCCACAAGAATACGCTCGCCTTCCCAAACTGTTTCTTTGCGAATTTTGTCTGAAGTACACCAAGAGCAAGGCTGTACTGGAGCGACATCAGGACAAATGCACTTGGAAGCATCCACCCGCCACTGAGATTTACCGCTGCGGTGACATCTCCGTCTTTGAGGTGGACGGCAATGTCAATAAGATCTATTGCCAGAACTTGTGCCTGCTTGCGAAACTTTTCTTGGACCACAAGACGCTGTACTACGACGTGGAGCCTTTCCTGTTCTACGTGCTTACGAAAAACGACAGGAAAGGCTGTCATCTGGTAGGATACTTTAGCAAGGAAAAGCATTGTCAACAGAAGTACAACGTCAGTTGTATTATGACGATGCCACAATACCAACGACAAGGCTATGGTAGATTTTTAATCGATTTCAGTAAGTATTCATTTGTTATGTTTGCACGGAATTGTGTACTTACTAATGAAACTTGCAGGTTACTTGTTGTCGAAGGAGGAGGGCCAACCAGGAACACCGGAGAAACCATTATCGGACTTGGGGCGCGTATCCTATCATGCGTATTGGAAGTCGGTATTGCTGGAATACCTACACAATCACAGGGATATGATGGAAGTGAAATTGACTTCCATCAGTAAAGAAACAGGCATGTACTGTCACGACATTGCGACTGCATTGGATTTGCTCAAATTTATCAGGCGGAGTAAGGGGGAGAATGGCACACAAAAGGCGGTCATCGCGGTCGACTGGAACCAAGTGGACGCGTATGCTGAACGCCTGGCAAAGTCAAAAACTCGCATCAAAATTGATCCGGAATGTTTGCGCTGGACGCCTCTGCTGACTACTGTTGTGAATCCGTTCGGCGACGATTCAGATAAAGACACTGACAAGGATAACGGCATGGAGGAGACGGCTGATATTATTGTACCACAGCCGGAGAAAATAATTATAGAAACGACCGGTGTAAAGCTGAAACGTGGCAAGAAGCGACGCCCGGTGTCTAGTTCAAAAACACCCAAAGTGCCTAAGGAGACGAGAACTGTTGTAGAGGATAAAGCGGAGGAGAAGTTAGAAGCCACGTCGTCCGGTCGGAAACGAACAAGGCCGAATAAGTTCAACGAGACGGTGAATACTTTCAGCGAGCGCAAACGGAAACGTAGTGTGCTGGATAGTGCGCCCGAAGAAAGCGATGGTGAGAAGCGGGCCGATTCGGTAAATAAGGAAGACAAGCTGAGGAAAGAGACAGACTTGCGAACGCCGACTAGATCGCGTCGAACACTGGCCAAGGAGCAAGGATTGCGATGGAGTCAGCGCAAAATGAGGAAAGCAGAAGAGAAGGAGAAGGTTGTGGACAGTAAATCAGAGTCTCCAATAAAGAATGAAAAATCTGGTGCAAAAGCTAAACCAATTGTCGAAGAAATGGTAGAAGATAAGGTGGAAAACGAAGAGAAAACTGAGTTGATCGAGGTGGTCAAGTCTGAAGCCATCACAGATCAAAGTCCTACGGCAAGAAAAAATCGATCGCCGGTGAAACCACGACGGAGAACTGGCTGGGGCGGACGGTCAAAGAAGAAGAAGCCATTATCGCAATTAACCATCCCTGAAATGCTCAAGAAGCAAGTGAGTGAATCTGAATCGGTGAAATCTGAGGACGACGGAGAGAAAGTTGCCGAGAAATCCAATTCTACCGACGCACTCAAAGCTAAACCGAAAGAAATCTCCAATAAAAGGTCTTCTAAGCGGCCTTCGTGTGAAGAAGATTCTTCAGCTGAAGCCGATGATGAGATGGAGGAAGATGTGGAAATGCAAACCGGCACGAACACAACACCAGAGAAGACTGTCAACCGAACACCAGAGAAAGAAAATAACAATCTGTTGAAACTAGCCGATCCACCCGCGAAACAGGAGTCGAAAGAAAAGGAGATAAAGAGGATACAAAACGAATTTTCAAGTACATCGGAATCCGAAACCGAAATCGATGGACAGAAGATCAAAATCATCTCACAGGAAGAAATCAGAGAAATTACAAAGAAATACGGTATATTGAGTCCCACTCATGACGAACAAGAAGATGAAGTTAAAAATATTGTCCCTAAAAAGTCCACTGCTGATAAGAAAGAGGAAATTGACAAGAAAGTATCCCCTCCAACTCCTCAACCCATACTTGGTACTCTTGTTCCACCGCCTACACTGTTAGTACCACCTCCAGAAGTATTGCTCCCTGCGAAAGACAAACCAGTTGAGACGACTTCTGAGACAACATCTGTGCAGCCAGACGAGAATGTGACAAATACAAATGAATCGCTAAAAAATGAAACTAAATTGTTACCTGCGGATCAGAAGGAAGAAAGTCCCAAGGAAGCGATAAAAAAGGATGACTTGGGTGATAAACAGGTAGTTAAAGAAGTTAAAGAAGCGACCGATACAATAGTGAATAATGAAAGCGCAAGTATTGACACAGAACAATCTAAAGAAATTGGTGCTCTGCAAGACACCACAGATTTAAATATGCAAATATGTGATCAGCAGACAAGTTCGCAACAGAATGAAGTACTGAAGACCCCAGTGGCAAGTATTACACCAGTTCCCGAATTAAAAGCGCAAGCTGATAATGATCCCATGTTAAACACAAAGACGCCGCCTGAGACTAAAGTAGAGGTGATTGCACAAACAGAATTGGTTAAGCCGGAAAATCCTGAGAAGCCATTGTTTCTCGAGGAGCATGCTCCGAAACAAATGAATCAGATGCCTGCTGCTATACCGAAACCAACTGTACAGGAGCATCAGGTATCTGCACCCGTTAAACCCCAACCAGCGCCTTTGATTCAGCAACAACCGCCAGTCCAACAGCGGCACCCGCAACATACTCCTATGCCACCTCAGCCTCCCCTGCAACAGAATGAGTCAATCCAGCAGACACAACATGCTGTTGTTCATCAGCAGCAGCAACAACAACAACAACAACCGGTGGTACCCCAACAACCAATCGTTGCTCAACATCACCAGGCGGTTCCGGCAGTTCCTGCCCCAATGATGCAGGCACAAGCAACATACCCAGTTAAAGAAGAACCCAAAAGGGATTTAAACCATGTCGTCGAAGAATCTAGATCACAAGCAGACATTAAAAAATCGCCAGTGAAGACGCAGGTACCATCAACTCAACATCAGCTGCCGCAGCAAATGGTGCCTACTCATGATATCAAACATGCAATGCCACAGCACGTTGTGAATCAACAAATGCCGTCTTCGTGCTTATCGCCTATGATGCAGGCTCATCCCACTCCTAACCACCCTTCGATTCCGGACATTCAACAACAACATGTACAGCAACTTCAGCCGCAGTTACACCATCCATCGATGCCGCAAACAGCTTTTCAACACCAACATCATGAACATCAGTCTGTACAGATGCCTTACCAGCAATTGCCTCTTAAACAACAAGAGATGCAAGCACATTTGGTGCAAGCTCCCCCGAATAAAAAACCGAAGCAGGAAGCTAGGGCAAAAGACGACCGGAAAAAGTCCGAGAAACACAAGGAACGGCACGATGACAAAGTAAGGTATCCCAAAGAGGAGGCACGCATCGCTCCTAAGCCAACGGAGATGTCCGCTGAAAAATTAATGACGAATCCGGAGTTTTCCATGGGAACACCTAACTACCAGATGGCCCAATCACAGTACCAACAATGGCACTGGGATCATCGCATAGCGTTTGAGCGCAGCATGTATCAGTATCCATATTTTCCTCCTCTGGACGTTGTACCACCGTCTACACCTGCTGTACCAAGCACACCCGCAGCGCCAGCAAGTGTCAAACACCCAGAGAAACCGGAAAAACCCCAGAAAGCTAGTGCGAAGTCAAAAACCAAAGCAGAAAAAGCTCCCAAGAAGGAAGATCGTCTGAAGAAGGCGCAGGATGATTCCAAGGTAGACAAGCTTGACAAGCATCAACAACATCACAAAATGAAGGAGAGCGTGGACGGGGAGAATGATCATCACCATCAGCAGAGTCTGAAGCAGCAACATGAGTTGTCGACGATGGGAGTGTACACCCCGGATTCTACCACTAATTCGGTTCATAGTTTGCATTATAACCAGTGCGACTTGGACGTATCCCAGTTAGGTTTGGAATCGCCAGCAAGCATCTCCAGCGATATGGCGTCGCAGAATTCAGTCGAATCAGTACGGCCGCCTTCCATCACACAAACACCTAGTTATGACTGCGCCGTACAACATAATATGCAACAGAATTTGCACCAGCAGCAGCAACAACAAGTTGTGCAGCCGGCATCTAGTCCCATGCAAAACAAGCGATCCATTCAGCAACAGCAGTCACAACAACAGCAGCAGCAACAGGTACAACAGCCCCGGAACCGAAGCACAACACCATCGAATAAACAACATAATATGAGGAGTACTCCACCAACTCCATCAGTGCAGCAGGTCCAACAACAGAGACAAAGAGCGACTCCCCCGGTTCAGACGGTGAGCCAACAGCATCTACAGCAGGCAAATCAAGCGCAACATCACCAAGGACATCATATGCAGCAACAGCAGCAGGCCCACCTTCATCATGCGATGCATCCTGGCTATCAACATCCGCATCACCAGCTTGGTGCCGCCAGCGCTATGCATCAACAGCACCATCATCACCAGATAAGTCAAGGAAACTACATCCCGGTGCCTCAAATGGCCGTTAGCTCTCAGGCGTTTACCGCGCAGGTAGGAAGCCCATACGTGACATCTGTGATCCCGCACCGCATGTCTACACCGCAGAGCCATCAGAAGACCAGCTGCGCGGTTACGACCGGCAGCAACTTCTATCATGCACACACAGTTCCCACACCGACGCCGACTCCCACGCCGCAGGCTCAGAACCAGAATAACAGCTGCAGCTTGGCTAAGCTGCAACAGCTTACCAACGGATTGGAGATGATCCCGCCGAGTGCTTGTAATACTATGACTCCGCCACCGGCGACGGCCATGACGTTGACACCGCCACCGTCACATCACGCGACGATGACCCCACCGCCGACGCATCAAGTGCTCCAGAATCAGCGCAATATCTCCACGCCGCCCACAGCTATGCCCCCCAACATTCAGCTTAACTATCCACAGTACTACAAGCCAAACATGAATTTAAACCAGATTGGGGGTACTGTGACGCCGCCAATGGGTCAGAACTTAGGTCGTACCCGCAATCCAAACGTCGCTCAGCACATGCAGACGCCACCGTCACGTGTGAGTCCTAACGTGGCGCTCAATTCGTCAAACATCATGGCGCAGTACAACTTGAGCAACTATCGCATGGCGCAGCAACAAGCACCCACCGTCAATTATTTGCCGAACGGCGGTTTCATCAATAATCAGCTTCCCATGCAGATGGTGAATATGACGCAAGGTCAGTACCAGGATCCAACCACGATACAGCGGGCGCCGCAGAACACGATGTACACGTATGGCTACCTCAACGTGCCTCTGAACGGCACCATGCGTCGCTGAGATGATGAACAATTGTGTATCGTGTAAATTTAATTGTAATTACGTTTCAAACACAAAGGCTGTGCACTTAACGATAAGAGACACATTTCTTCGTTGTTCTACTTTTAGTGTAAACAGCTGAAAGTCGTATTTATTTGGGATAAAGATTCGTTTATTTTTACATCAATGAAGGAGGATTTTTTTTCAAGAATTGTATATAGGCAGGGTGTATAAAGAAAGTCGTGTACATTTAACACACAGGGATAGGTTGACTACTTAAATTTTATGTAAATTGTGAAATATTTATTACTTGATTTGTATTATAAGTCTATTCAAATTACGTGATTAATTTGAACATGTTCTTCACGCTATTTTATTGACTTTGTTATGTGCTAGTTAGAGAATGAAGAACTAACATTGTAAATAGTTGATTATTATACCTTGTTTGACGTTTACAACACTTACTCGCGCTGAAGGAATAATTATGAAATAAGCAAAGAGAAACTTTCTCATTTCGTTATTGAATTACGATAAGCTGATTCGTGCGATGTGTGCTAGGATGGTATGAGCCTTGCAGCATTCGCAAAATGTTACGTTTAGTTTTTATATTCTTAATGTTTCACTTTTTTGTAATATGCAATTGTAACTGTATTGCACTAGTATGATGCACCGTTCTGATTATTTTAAAACAAAAATCACTATGTGGAAGAATAAAGTTATAATCCTGTTGTTTCAGAAAATTTCCTTGTTGGAATGTTTCAGTTCTTTTCTCATCTATTGCAGTGCTGCGAATTTTCTGTGGAGCCTGTAAAATACGGTCCTTTTATAGTTTCCTTAAAACCCTTGCAGATGCCCTAAAACATCGTTTCAGTTCAATTTCTTAGCCTGAATAGGGAGTCTCAGCCTTCGAAATGCGCGTTGCGACAAAACAATTATATGTGAGACGGGGTTTCTAAACTTTCCATAAGTTATGTTAAGTTAAAATATTAAAATCGGGAAAATAAAAGGGGTGAAAAATAATTCATAGGGAATAATAGGCAGAAAGTTCTTTCATTTTTCAACAGGAATCATCGGTTGCGATTATTTTATAAATTGTTTTGTAGAAATTTCAATGAAATAAAAGGTAAACAAATTTATATTTCATTGACGTCAATACACGCCCATTGTTTGTTTGTGGTGGTCTCTAAACAGTCTTGTCATCTCACGCCACACTGTAATTCAACCGGTCTGTTCTCTTATATCTTATTGTCAGTTGATAGCGTACGATAGTAGTATATAAATTTGTAGTATATATGTGACCGTGTGATGGCGCGGCGTGTACCGTTTGTGCACACTGCAGAAATAAAATTAGTTTCACCGTATCCGACGGATGGTTCGCACGCGTTCCTCGCAATTCTCCTTTCTTAGGATTTAAATATGTAACGCGTATTATATTCGATGCTCTTAGTGATTATTGTGGTGTATTGTGTTTCGCTAAAGTTTTCGTTTACGGTGGAAGGTTTCCAGCGCTGGTACTAATCGGTAAGTAAACTCAATAATAGGTAATCTCAAACACATTGATATAACACTGTTCGCAGTTCGCGCTGTGAACCAGCATTTTTATCATGAAGTTATTATATTCTTAAAAGCATGTGCGAAAAATTGCATGGCAAGTGTTGTCGTTTCAAGCAAACCGGCGTATTCATATTATTTGTTATCTCCTGTTGATACGTGTACGATCGCCTTCGCTCGTCAAATTCCTTTCGGTGTGTGAGTAACTACGGTAAATTTGAGAATCTTAATAAAGCAATCGACTTTTGAAGTTTTATTCATGTAATTATTTGTCATAATTAAATTTACGTGTTACAATTTTCTGGCTAATTTTGTTAACGCTGCTGCTTTATAGTTACGCTGCTGGTTCCTCGATTATTTTCTTTCGCAGTATTATATTAGCAATGCGGTTATTTAGGTAGCACAAGGTAGCTGTGGGTTCCTGCCATTTGCATATTTAGATAGCGGTGAGCTTTAGCCGACCCTGTAAATCAAGCGCGAAGTACCTGAAAACCGCCCCCAAAAGTCGTCAAGTTTTGTCATTTTTGTAAATGTATTGTGTACACTGCACTTTATCTAGGAACGATTTGCACAATTTTAATACCGTTGCATATTTAAATAGTGCAAGAGTGTACTCATTCGGTGTACCGTAGCAAGGCAGCGATCGAAGTGACTCGTATTTAGGGAACCGCATGAGGATGATTTTTCATCTCTTAGATTTCCAATTTAACTAGCTTATTTTATAGAGAATTGTGGGTAGATTAAAAATCTGCGATTCGTTCCTTTCAATATTCAATTCGTCATGTTCTATCGAATTAAATATCACTAAAATAACTTATGTAAAATCGGCCAATCTTTCGGTATAAGAAATCTGAATTACATAATTTGGATTTTAAATTTTTATTAATTTTATTTATCCAATCCGGGACTACTATTTGCATTATTAATAGATGGCACTAGCATTAACAAAAATTGGTAAATAAGCATGAATTGTTTATTTCTATATCTATCAGCAACCGCGAGCATTCGACACGAGAATGATGTTTGTTTTGAACACAACTTACACCTTCTTATCGGATTCGCCGCGTAGAATACTATGCATGATATCCTCTCACGCCGCATGTTGGTTCATCTTAGTTTAGTTTTGATCGCAGGTAACGTGCCAAAGCGATTCGCGCTCAAGGCTGCGTGCCATCGACGCACTGGCTTTGCGCATCTATTGCTTTCTTATCATAAACTGTCGTGTCGTTGCTTGCACAGTTTGCAGCCAGTTTCGTGCCGGTCTCTGGTTGGTCTAGACGTATTTTACGCGACTCGTATTGTTTGTCCGGACATCTACTTTCCAAATTCGCATTTTATTCGATCATCAATGGTCTATTTAATTTCGACTACAGTAATGTTATTTTTTGTTTGCGCGTTCGTTGTCCATAAATGCCGGTTAAGTGTTGATTTGATATTCATCTTCAGATGACCCATCGTGCTGGTGTATGGTGTAAGTAACTTTTAACTATTCAGCACATATTGTTTGTTTTCTCCGCCGTGTGATTATAATATTACTAAATCGTGTGAAATATTTTTGTTTTAACTTATGTTTCTTTTTTTATTTGCAATATCTGCCGTGCATTGGAGTCCCATGAGGTCTGCATTGGTAAGTTTAGAATTCAATTATATTTTTCGTTTTCATTTCTGCGTCCTCTATTAGTTTGCATTTACGTTGTTTTGATTTATCACGTTCCACCGCGTGTTGCAAATACATAGGATAGTCGTGTACCCGGCTGATACATCTCAAAATTAACTGTTTAGTTTTTCCTTTGCATACAAAAGCGCAAGAGTTGTACTTGAAGATACAATTCAGCGGAATTCTGCCCTAACTCTATCTCCTTTTATCTCGTTTTTTTTCGATTCCAATTATTTCGGATTGAAGATTCTAAATCTTCGGAAAATTCTTTATAAAATAAGGTATTCAAATTGTGAAAATAGGAAAGGTCGAGAATAATTCATAAACAAAAATTTGCTAAGGACAATTCTTGTTTCATCTTACTGAGACGTTTTTCATTTTCATTTTTAAGAGAATTTTGAAAATTTGTATGTTTTTATTTACTGTATAATTCATAGATGAGACTAGCATTAACAAAAAATTTCAGCTTTATCAACGTTTGTGTATAAACAACATTTTCTTACGTTGGCATCTGCTCATATCGCATGCAGTATATTTTAGTTTAGTTTTGATCGCATATACCCCATGGAATAAAATTATTTTTATTTTTTACCTGATAGAGTTTCCAATCTTTCATATAATTTGATCGCTTGCGCTTTTAGTTTAAAAGAGGGCAGCGGTAGAAGTGACTCATGTTCAGGGCACCGTACAAGGGCAGCGGTAGAAGTGACTCGTGTTCAGGGCACCGTACAAGGGCAGCGGTAGAAGTGACTCGTGTTCAGGGCACCGTACAAGGGCAGCGGTAGAAGTGACTCGTGTTCAGGGCACCGTACAAGGGTAGCGGTAAAAGTGACTCGTATTCAGGGCACCGTACAAGGGTAGCGGTAAAAGTGACTCGTATTCAGGGCACCGTACAAGGGCAGCGGTAGAAGTGACTCGTGTTTAGGGCACCGTTCAAGGGCAGCGGTAGAAGTGACTCGTGTTCAGGGCACCGTATGAGGGTAGCGGTAGAAGTGACTCGTGTTCCAGGCATTATAGGGCTAGTTAAAACGGAAATCTGAGAGATAAAATTTAAAAAATGGGCAAGCTGAATATCATCTAAACTAAAAGCGCTAGAATCCAAGGAATTGCATATTATGAAAGATTGAAAAATATTAGACTAGAATAAAAAAATTAAATATCGTTGGGCAAACGGGCGAAAATGTGACTAAAAGAGCTAAAAATTGAAAAATTTCAAATTTTGACGATTTTTTACAATTGCGCAAATATCTCGTAAACTAAAAGAGATAATTAGGAACGTATAACAGCATCTTAATCTACGGACTATTCTTTATAAGATAGGATTGCTAAAACGGAAATCTGAGAGATGAAATTTTAATTCTTAAGAAAAATTTGCCTAGGGGGGGTGCTTGATACTTTTTTTCGATGATTTTCAATAATTAATATCTCTTAAAATAAAAGCGATAGCAACCAACGAATTGCTGATTATGGAAGACTAGAAAATTCTCTATTAGATTGGAATATAAAATAATTAAATATCGTTGGGTGAAAGGGCGAAAAATGTGATTAAAAGTGCTAAAAATTGTAATTTTTCAAATTACAACACACTACGAGAGAATCAGACGAAAATAGTATCAGGAGTGGGATAATAATTGCATTTTGTTTCAGGTTGCAGTCATTCATGCCACAAATAAAGCCGTTGCGATTATGTGCATATATGTATATATAATAATTTAAGGATTTATAGCTGCAAGGAATTTAAATATATTATTTGTATATACTGATTTGGTTTGCTCCGGTTTACAAACTTACAGCCAGGAAAATATATCTATATATTATGCGTGCGATTGTAATTGTATACCCAAACTTATCAATTATATTCTAATGCTTCTCTTTATTTTATCCGAATTAAGATTTAATTGTTTCGAAGAAATTTTAACGCTTAAGAAAAGGTAAACAAACATTTATATTTCATTGGACATCACGTCCAATGTTTGTATGTGGTAGTGTCTAAAGTCTAAACAGCCTTGCGATCTTACGCCGCACTGGAATTCGACCGGTTTGTTCTTATCTCATATTGTCAGGTGATTCGCGTACGATATTTGTGTATAGTTTTGTACTATATACGCGACCGTGTGATGGCGCCGCGTGTATCGTTTGCTCACGCTGCAGAAATAAAATTAGTTTCGCCGTATTCGACGGATGGTTCGCACGCGGTTGTCGCGATTCTCCTTTCTTCGGATTTAATTTGGTAACTCGTATTACTTTGGGTGTTCTTAGTGATTATTGCTGACTACTGTCTCTCGCTAATGATTTATCGCTTATAAGATGTTCGCGAAATGCAAGTATTGTGCATTTGTTCGTGAGCAGGGTGCCGACGGATGCCGTTTATGATTAAAGTTTTACAGTACTAACCAGTAAGTGAATAAAATAATATTCTCAACCACATTGACTGATTCTGTGTCTGCCGTTTGTTTTTCTTTATTATCATATTTCCATAGTGTTTTATAGGTTGTTATATTCATAAATGTCCTTAAAATTGCATGGCATGTGTTGTCACTTCAAGCGAAACGGTTGTATTCTTATTTCTTATTTTTTGACAAAAATTAGATAATTGCACATTTTAATTACATTTGTTTATTTAGTTATATTGCAATTAATCGTAATTGTATAGTTGAATCTCATTTGGTGTACCGTAGCAGGGTGGCGGTAAAAGTATCTCCCATTCAGGGCATCGGTAGAAGTGACTCGAATGTAGGTAACCGCATGAGGATGACTTTTTTCTTCACTTAGATTTCCAATTTAACTAGCTTATCTTATAGAGAATTGTCCGTAGATTAAGAATCTGCGATTCGTTCCTTTTAATCTTTAATCCGTCTTGTTCTATCGAATTAAATATCGCTAAAATAATTGGTGTAAAATCGGGCAATCCTTCATTATAAGAAATCTGAATTACATAATTCGGATTTTAAATTTTTATTATTTTTTAATCCAAATTCAGGAACTACTATTTGTACTATTTATTGATGGCACTAGCATTTTAACAAAAATTGTAAAATAGACATGTATTGTTTATTTCTATAACTATCTGCAAGCGCGAGCCTTTGACATGAGAATTGTGTTTGTTTTGAATCCAACTTTCACTTTCTTATTGCATTCGCCGCGAGAATGTATCGCATGAGATTCCCTCACGCCGCATGTTGGCGCATCTTAGTTTAGTTTAGTTCGCAGGTAACATCCCAAAGCGATTTGCGCACAAGGTCGCGCGCCGTTGACGCACTGGCTATGCGCATCTCTTGCTTTCTTATCATAAACTTTCGTCGTTCCTTGCACAGTTTGCAGCCAGTTTCGTGCCGGTATCTGGTTGGTCCAATATTTTACGCGACGCGTGTTGTTTGTCCGGACATCTACTTTCCAAATTCGCATTATATTCGATCATCAATCGACTATAGTAATGAAATTTACTGTTTGCGCGTTTATTGTCCATAAATGCCGGTTAAGTGTATCGCTCCCATGTTGATTTGATATTATCATTGGGATGACCAATTGTGCTGGGGTAAGTACTCGATACTTTTAACTAAACAGCACAGATTGTTTGCTTTTCTCCGTTGTGTGATTATAATATTACTAAATTGTATTAAATGTTTTCTTTGTTTATTTACAGTATTAGCCGTGCCTGGGAGTCCCATGAGTTCTGCATTGGTAAGTTTACAATTCAATTACATATATTTTTTGTTTTAATTTCTACGCCCTCAATTAGTTTGTATTTAGGAGTACGTTGTTTTAATTTATTGCGTTCCATCGCGTGTTGCAAATATATAAGATAGTACTCGGCTGATTCATCTCAAAATTAACTGTTTAGTTTTTCCTTTGCTTACAAAAGCGCAAGAGTTGTACTTGAAGATGCAATTCAGCGGAAGTCCGCCTTAACCATCTCTATCCCCTTTTGTCTCGCTTTTTTTAATTCCAATTATTTCAGATTGAAGATTCTAAATCTTCGGAGAATTCTTTATAAAATAAGGTATTCAAATTGTGAAAATAGGAGAGGTCGAGAATAATTCATAAACAAAAATTTGCTAAGGACAATTCTTGTTTCATCTCACTGAGAGGTTTTTATTTTAATTTTTAGGAGAATTCTGAAAATTTCTTTCTTTTTATTTACAGTATAATTTATAGATAGGACTAGCATCAAACAAAAATTGCTGATTAATCAACGTCTGGGTATAAATAACACCTGTATCTCCCTGTATTGAAATTTGTTGCAAGAAAATTCCGGAACGCGAGTTATATTGGAAGTTGTGTGTGTGCGCCGTAGTACTCGTTGCGCTAGGAATTGTAGTTTTTTTTAGCATTACACGCGAACGCGGTGTCACAATAAGTTCGGAATAATTTTCCCAGATGCAGAATTTAATTCTGTATCTCCCTGTGTAGAAATTTATTGCAAGAAAATTCCGTAACGCGTGTTATATAGAAAGTTGTGTGTGTGCGCACTAGTACTGGTTGCGCTAGGAATTGTAGTTTTTTTGGTATAACACGTGAACGTGGCGTTACAATAAGTTCGGAATAATTTCTTCACATGCAGAATTTAATTTTGCATCTCCCTGTATCGAAATTTGTTGCTAGAAAATTCCGGTACGCCAGTTATATTGAAAGTTGTGTGTGTGCGCCGTTGTACTCTTAGCGCTAGGAATTGTAGCTTTTTATATAACACGCGAACGCGGTGTCACAATAAGTTCGGAATCATTTTCCCAGATGCAGAATTTAATTCTGTATCTCCCTGTGTTGAAATTTATTGCAAGAAAATTCCGTAACGCGTGTTGTATAGAAAGTTGTGTGTGTGCGCACTAGTACTCACGCGCTAGGATTTGTAGTTTTTTTGATATAACGCGCGAACGCGGCGTTACAATAAGTTCGGAATAATTTTTCCACATGCGGAATTTAATTGTGCATCTCCCTGTATACAAATTAATTGCGACAAAATTCCGTAACGCGCTTGATATTGAAATTTGTGTGTGTGCGCCGTAGTACTCGTTGCGCTAGGAATTGTAGTTTATTTAGCATAACACGCGAACGCGGTGTCTCTATAAGTTCGGAATAATTTACCCAGATGCAGAATTTAATTTTATATCTCCCTGTGTTGAAACGTATTGCAAGAAAATTCCGTAACGCGAATTATATAGAAAGTTGTTTGTGTGCGTACTAGTAGGTACTCGTTGCGCTAGGAATTGTAGTTTTTTAGCATAACACGCGAACCCGGTGTCACAATAAGTTCGGAATACTTCTCCCAGATGCAGGATTTAATTCTGTATTTCCTTGTGTCAAAATTTATTGGAAGAAAATTCGGTAACGCGAGTTATATTGAATGTTGTGTGTGTGCACCGTAGTAGTATCTCCCTGTATCGAAATTTGTTGCTAGAAAATTCCGGTACGCCAGTTATATTGAAAGTTGTGTGTGTGCGCCGTAGTACTCGTTGCGCTAGGAATTGTAGTTTTTATATAACACGCGAACGCGGTGTCACAATAAGTTCGGAATAATTTTCCCAGATGCAGAATTTAATTCTGTATCTCCCTGTGTTGAAATTTATTGCAAGAAAATTCCGTAACGCGAGTTATATAGAAAGTTCTTTGTGTGCGCACTAGTACTCGTTGCGCTAGGAATTGTAGTTTTTTTGATAAAACACGCGAACGCGGTGTTACAATAAGTTCAGAATAATTTTCCCAGATGCAGAATTATATATGTTACATTTTCCTCCTCTCTTACCAAAACCTTGTAAGTTCATGATATTTTTTGCTTGACCAGACCATTTTCTTTTTAAATATTGTCCTTTTTTATTGATAACACCCTGTATATTTGTTTTCCTCAATTTCCCATCAATAATTGACATTTTTTGTTTTCAACTGTTTTCTTTCTTGAACTCTAGATTATCTTTTTATAACACCCTGTATATCACTTTTCCAATCTGCGAAAAATGTGTTAAGTTTATTGTTGCAAGTTTTCTTTGGAAGTATGACTTTTTCTTTTGGTAACACCCTGTACATTAGTTTTCCGTGATAAATAGTTATTTTCTAGTGTTAGTGTTTTTAATTTGGTACTTGTCTGTATGTGCGCGATGATGCAGGTCGTAAGTCCTGTTTCAATATGTCGGCATGAATTTTGTTGACTTGTAAAATCTAAACTTGTATTATTTTACATTGTATTTATTAATAAAGAAATGGTAAGAAATATTATGTCTTATGCTTTGAATGTACCCCCTTCTATCATTTCAGATACAGGTCTCTAAGAGAGTTCCCTCTCTCAGGGGATGATCCCCACTATAAAAATTGTTAAGGTATCCTGTATGATTTGTGTACTCCGTCTTTCATTTCAGCTACAGGTCAAAACATGTAAGAATATTTTTAAGTGTCCCCTCTCTTGAGGCGACTTAAAAATTAGAAATATTTTTACAAGTCCTTATAAGGAGTTCCCTCTCTCTGGGGGTGATCCCCCACCATAAAAATTGTTGATATGCCTGAGTATTTCGGGGATGAAGCGCAGAGACATCGTAGCTGTAGGATGGGCCGGGAGCAATCGGTACATCGAAGCAGTGGGCGATCGACCAGAGCGCCGGAGGTGCTCTGGGAGATCGACCGTAGACTGTCTTTTAACGATACGTGCCAAAAAATCTAAAAATTCCGTCACCCCTATTCTCTTTTCTTCCTGTACTCTCTCTTCTCTTCTTACTTCTCCTATTCTCTCCTGCTGCTCTCTCGACTTGCGCTTCCACCATCTTCTAATTCCTATTTGTTGCTCCGTACTCTACTCTGCTTTTCAACTTATTCTAACATTCGATTTTTGTGGTATGCAACCCATATTTTTTAAATTTCTTATTATTTAATAAAACTGCTTTCTACAACTAAGATTCGAACCACGAATCTCTAGCATGCTAGCTTATGCACATGCCACCTGAGCCACCGAGCTCTCATACCAAAGGCTATTCGTTTCAGGTATAAATGTTGTTGTTTTTGTTACCTTTTTAAAAACAACATTTATGTACTTGTTATTCGCATTTCAAATATGTACTATCAAATGTGATCTTTATCTAATTCTGAAAACGACAAAAAGGAAACAGACAAATATACTCGCAAATGTAATATTAAAAGTATAGTTTATTGCATGCAATCACATGAGTACATGTTAAATTTTAAAATTATTTGTTAAAATCGAATTATTTTCAGAATATTTACTTATTCAACGGTTACCTCGCTTTTCCTTAACTTCTGATAAAATCATTTCGTCCATGAAACATCTTCACTAATTGTTTAATTCGTCGAATGTAAATGCTGCAGTTACCTACGTGCACTTTCTCGGTTAAAATGTTCCACACAGGAACAAACAGTGTTTAGTTTCACAAATTAATATCATTACGCAAATAAAATCACTGGGACGGACTTCTCTGACGTAAGATATCCGACGCCCGACGGCCAAAAACGTGCGCACATTGTAAAACTACACAATTCTGACTTCCACGCGCGATAATTCATTAACTGTACGCCGCACTAGTCCGTTAATTCTAAATGTTATCATTGCTGATCGATTCTAATTCAACTACCCACGTAAAATCACAAGAAACGCGCAAACTAGTTATGAAGATCAAATTGTGAACAAAACACGTGTGTACCGAACAACATCGCACGATCGACTAAACAAGGAAAAGATATTGCAGGCTACGTAAACAAAGCAGATATGAAAGTGATAAGAATTTCAATACTCACAATTGAATGCGGGCACGATTGTACACGGTGGTCACGTTCAACTCCTTGACATCTAAAAACAAACACAAATCAGATGCGCTGTGATTTGTGACTTTAATTCATTTTTAATTCGCTAAATTAACTAAAACTTTATAGCACCTAAATATAAAGATAACAAAAATAAGATATAGTATGGTATGATGCAGCGCTAACTAAGACGTCAAGATCGCGTGCAAACCCGAAAAATATTTTCATCGGTTTCCCGCCAGTTAATTACCTCACCCGACTAAAACGATTTTAAAGACGTTATCACGTCAAAAATTGATAGAGAATTCCAATACATACAATCCGATATAAGAACAGTCACTCTACAAAGTCGGGTTTAGTTGCAACACCCCTGAAACCAGCAAAATTAGTGTCTTTTAATATCTCTTAACCTAAAAGCTATAGCAACCAACGAATTGCAGATTATGAAAAATTGGAAAGTTCTCTATCAGATAAAAATATAAAATAAAAATCTTTCCTACAGTAACAGGACGAAAAACGCGACTAAAAGTGCTAAAAGTGACATTTTCAATTTTTGTCCATATTATTCAATCGTAATATCTCGTAAACTAAAAAAGATAAAACGTAACGAATCACAGGGTCTTAATCTACGGACTATTCTCTATAAGATAGGATAGTTAAAACGGAAATCTGAGTATAAAAATTTTAATTCTTAAGAAAAATTTGCCAAGGGGGTGTGCTTGATACTTTTTCGACGATTTTTGAAAATTAATATCTCTCTAACTAAAAGCGATATCAACCAACAAATCGCTGATCATAAAAGACTGGAAAATTCTCTATCAGATAGAAATATAAAATAAATATCTTTCCTACAGTAAAAGGTCGAAAAACGCGACTATAAGTGCTAAAAGTGACATTTTGCAATTTTGGCCCATTTTATTCAATCGCGAATATCTCGTAAACTAAAAGAGATAAATAAGATCTGATCGCAGCGTCTTAATCTACAGACCAATCTCTATCAGATAGGATAGTTAAAAGGGAAATCTGAGAGATGAAATTTTAATCTTAAGAAAAATTGCCAAGGGGGTGCTTGATACTTTTTTTCGACGATTTTCAAAAATTCATATCTCTTAAACTAAAAGAGATAGCTACTAACGAATTGTTGATTATGAAAGATTGGAAGATTTTCTATCAGACAAAAATATAAAATAATTATATTTCCTACAGTAAAAGTCGAAAAACGCGACTAAAAGTGCTAAAAAGTGACATTTTGCAATTTTTGCCCATTTTATTCAATCGCGAATATCTCGTAAACTAAAAGAGATAATTAAGATCTGATCGCAGCGTCTTAATCTACAGACCAATCTCTATCAGATAGGCTATTTAAAGTGGAAATCTGAGAGATGAAATTTTAAGTCTTAAGAAAAATTGCCAAGGGGGTGCTTGATACTTTTTTTCGACGATTTTCAAAAATTCATATCTCTTAAACTAAAAGAGATAGCTACTAACGAATTGTTGATTATGAAAGATTGGAAGATTCTCTATCAGACAAAAATATAAAATAATTATATTTCCTACAGTAAAAGGTCGAAAAACGCGACTAAAAGTGCTAAAAAGTGACATTTTGCAATTTTTGCCCATTTTATTCAATCGCGAATATCTCGTAAACTAAAAGAGATAATTAAGATCTGATCGCAGCGTCTTAATCTACAGACCAATCTCTATCAGATAGGCTATTTAAAGTGGAAATCTGAGAGATGAAATTTTAAGTCTTAAGAAAAATTGCCAAGGGGGTGCTTGATACTTTTTTTCGACGATTTTCAAATATTTATATCTCTTAAACTAAAAGAGATAGCAACCAAGGAATTGCTGATTATGATAGATTGGAAAATTCTCTATCAGATAAAAATATAAAATAATTATATTTCCTACAGTAAAAGGTCGAAAAACGCGACTAAAAGTGCTAAAAGTGACATTTTGCAATTTTGCCCATTTTATTCAATCGCGAATATCTCGTAAACTAAAAGAGATAAATAAGATCTGATCGCAGCGTCTTAATCTACAGACCAATCTCTATCAGATAGAATAGTTAAAACGGAAATCTGAGAGATAAAATTTTCAATCTTAAGAAAAAATTGCCAAGGGGGGGTGCTTGATACTTTTTTTCGACGATTTTCAAAAATTCATATCTCTTAAACTAAAAGAGATAGCTACTAACGAATTGTTGATTATGAAAGATTGGAAGATTCTCTATCAGACAAAAATATAAAATAATTATATTTCCTACAGTAAAAGGTCGAAAAACGCGACTAAAAGTGCTAAAAAGTGACATTTTGCAATTTTTGCCCATTTTATTCAATCGCGAATATCTCGTAAACTAAAAGAGATAATTAAGATCTGATCGCAGCGTCTTAATCTACAGACCAATCTCTATCAGATAGGCTATTTAAAGTGGAAATCTGAGAGATGAAATTTTAAGTCTTAAGAAAAAATTGCCAAGGGGGGGTGCTTGATACTTTTTTTCGACGATTTTTGAAAATTAATATCTCTTAAACTAAAAGCGATAGCAACCAACAAATTGTTGATTATGAAAGATTGGAAAATTCTCTATCAGATAAAAATATAAAATAATTATATTTCCTACAGTAAAAGGTCGAAAAACGCGACTAAAAGTGCTAAAAAGTGACATTTTGCAATTTTTGCCCATTTTATTCAATCGCGAATATCTCGTAAACTAAAAGAGATAAATAAGATCTGATCGCAGCGTCTTAATCTACAGACCAATCTCTATCAGATAGGCTATTTAAAGTGGAAATCTGAGAGATGAAATTTTAAGTCTTAAGAAAAAATTGCCAAGGGGGGGTGCTTGATACTTTTTTTCGACGATTTTCAAAAATTCATATCTCTTAAACTAAAAGAGATAGCTACTAACGAATTGTTGATTATGAAAGATTGGAAGATTCTCTATCAGACAAAAATATAAAATAATTATATTTCCTAGAGTAAAAGGTCGAAAAACGCGACTAAAAGTGCTAAAAAGTGACATTTTGCAATTTTTGCCCATTTTATTCAATCGCGAATATCTCGTAAACTAAAAGAGATAAATAGGATCTGATCGCAGCGTCTTAATCTACGGACTATTCCCTATAAGATAGGATAGTTAAAACGGAAATCTGAGAGATGAAATTTTAATTCTTAAGAAAAAATTGCCAAGGGGGTGCTTGATACTTTTTTCGACGATTTTTGAAAATTAATATCTCTAAACTAAAAGCGATATCAACCAACAAATTGCTGATCATAAAAGACTGGAAAATTCTCTATCAGATAGAAATATAAAATAAATATATTTCCTACAGTAAAAGGTCGAAAAACGCGACTATAAGTGCTAAAAGTGACATTTTTCAATTTTGGCCCATTTTATTCAATCGCGAATATCTCGTAAACTAAAAGAGATAAATAGGATCTGATCGCAGCGTCTTAATCTACGGACTATTCTCAATAGGATAGGATAGTTAAAACAGAAATCTGAGAGATGAAATTTTAATTCTTAAGAAAAATTGCCAAGGGGGTGCTTGATACTTTTTTCGACAATTTTGAAAATTAATATCTCTTTAACTAAAAGCGGTATCAACCAACAAATCGCTGAATATGAAAGACCGCAAATTTATCTATCAGATAGAAATATAAAATAATTATATTTCCTACAGTAAAAGGTCGAAAAACGCGACTATAAGTGCTAAAAGTGACATTTTTCAATTTTTGCTCATTTTATTCTATCGCGAATATCTCGTAAACTAAAAGAGATAAATAGGATATGATCGCAGCGTCTTAATCTACGGCCTATTCTCAATAGGATAGTTAAAACGGAAATCTGAGAGATGAAATTTTGAATCTTAAGAAAAAATTGCCAAGGGGTGCTTGATACTTTTTCGTGATAATTTTTATCGAGGATTTTCGATAATTAATATCTCTTAAACTAAAAGCTATGGCAACCAACGAATTGCTGATTAGGAAAGACTGGAACATTCTCTATCAGATAGAAATTTAAAATAATTATATTTCCTACAGTAAAAGGTCGAGAAAAGGGTCGAAAAGTGCTAAAAGTGACATTTTTCAATTTTTGTCCATTCTATTCAATCGCGAATATCTCGTAAACTAAAAGAGATAATTAGGATCTGATCACAGCGTCTTAATCTACGGACTATTCTCTATAAGATAAGCTGGTTAAAGCGGAAATCTGAGAGATGAAATTTTAATTGTTAAGAAAAATTGATGAATAATGAAAATAATTTAATTTCGTAGGGTGAAACATCCACCGATGGTGTATGTGTGCTGCATCATGTTTTTCGAGAATTTTCGATACGAGTCGCGAGAAATATGTTTGAAAGTACCAGATACCTGGACGAAATTGGCCACAATCCACGTATAGTGCATGCCATAACCGAGCAAGGAAGGACCCCATAATTTATTAGAAGAAAGTAAGAGGTGCGCAACACCGGCGCGTCGATGGCACGCGACGACTGCCCGCGACCTTGTACGCGAATTGGATTTGGCTCGATACATGCGATCAGAACTAAACTACGATGCGGCAACGTGCTGCGTGAGGGGTTTTCAACGACGACACATGAGAATGTAGAAATAAACAAAACAAGTCTATTTTATGATTTTTAGTTCATGCTATTGCCATCTATGAATGATACATGGTCCCGGAATATAGATTAAGTATAAAAATTAATAAAAAATTAAAATTTGATTAATGTAATTCTGATCTCTTATGCTGCCCGATTGTCAAATTTTACATCAAATATTTCAGTGATATTTAATTCGAACACGCATTTTTTCTCGTTATCAAACTACATTGTACACGGCAAACATTTTTTATAAATGATTTATAAAAAATGAATTATTTAACTTACCGGTTATGGAAGATTGGATATCGACGACAAGTTGGCGAACACTGAAATAAATGCGAAACAAAACATTAGTTACAGCGTTTCGTGCGATGTTAAAATAAATTTGATTTCCGTCGGAACCCAAATTTTGAATTAAAATTCTTGTTATTCGCATAATAATCATAGGAATGACAATATTTACCTGGTAGCAGAATGATCCATGCTCCTCTGTTGATGACAAATATTTTTTTCACAAGTCAATTAATTGATAAGCGTTCACAATATATCGCAGGTCGGCGCCCGACGACAACCGACTCACAAACACGTTAATAAATTAAACGCACAAAATTTAGAATTACGAAGATTACACACGCGATAAATAGCTGATAAAAGATCAAATACGTTTATTAACACTAATTATCACCGGCAATTTAGAAAATATAACACGTTGTACCGAACATGCAACAACGAATAACACAAGCCGAAAGTGTGGAATGTGTGCTCGTCGTTATCGCACCGATTGAACAAAACAAAATTCACTAGCTGGAATATTTCGAGGTAAATCTACATCGTTGCGCCATCTGAGGACACTTTATAGTACCTCACAAAACAACAAAGTGTTTCAAACAATGTGGCGCGCATGTGTCAGTGCAGAATTGTCTATGAGGCAGTCAGTGAGTGGTCACGCACTTAAATAGAAGCGTCCGTGTGACACACGTACACGAAATTGTGCAAGCACCACCCAATCTAACTGAATAGCAGTTTTGTACACAAATCCAATAAGTCAAACCTAGATGAGGCATAATATTCAAATTAACAAGTGTTTATTGAATATTGAAGAATATATGAATTATTTATTTATCCTTCAATACATAAATATTATATAATCAACGGAAATTTGGCGATTTTCGACAGTGAATATCTCCGAAACTAAAAGAGATAGCAACTAGAAAATTATAGATTATGGAAGATGGGAAAATTCTCTATCAGATGAAAACTATTAAACTAATTTAATTGAATGGGGTAAAAGGCCTAAAAACGCTACTGAAAGTGTAAAATTTGGGCCATAGCGAGTTATGGTGTTGAACCTCTAAAACAAGCAAAAATCAATGCTTCAAAGTATGGTTGTTTGTTGTTGAAATACACTAATTTCTTGCATAGAGTAATGAGTAACCTACAACATTGTCTAAACAAATACCCATTTATAAATCAGAAAAGTAAATATTAAATTTATGAGCCCTAATATGCTAACAAATGCCTACAAAGTAACAAGCTTCTAGTTGAATCACAAGTGCCGCCAGTTATATTTATTGAAATGTTTGAAAACTTAAGATTAACAATGTACAAGATAATATTCTTCACTGGAGATTTGTCCATAAAATAAATGAATCAACATTCTCAACATTCAATTAAAGCTGATTACGCAATTATCACCAGAGCGACATAAACTAAAATACAAATAAATACGTATACAAATATTTAACATTTCCACAAAAGTTGGACCATTTTATAATAACGTCTTAAGCAATTATGGCATTTTGCTAACAATCCAGGGCAGTCTCCCAGTCTTTTTAAAGAAATAATAATCGTAGACCAGTTTACCCAAAACAAGAACAATCAAAGATGCAAGAATAATGTTCACTAGATCTAATGGTTTAATGGCGTAATCATTTGCTTGCCGACATATAGAATTTCTGGTAAGACTCACAATCTGCAAAATAAATCATCAAAAATTTAGTGGCGGCAGCTGGCTTTTTGAAATAATGTATTGCCTTACAGGAAGTAACGAATTTTCATCACCCACCGCAAAACGACATCGCACTTCATGCAAATCTTTAATCTGTGGAGCATACTTCATCAGCATCTCTTGAAAGTGTGGTGTGTAAGCACAATCGCATCGCCACGGATTATCAGCCAGGTAGAATAATACCGCATCAGGCATATTTTCGTTCCTGGAGAGTGCATTATCAAGAGCGTACGTAGGTAGCTGTAAATTACATCAGATTAATTGAATATTTGGTACGTTTACATTCCGTGTTGATTACCACTTCAATGGATGGTTAATCAACCTTAAATTCAAGAATGATTTACAGGTCATTACGCGCTTTTACACCAAACACGCAAAACTTAATTTCCCATGAAATTAACCTTTCAAATAGGTGATTCTTATAGTTAATCACTATTAATTAAATTTCATGTGGCAAATAATCATAATGTGCGACGTACCTGTACCAATTTGTTGGATCTCAAAGACAATACATTAAACCGCTGCAACCAGTCACCACCTTCTAAGATAGCAATGCTGGCTATATTATTATGATCCAAATAAAGCTCTAGCAGGTCTTTGTAAGACCTATTCGTCACAATAGGTGAAAGATCACTGATGGAGTTGTTCTCCAAATGCAAAATTTTCGTCAAATTAGGAAGATGTCTGGGAAGTTGTAGAAGTCCTTGATTCAGACACTTCACTGCTATTATAGGATTTAAGACATCTTCAAAGTCCCGTACAATGTTGAATAGTTCGCAATCGCAATATCTTGGACATTCTGACATTATATCCTGAAAAATTTTCAATTTTTATAAAATTTTTCACCAATTTATTTCAAATATCTACCTGTTGGAATTTGCTGATATGAAATACTGGTTTACCATTGAACGGATCGTCACAATCCACTGTTTCTAAATCTCTGATTAAAGACGTGGTTATATTTCGGGTCCACATGAGATTTTCAGGACGACAGTTCCATTTATTATCTGCAATGATATTTGATAATTAAAATAATGTGCATCTCTGTTTGCTTTTAGAGTTCTAAATTTTCTCAGTTGTTATCACTCATGCAGTTACTTTCACACATGCGACAAATCGATTTTCAATATTTCGCGCCTCACTATAATTAATTACGAGGCGTGAAATTTACTAAATTGGTGTTATGCAGTTGGCCTTATAAATACGCGGCTCATTTAAGACTCAACATCATAAAGTGTGCTTCAATTGATAAGAGTCATGGCCAACTGTACATATTTAAACCACGCCATTTATTACACCAGAATTTCATATTAACTTGATTTCAGGTATTTTCTTGACAATTATCGCAGGTTTGTTGAGCGCAAGCTTAACAGATGTTCTTTCCTTGCCGCCTCCATATAATTCAAACGAGGTGCCTCATTACTATAAGGCGGTTGACGCCGATCCGTTTGAAGTGGTGGACTCTTATTACCTCTACATACGAAATTTGGAAGAAATAGACGTCATTTTGGATCAATTAGAAGACAGTTTCAAGGATCTCCAAATTCAAAATATAAGGAAATGGTTTGAGAGTGAATTTGATACGGTTGGATTTATCTTGCGCATGCCGGTCATCAAGGGCCAGGGTAAATTATTTATCAAAATTTTATAAATCCATAGATATTGAGTTGACTTTTCAGAACATCGTTACGCGCCAATACTGGAACGGTATGGCTCGGCTGCAGTACTTCCTAAACCGTCAATACCTGTTGTACCACAAGTAATCGTTGCAGAACCTTCAAAACCAACAATTTATCACAGCGAAGACGACGATGTGAAATTGGTGTCAACTGTTCCACCAGCTGATTCTTTTCGTGTTATTAATCATAACATCCCGCCAACGGAACCACTGCATCTCCGAGAAGATGACGAATTGGAAGAGTCAAATATTGAGCCGGCCCTCGTTCCATCTGATGTGACAATTTCTGAAACTCAAGCATCTATTCAGCCAGAAACAGTCCAAACTCCTATTTACCCAAGATACGAAGAAGTGGCTGTTCCCATCGGTTACGCTCAACATTCCCAGGTTCCACAAGTTTCGCCATCGGTAATAAAATTTCCTGTGGCCGAGCGTGAAATTGTCCTACCAACAGCTAGGCCAGTATCCCTCAAACCAAGAACCGTTATTGTGGAAAACGATGATGTTGAACACGCCGCTACAGCACCGCTGCTTGCAAGCCCAATTGAAGCAAAACCTGATAAAGCTCTTGGGGCAGATTGGTCCATCATCAACCCAAACTCGCCAAAGTATTCGATGATTCAATTGTACAAGCTTTTTCCTCATATTGCTAAGATGATTGGTTACATGAACGCTCAAGATTGCAAGGCGCGTGAGCTCACGGATACAGACTTTCCAGAAAATGTCAGTTTTCAAAAATGGCTGACTGTTTTACATGTACTCGAAGCTAACCACGTTGAGGGATAAAGAAACAAGCGAATTATCCTAACAAATATTGTTTATCAATCATTCAGCAATTTGAAATAATAAAACAATAATTGCAGATTATTACTAGAGTTGTATAATGTAACCTCATAAAAGTTTGAAAAAAAAGGAACAAGTCAAATGTTCCAAGTGTAATGTTCTTCTAACTGCACAATAATTGATTGTTGATATATGCATAATTACTGATATAATAACGCTTGAATTTATGAACCCAAGGCGCTTATTATTACAATAATTATATCACGTTTTATTGTTTTTTTTTGTTGCTGAATAAAAGTAGCATACTTACTGGATAAATAAACATCCTTGAGTTGGAGCCCCGGATACTGGGTGAATTGATTGGGCAGGCGATCAAACGAGTTGTTGCGCAAATCCAAGACATGCAATTGACTCATATTGTGCAGCAGGTTGTCGGCAACGCGCTTTAACGTCGAATTATTTATCCGCAACAACTAGCAGTGTGATCAAATCATTAGTTGCACAATAGACAAACCACAAACTTAATTATCACCTACGTTGATATGATTATATCTGTTTGGTCCAATGAGATAGGATAACTTGCTGTCGAAAATAATAACTTGGCGAACGTTTGGTAACTTCTTGATGACATGCTTCAGGTAAAATGTTGCGTTGTCGTATTTACACAGATGAATTGCGTGCACATCAATCGAAAACTCGACGTCGATTACCCGCCTGCAGATGATTTCGTTGTGTGTCTCATTTTGAATGTGTGACTGTAATCTTTGGCATCCTTCCGTTTCGGGACAATTATGTTGGTTTGTTGAGGTGATCACAATGCAAATAAATCTGAAATAAATCAATTTGCACCAAATTGTTTAAAACTTAATCAGAACCAGTTTTTGTATAATGTGTCATACAATTAAGTAGAATTGATGAATTGAGTGTACTTTTATGGATTTATGGCATGTTGAAATCATTGGCAAACTCAGCCGCAGGTGGATTCAATCTGCGCTGTCACGAAAATCGCAACATCATTAATTACATTACAAAAGGAGATGGATCTTGGAAGTTGAATGGCAATGTTGCACAAGCAAAGGTCGCTGTCGACCAGCATCAAACAATAAACTCGCAACATTTCTCTTCTCCCATGCGATTACCTCGAGGGTCGCGTAGCTAATTACAGAATTACAGAAGGTACGAAACGTGCGTTCGCAACAAAATCACGCCGTGCGACCTTTATATGCGTACGAAATGAAATGTGGTCGGTTATATTTTTCGGCAAACACGACCGCTCACCAGCCCGCCAGATACTCTGACGAGAGTGGTTCACGTGCACGTTTTATTTTTCAATTTTATTACGATTATTGTGCGCGCGGATTTGTTTAAATTAAAGCCGAAGCTAAATAAATGTGACCTACATTTTGGGCGTGAAGCATATATTTTTATGAAGCGATTGCGCCACGACGGTCGATCGGACTCACGCATACACGCGTCAAGCGCGGAATAATTAGCATAACGATGATAAATAATTAAACAAAACAGAAAATAGATAGATAGCTGTGCGATACCGCTGGGAACCTGTCGCGATTCATCGTGTTGACCGTCGGACGAAGTGCTGTCGGAATGTTTGTGTGCTGGAAAAGTACAATTAAGATTTTTGAACTGCTCATGCCACTCTATAATACCCTTGCTCCGGTTACGCCAGCTCGAGTGCAAACCGTTCCAAAAAACTACACTTTGTCTGATCGCACGTTTTTTTCTCTCTCGCAATTCGCAAGTAATCAATAATACATATTAGCAAACTTTAAAAGTTTTAAAAGCAACAGCGTTTTTCTTGACTTTATTTCACTCACGAGTTTAACTTACAAAGACTTCCTCTCGACTGAGTCGTGCAGTAAATGTAAGCTTTCATTAATAATTAAATCTTTATAAACAGTCTGGCTGCTGCGCTTGTTCAAAACTGTGCTCGTTCCAATTTGGAGCGTTCCAGGGAATTGCAGCATTTGCGTGCGCTTGGTAAATGTTAAACTAAGTTCTAAAGAGAGATTGCAGCCATTCAAAACTATCTTAGTGAAATAACTTATGAAATTTCGAATATACCGTTGATGTTTCCTTGAAGTACGTAATATTAGTACTGCTTTAAGCGGTTACATGTTGACAACGTTGGCAATGATAGTGCCATTGCCAATAATACAAATACATTTAACACCATTAACTTCATTAGCACAAAAAAGTGTAGAAGTGCTAATCAGACACAACTCCGAAGCTGTGAGTTAATTAAGTTACAAGTTTCTGTTTACTTTTGTTTTATATATGAAAATCATTAAAATACTACGTTATAAACAGGTATAGCACTCTTCATTTGTATATATTGCAATTTTCTTATGCAATTAAACTTTATAATTTTTATCAGAATATTGCTTTAATTAGAAACTAGTGAAACACAATTTTAACTTAGTTGAAAACTGCATGCTCAATTTAATGTATCCCTGAACTAAGCGAAACAATGCACATACAATAAACAAGTTTTTGTTGTTTAGATAAAAACACAATAACAAATACTTACAAGAACAAGAAACTTTCACAATGAAATTTGATACGAGGCATTTTAAAATATCACAAAAATTATATTATACGAATTAACTAAGTGAATATTGTCTTTTAAAATTTATAAATAATATTAATTAACGTATTGCACACATAATACACCGACGTTTCAAGATTGTTATCTTGTAAGTTGTGTCTTTGATATTGGCTTTTAGTTTGTTATTATTTTTTAATTGATGAAACGAACGCGAGCACATAAAACGCTAATGAGTAATAAATTTCGCGCGCGGCATGCAAATACGTCGCGCACGTTTGCAAACTGTCGGACGACTGACGATGGCAGCAAGAGGCGCATCGCAGCAACGTGGGCTAGAGTCGCTCCCGCGGAGCATTCCGGTTCGCCTGTTCGTATCATCCAACACAAAGCGAAATGGAGCAGTCCTGGAGACTATTCCTGTACTTGGAATTTCAACTACGCGCTCTACTGCCTTCAAGACATTACATTTTTTATCAAACGCCTACATAATAATCATACCTGTTGTTGTTCCTGAATGCTGAATAAAAATAATGCGGTGTAAAGCACAATTGAAACAAATCGAAACACTTTAAATACCAAAGAGAGTCCTTGTGACTTCATACATAACCAGCCACAACCCAGCAGTAACGTAGCACACCCCCACCATCTTTTGCGGGTCGGGCGCGTTTTATCTCAGCGGTCTCGGGTCTTCTTCAGTTGAACTGAACTCAAGTGATGCTCCGTAATACATCTGTCAATTAGTTTGAATAAGCGAGACTAAAGAACAGCAATTCATTTATAAATAGAAGTTATCCATACAAGTAAAACACGGTGTCTTTTTTTATAAAATATCTAAAAAAACGGTAGAATGCTTTGTTTACGATTTAGAACCATCGGTAATCTCTTTAATTGTAGCACTGTTGTTTTCAGGTGCTGCAAATCTGGCTTTCATTGGTTTGGCATCGACGATTGTGGGTTCCCACATATTGCCACTGTCCGCAAACAAAGCTCTTAGGCATTCTTCAATCAATTGCACAGTGTAATGTGGAGCTGTTGAAATTCTTAAACCAAAATTATAAATATTAAATCTGATAGAATTGTAATATCAAAATAGTATTTACTTGTAGTAAGCATCTAATCCTTGACAACATAACTTAATCCCCGATTGGACATCTTTCATATCAATACACTTAGTTGCCAAATCAAGAATTCCCTCCACCCTATTGAATTCTTCGCTCATAGCTTTAAAGTTGACTTGATTCTTGCAACGTGGACATTTCCCATCGTTCACTTTCATTGGTAATGTGAACATGTAATCGCAAGAAGTCTCCTTCAAAGTTTCGCCTTCCTTTCGATCACTATTGTTCTTTCTTTCATTCTCCTTTCTTTTCAATACGCTGGATTCCGAGTATGGGCACTTCAAACGTGAATCGAGTTTTTCCAAGCCTTCCAATAGCGGCCAATTCTGTGTGCATGCCGTGCACTTGCACTCGAACCAGTAGCGCCCTTTCAAGTACTTTTGGCGCTCCTTGAGATTCTTGCGCGAGTAATTCGGGCCGTAGTTGTCGGAGATTTCTTGACCCGTTTTGATTGGACGGCAAGTTCGCAGAACAATGTATTTTCCAACAAAATGCCTTGCACATTTATAAACCACTCAAAATGATTATAAAAAGCAAGAAATCCGGATTCAAAGTTTGCACTTACCTGGTGACTGCGGGACTGCAATCGTGATTAAATAAAGCAGCGGAAGCATAAACTGCTACACCAATATAATTGGCTGCTCCGAGCAATCGATTTTCCGACGTAATTTTGGTTTCGTAAATTTCATGCGCATTAAATTGCAACATTTGCAAATTGTACAGTAACAATTCACCGATTTTCATCTGCGTTTCATTTGGGATCACTGCGAATGTATTTAATTTAAAAATAATTTCTTTTACTTTTGATTCAACGTACCCAAATCTGCTTCTTTCCCAAAATATCCACATTTCTGTAGGCATCTCAATAGAAACGCGGCCATGACACTCCTTTGTAGGAAGTCCGCCGGATTTCGAAACTCGCTCAATGTACACAAGTTGTAAACGCCCTTTGCTTTTCCTTCTTTCATCTCCTTATGCCTTTCAAGTAGGTAGTCCAAAGGTTTTTGTGTAATCATTCGCAGAGCAACATGAGCTAAAATACTCATCCCTGATCCAATGAGTAAATCCACAAAGTGACACTCGTGTTTGTGATAGGTGCTCAAAGCTTTGTCGCGGCATGTGACTCCACAAAATGCCACTGAAGAGCAATCATAACAACCGAGAGGAGCTTCCAATCTTCAGCATACAAAATCAATAATTATTACTGCGCAACACAAAACACTTAACAGTTTACCTGTCATAGCAATGATGACAATGTGTACCAAAATTTTCAGGCAGTAAACAAGAGGCGTAAGCATCTTCTTGTATAATCAACTCTCCAGTGGGAATATACTCCTTTGCAACAATAAAACGTCCCTTATTAGGAGCACTTTTTACTTCCAGTTTACGACTTCCTCCAGGCAGCAACACGTTCTCTTCTAGGTAACTTAAGCATCTTCTTGGGTTAATAAGACTACCTGCGTCTTTGTAAGTCTTTCTGAGACTGTCTTCTAAAAGAATCCTGCTGCTTTCGTTGTTATTGAGTAGTTTGAGAACTAATTGTTTAGAAACTTGACATTTTTTGTCTTCGTTTAGAGCTTTGTAGCAAATTGCCATACGCCAAAAAGCTTCCGCTTTCTGCGCAGCTGGTAGACCTTCCTTCATCGCCACTTGAACGTCTTGTAGTGCAAGATTATACTTATTAAGCCGCATGAGAACATCACTCCTTGCCCAGAGAGCTAAACAAAGAGATAGACCGCCGTCCATCTGCGGAAACTCTCCAGTTTTCGGAGCTCGTAAAACAGCTTGACAAAGAAGCAGTAAAGTTTTCTGAAGTTGATCATTATTGAACGCTTGTTGAGCCTCAAATCTCCTGGCCAAGGATACTTCTGCTGATTTCTTCCGGTAAATTTCTTGGACGTGCGATAAAGTCGTTAAAACAATGTCTTTTAGCTAATAAATCCATTAAAATTTCATTTTTAATTAGCTGTGACATAATTAACACAAAACTTACTTTGGGATCACTATATAAAATCGAAATTCTATCAGAGTTAGTCTTCAGTTTACTGAAAACACCGCGAATCCAATCACGTCCGGCAGCGTCCTGCACAGCATCGGCAAACTGCATGAAGAATCCCTTTGAATTGGTTTGAAGGGTTTTCTCACTGCATATTTGCATGTACCTTTGAATATCACTCATTTTAGCGCGATTTACACGTGGGTTTCGTGGTACTTTGATACCGGTAGATAGACGACTAGCACGTGCAAGTAGTTCACTTATTTATATTTCTACAACTATGCACTGCTAAAAATAGGCTGACTATTTTAGCCATGGTGCAGAGGCTAGTAGTACTCAACTTCGCATTCAAGTTCGAACAATTCAAAATTTGGTTGGTAATATTAAATTGTTCAATAACAAATTGTTATAATTGAAACACTTGAAATTGATCAATTATAAATTTTAACAAGATACTTTTACACTTACTTTTTACTTTTCATTTTACTTTTCCAGTTTTACAAATATTGACAGTTGAAAATGCAGATTAGGCAAAACAAGTTACAAATAATAAAATAAATAAATTTGTTGTGTAATTATGAAGCGTATTTTGCATCAATTATTGATATTATTTCAAACTCCTGCAACATAAAAGCTACCCTTTGAAATGCATTGGCAGTCTGCAGGAATTTCAAACTAATTCCAATCGATGCCAACAGAGCGCGCTACCATGCCTAGCAAAGAATTAAATACATCAGCTGACCTTTGTTTTGCCTCCAGTTTAGTCTCGAACAGTTCTCCGGGCCCCTTGTAAATTTCTAGTTGTTTGTGCGTTTACGGGATGTGTGCGGTGCGTAGAAAAACATCCCAGCAACAAACGTAACGAAGAAGACTGGATCAGTTCACAGCTATGGAACCAAACAACGAACCTACCTCCTCCGACAATGAACCGTCGACTTCCAACAAAGATCCCTTAGATATCCTCTTACAATCCATGGAGTTCCTGGAGCAATACGCCGACAGCGTGGTGTCTTACTCGTCGAGATACAACAGTACGTACAGCTTTTCGTATTCACCCGACAATCTCACTGGAAAGGCAAGGAAATATCCGCAGTACGGTGATTTTGCTGATACATTCATGCTTGTGAGTTATTTGAGGTTAATTCAATTAGACAATCTAGCTTACAAACAGAATTATTGCATTACATGCATTACAAAAGAGGACGTACGGCAAATGGTGGCGGGAGTCCGAAGCGATCCAACCTAACTACATGCCCCAAGACTCTTGGGAGATTGAATCTGAGGATTTTGTTGTTGTTAAATATGAGTTCCCAGTTGTCCCTACAAAAGTGATCATTTATGAGACCTACAATCCAGGCGCGGTTGTCCGGTTGTATGGTCGACTTACAGGGTGCGATTGGCATCTGCTGTATGAGACTTATCCTGAGAGACCTGAGACCATTCCAAAAAACGCCGCCAGGTGTTTTACGCCGCCTCTGCGGAGGATTAAGAAGATTATTAAGTGAGATTTCTTCATTTTATCAATTGAACCTCTTCATGTTGAATGGGGAATTGGCCAAGGGCAAGCATCCTAAAAAAAAAAACGAAAAATAAAGTCTTAAATGTGTGTTGAATATATTACTTCATCCCGGGTTCCCTTATTGTTGAAATTAATCTTAGATTAATTTAGTTTTCCTAAACTTTGCACAATTTTTAATAGTGCGGCAATTGCCCCTTGAACATGAATTGGTTCATGTGAAATCTTTGCACCAAACTTGCTAACGTCAACGAACTGTCATAGTGAATTGAGAATTGAATTAAATCAATCACTTCTGACCAACTGCACCGGGTTGGACGCGGTCCTTTTGGCAGGCTATAGACCACTATCCAAAATTCAATTGTATTTACTCACCGACGGTCTTGAAAAAACGCCCGGTCCAAATTTAAAAAGTAAACAATCTTGCACCGATTTATCAATGGCGGAAGGACAAGTTAATTATTTCGAAATGTTACCGGTAAGTATTCAGATGACCTGGAAAATTTATAAGCGATGGTGCAGTGCGTATTGTTTGCAGTACGAAATCATTCTACACATCTTCAAATTTCTGGATCTGAAATCACTTTTCCGTTGCGCGATCGTCAATCAGATGTTCTACCAAGTGACACTGGACCCTACCATCTACAAAGCCCTCGCGCTGAAGAAGTACTGGATGAAGGTGGATAACAAAACGCTGAAATTTTTCCAGCGGCGCTGCACCATGCTCAAGAAGATTGATCTGAGTTGGTGCGGCAACAATTGCATGATTACGGAGGATTTCTTTCAGGAGTAAGTCGAACTTTTCTGTGTTAATCTAGAGCGGTTTGATGTTAATGATGCTTCAGCTTCCTGCGTACTTCCGGCACACAATTGACACACCTGTCTGTGGGAAGCTGTGACTTTATCCGGAATGTTTCTCTGGGTGCGATGGCCAAGTGTCCGCATCTGGTCGATCTGCGTCTGAACAATTGCCAGCCCAGTTCGTGGACGTTCACACTACTCAGCGAACTGCAAAAGTTACAATCGCTCGACCTGTGCGGTACAAACATCTGCAGCGATTCGCTGATAAAAATTCTTAAAGCAAATCCACATCTGAGACATCTAATTATCGGTAAATTACATGCGATGTCATCTATCAAGTTTGAAATCGTAACTTTTTTATTGGTACAATAGATCATTGCCAAAATTTATCGCAAGTCGACGACATATTCGAGACGCTATCGAACTACAATCCAAAGCTGGTCGCGTTGAGTGCCTGGAAAGTGCGGACGGCAACACCTCGCGGTATTCAATTCTTATCGCGCTGCCATCAGTTGCGCGAGCTGGACGTCGGCTGGGTGCTGGTCCTCGCCGAAACGTCGAACTGTCTGGAAAGAATCGCGCATGGGTGTAAAGATCTACGACGATTGATCATCTCCAACTGGCGCAACCTAACTGATCATGAGCTATTGCCCATAATCACAACTTGCAAGAATTTACACCAGCTCGATTTGCTGGGCATACGAAATATCTCGCCGGAATTAGTGGGTTATGCGTTGGCGTCATTACCTCATCTCAAACTGCTTGATATATCATTCTGTTCGAAGATTACTATGGATGAGGTAACAATGTGCGTTTTGTGTGCTCTTCGGTGTTATTGATACATTTCTGATTACTAGGTCATGCTGTGGTCACGGTTGTATCCGATGGTGATTATTCTCCGACATCTTGACGACGGCTTTATTTACTAAACATGATTGATATATCGGTGCAGAAACAAGATTGTACAATACCTCTTAAAGCAAATATTTATCTTTCTTGCAAATTTTGTGCGTTCCTTCCTCCTTTGTGCTCTTCGATTTTGAATTTTTTTCACGGCAAAGTTTTGCGTTTGGCGTAAATCATCACGATGTGTTATATTTGCACACACGTGTCGCGGCGTCGATTGCCAACATGTGCGACGATGGCAATACTGAAATGAAATATTTCCGCGCGAACTTTCGCGCCGCCGTCGAAGGCAAATGTGCGTTCGGTCGCGCTTTGTTCCCGCGCGATTGATTTATCGCCGGGCGTCTTCGGCGTCTCCTTCGAACTATCAAATTTCGGAGATTATCATATATCACCGGGTGGGTGCGCGCGCGCGGACGCCGGCAATTTTACATTTTTCATAGTTTCTAATAAATCCTTCAGCGATTCGAGGGTTTTCATCAAAAGTTTTTTTTACGGTTGGCGCGCGCGCGCGCGAACGTTATTCATGCGGCGACATCGGTCAATCGCCGATAAAAGCATCCCTGCCATCGGGAGCAATAACAACAGAACGGCCTCGGATTCTAATAAAATATGATTATTTGATGGAGGCAATCCGGAAATTTATATTTATGACGCACACGAATTCGGAATGCTGCGTTTGAGCACAATACTCATGCATGCCCTGCAGTTATCTGCTTGATTATTTATTATTATTTGATCATTTTGTTAATTAATTATTTTGATTGCCTGCCGGCAATGTTATAATTATTTCATGATTAATTTCGAGTGTGCACAAAGTAAATCATTCGTCAGTATTGTAATTATATGCTTGTTTCTCTTTCCGCTTTGAATGTTGTTGATTTTCTCATGCATGCTGGTGATTTTCTTGTCGGCCGGGGTCATTTTTTATCATTTAAGTATCGCAATGACATAAAACGTATCGGCATCCCTGCATGCACCTATAAAAATCAAAATAAAAAGCAATATAAAATCAAGACGAGAGAGGCATATGCACGCCTCGTACAAAACAAACATCTGAGCCTCGGCAGAAGGGACACGCGGAACGCGTTTTTCCGCGATTCCGTATTCAGGCGGCGTGCACGCATCGGTTCAAAGTAAGAAGGATATCGAAGGATATCCGCCGATCGGATACACAAACGACAAACGCCGCAGCGTCATAACCGCGCGTATCGGAAAGCAATATTTATCCGATAGCATATCTGCATCGCATAAATATCTAATGCAATATTTAAACCGTGGAGTCTTGCATACTCGATGGACGTTTATTATTTAAACGATTTGCCCCCGCACGACGATGTGCATGGTGCGGCGAACAATATGCCGATTCTAATTTGCGAAAGCTGCCGCCACACATTGAGATATTGAAGTTTTTCCCCGGCACCGGGAAAAAGTTTTCGCCTATCGATGCGCAATATGTTCATGTTCATGTTCGGTTGTTGGAAAAAGGTCCAACGAAAGTCGGCGAAAGTGAGCCGTGAGTTATAAGCGCGCGGTGGATGTGACCCGAGGGGGGTCAATGAGCACACCATGCGGCGCCCTGCAAGGCCTGCAGCACCGGCAGCGGCAGCGAATATTGTTTAGTTGTTCGGCAATCGTTGCGATATTAAGGGGCCGCCCGATGATTTACAACTTTCCTATATAAGTTTCGGCGCCGATGTCTTCGCGCGTTATTCTTTATTGTTTCATCGAGGACCCACGGGCGGAGGCGGCGGTGGCATTAGGCGCGGCACATTTTTTCGACACGTCCCAACGCCCGTTAGCGGTACACGACTGCACGCAATTTGCAAATGACGAATGCGAGCACGCTGCGTGACTCGGGGGGCGGCGGGTGGCGGGCACGTCGCGCCGCCAGATATAAAGTTGTCACGTCTCGACGCGACCTCGCCGCCTGCCGTTGCGGCTACGCCGGCGTTTTCCGGCAATATGTTCGAGCGGCATCGTCGTCGTCGTCGTCGTCGTGAATATTCTCCGACGTCGGTGGCGGCGACTAGTCCTCGGGGAGCGCAACCCAACCGGCGTAACTAACTGGCTGTCGGCCCGCGCGCCCCGCCTGAGTGACGTGCACAAACACGACCGCATCCTCGCCGCACCGCCGTGTCACAATTTCACGACGTGACGGCGGCACGCGGAACGGAACAGAAAGGGAAAGCGCTTTCCGCCACTACCGCCGCCGTCCCTCCCCCGCATTGCATACACTCGAAAATATCAAAACATTAAGCGGCAGCAACTTCAACTTCAGCGACCGTGCCGCTGTGCGGCGAAGTGGTGGACGGTTAATTTTTCCAATTAGCCGCCACCATTAATCTTAAAACCGCCGGTGATTTTTCATCGGGCGGCCGTTCCGCTCCCCCTCGCAATGCACTCACCCCCAAAACCCCGCCACCACCGGTCGCACTGCACGATAATCAATCGTTAAATGCACTCTTGTACCTACATAAATAATAAAATGCAGAAGAAGAGAGAAAAAACGTAACGTCTCGGCATAAACGAAAAAATATTCGCACGTTAGCAGCACCGAACACACTTCACTTATAAATGACAAGTTAACAAGATTTTTACACTCGAGACTTCGCCGTCATCGCTTCTTTTTCACATCCGGCGGGCGCAAATTTTCGTTCGTCGCGCCTTTTTATTTATTTATTTGCACGGCGAGGTTGTAAGGTGTAGTTTAACCGCCGCCCGCCGGCAAAGACAGAGTCATCGCGTCGTTATTACGACATTATATCGCGCGCGCACGCCGACGAAGAAAAAAATGTAAATTCGCGGCGCGTCGTACTCACGTGCGCGCCCAAAATCCTCCAGATGATGTAATTTAAGCAATATATGAAGATTTGTAGCGCATTTTCGCGAACGCGTTACGTGCTCTTTTTTATTGCACGCAATTTGCACTTTGTCTGCGCGCCGCCGCCGCCGCCGAGCGCACGTGTGCACCGCTGTGAGTTATTATAATTTCGCGTTTCAACGTTTCGCCGGCATAATCGCATGATGCGCTGAATAAAACAAAACGGCCGACAATCTGGCGGCGCAATGATGGCATCCATACGGTCCGATGTTCGCCGAAATTGCATTATAAATCTATCGACGTGGAGAAGATGCTGGGGTTAAACGCGTCCCCGACCATATAAGGTGCACTTTTCAACGTCGCGAGAAAGAGATATTGCCGGCTGTTATCACTTCGATATATCGCGCTTGGCGTAATAGTATTCTTCGCTGCGAATGCTGCGCGCCGAGCATGGAAAAAATGGCGGGCCGAAAAGAATGGCAGCCAATGAGCGTTATCAGATGGGCATTTTCCATTACCTGATTTCCAACTTATACATTATCGCCTCGACGTTCGACAGGATGTGGATGTGGATGCGGATGTGGACGTGGATACACAGTGGTCGTTTATTCGGCGTGTTATCTTGAAGACGGATGGTCCTGCAGCGCGCACCTACGCGCCCGTCACCCGCGCCAACTTTTAAATTCAATCACAACTTATTCCAGCAACTGCTACCTTTGGCCCTCCACGACTTTTTAATGCATCCTGCAACGCTCACAACAAACAACGCGTCGATTCGCTTTCTGATACACTGCCAGAATTGTCAAGACGACGGCAAACAATCAAAGTCCCCAGTGGTTTCAGCACTTTGCTCATGTTTTCCTCCACTTCAAGTCAAGTCCATCCACGTAATCTTTTTTAGTCCTACGCTTCTTGTCGTTCTTCGTTTTGTTCTTCTTTTTTTTCAGTAGTAGCTGGAAACAGTAGAACTCGACCAGAACCGAAAATGACTGACAGGTTGATAGTTGCTTTGCTGGCGTGTAACTTATAGGTGTAACTCGCGGCGGCGATATGATAGAACGTCCGCAGGCGGCTCGGGGGAGAGCGTCGGATAGTTGACCCTTAGAGACGGCCCTAAGTGGCTCGGCGTTCGTCACGCGGACGTGACGTTTCCTGCCATCCGGCTTGCCAGCGTCTGATAACATGCAATGTGATGTGCAATCCAATGCAATACTCGCGCATGAAATATTCAAATGTTTTTTCTTCGTGTATGTTTTACATTCGTTCTGCCCTTGAATACTTACCCTCAATCTATATCTCCATGGGGGAAAGTCTCATATGTTGATAACAGATAACAAAAGTCACCTGAGACGTTTTTGTTCTTAGCTGAGGCAAAGATTACAACACAAGTTTGATATGAAGGTAGGTACTAATCCAGAAAATTTTAATATTGCTTAAAAGTTGTTTGGTGGTTGTTATTTATTTTTTGGCGGAAAATTTCCAAGCCACCTAAGACGAAAATCCGTCACGAAGTAAAAGTCACATTATTATCGTGAGGTTGCCGGCACGCACCCGCCGGCGAAACTACTCACCGCCACCGGGGGCGTGCGGAACGCGCCGTTATGGTAAACAGTTTACCGGATGATCCCGCGCCACCGAAACCCGCCGCAGCAAACTTCTAATACTTCTCAAGAGGGCTTAGCCAAGTAGACTGCAAACTGCAGGAGCGCGACGTGCCAGCGTGTGCGTCTTCTCTCACCTCGCCGGGGACGGCGTGGCTGCTTGCGGTGCGGCGGGCTTTTCCGCCCGTCTCGGCAACTAAATCCATCATTCCCTATTAAGGATTTTCCGAGTAAACAACTCTAAGTATTGTTCTTAAGCGTTTTTCTTACCGGGGGAAAGTTTTTTCCTTCACGTCCCCCAAGCAACATATTACTTTTCGCAGCGCTGCGCTTCTCGACGCTTGTCGACACCTCCTTGGATGTCTTGTATAAATATAAATAAAGCGTTTCTTTGTCCGTCAAATAAACCCGCAAGTGGTGCCGGTATCAACTCCCTCACACTTTCACCCAAACCTCCACCGATATTTATATTTATATATTCGTCGAAATCGTTGGGTCGTCGCGGGCTATTAATTCCTAAACGTATCGAAACGAAGTGTAAGTGTTCGGGTGACACAATGAACAAACGCCATTGAAAATTATTTCCCATTCTTCCCGAGCACAAAGGACGTGCACAGTCAATTTGCAGAGGGACCCACCCCTCGATTGAAATCCGAATAAAACTGAATCAAC